ACGAGGTGGAAGAACGGTTTGGACGCTTCAAACCAGGAATAATCAGGTACTTACTTACGACCCCAAATTTCCCTTGCCACAAGTGTGAAAAATAGTCACAAGCCCCTTTTTCCAGTGTCATCGTAACTTAGAACGGTCACTAAGTGAGCTGTTGTGAAACGAGGATTACCTGTACTTTTTCTCCCAGGTCAGTTATTTGTAGCAACTGGAATGGCAAATAATTCTATAAAAAGAGTACAAGTTGAAAGTCTGCCTTCCCAAAGTCCACCCACGATGAGCGGTGCTACCAACCCTTTACTTTGGACTCACCGACACATTGGGGAACTCCAGAGTAAAAACCTTTCCGGTCAGAAAGCTAGAATTTACAAAGCTCTCCTAATCGACGCTCAGGGAACGGCAGCTTTTGAGGGTGGCAAATTGCAAATTCACAAAAAAGGGACACGATTACAGAATAACGGACCCAGCACTTTCTTGACCTAACTCTAACCTCTGTGATCCTTGCCTTTTCTCAATTGGCAGTCTGAAATTGCCAAAACTGCGGCTCAATTTCGTTGTGTTTTTAACCAGACCTCCTCCTTTCCCACCCCCCCAACCCCACCCCCTGCAGCGAGGAACTCCAGGATGCCCTCGGGGTCACTGAGAAGACGCTTCCTCCCTTCATCTACCGCATGCGGCAACTGGGTTATCCGCCAGGCTGGCTCAAAGAGGCAGAAATGGAGAAATCGGGCTTAACACTCTACGATGGAAAAGGTAAAAAAAAAAAAAAAAAAAGGAGTGAAGACTCTCTGTTGACTTGTACAAGCCGGCATTTGGGGAGTTGGCCCAACATCTTGCCTAGGTTGAAAGACATTGATACATTGTTTAGAATAATAGAGTTGGAAGGGACCTTGGAGGTCTTCTAGTCCAACCCCCTGCTCAGGCGGAATAGTCTGCTGCGGTAGACTGTTGCTTGGCGTGACATGTTGATTGGACAGCCTGAGCTTTCTCAGCATAGGGACTAATTAGCTGGCCAGGGCAGAGATGGGGAGCTTGTTCCTTGCAGCCCGTTAGGCCTTGTTCAATTAATTAAAAGTGTTCACGCATCCCAACTTTCAGCGTCCAAACGGCCAGGAGCAAGAGAGCAGCTGGATGATGCATTTTGCCAGTAATATCTTCAAGGGCTGATGTTGCTTTTTTACAGTGTCGCCCAGCAGTGAGACAGAGGAGGAATTCCACCAGCAGAATCCATGTGTCACTTACGATACTTCCAAGTTGATCACCTACCCAGGTTTTAACATGTCCACTCCAAGTGGAGTCACAGATGTAAGCGCCCGTTTCCTTTTGCTGCTGTTATCCTGCCCCTCCACCTACAGGGTGCCGTGCCAGCCCACATTTATGCCTTTGGCAGGGTCCCAGCCTTTCAGGGTCACAATTTACAACTTTTTTAGCTGGAAAACTTTCAGTTCTTTTACTTTCATTTTCCAGCAAAAAAAAACCCCAAACCGGTCTTTGCAGACAATGGTTTCACTTAACTGCTGCAAGGAAGGCTGTAAAAATCAGTCGTGGTCATGTGGCGGCCTACTTAACAACCTGCACAATGTACGGCCATAATTACGGTTGTAAGTCAAGGATTACCTGTAGCTGTCTATATTGTCTTAAATGCCCTTGTGAAGGGCTGCCGGAAAGACAATCTGTATGTTTATCCCGGCAATACATTTGATTACAGTTCATTCTTTTTTGCCTCTGTTCTTTCTGTTAAAGATATATAGCAATGTGTATATAAGCCTTGGACATTTATTCTTTGATTTCCTAATAGTTTCTTTTCTTTTCTTTTTTTTTGGAGACAGGAATGGAGGATGTTTGGCTCGGTACCTCTTCAGCCATCCCAGCAGAAAGAAATTTTTGCTCATTATCTTTCCACTTACCATTCGGTGAATATTTTTAAGCACACTGGTCTTATTTGCCCTGAACAAAACTTTTGTTCGTTCATTCATTCATTCATTCAGATTTCCCTCTGGGGTTCTTACTTTCTCTCCTTTGTTTCTGACCCTCCTCAGGCCAGTCTCAAATCCAGGCACAAACGGCCTCCCTCTCGCCACAGCTCCCATCATGTAAAACGGCAGAAAGGAACCAGCGCCGAAGTCTCGCCAGCTGACATGGAGATCGACTCTGGTATAACTTTCCTCTTAAAAATCCATTTAAAAATTCACCCCCGTTTTCTTTTTTCCTTTGATTCCATGAGCTCCCAGTAGAATCCACCGTCCTTCCTTTGAAGCACCAGCCATTTTAGCTCTGACTTGAGGCCGGCGAGTGATTAAAGACGGTGCTCTTTTCCTCCTTTCAGATCTAGAAATGCCCTATAGCTCTCCCGCTTACGATGGCTTCCTCTTCCAACCTCCGTTGCCTCCGGGGTCTCCGCTGAAGGCCACTCCCCCCCCTCTGCCACAGGGCACCCCTCCAGGTACTCCCCCCAGGCTGACTCCTCAACCGCTGTCTTGTGTGCCAGCAGCCCTGCCTCGCGACACCCCCCCTTTGACGCCGTCTGCCCTGCGGCCAGAGGACTCGGCCATGGATGAAGACACCTTGACCCTGGAGGAGCTGGAGGAGCAACAGCGGCTGATTTGGGCAGCCCTCGAGCAGGCGGAGAGCACCAACAGCGACTCGGACCTCCCCGCCAGGACTCCCAGGGCCGGCAACTCCGGGACGTCGTCGCCTTCCAGGACGGAGCCCTCCATTCCCTTGGAGGAAGCAGCCCCCAAACAGTTGGAGGTCCCCAAAGCTGAGCCCGAGGATCCCCCTGAGCAGATGCCCCAAGCCGAACAGCCTGGCCCTCAGCGGGCCTCAGCCGTTGAACTGGTGGATTTAACCACAGAGGTAGGACTTCTTCCCACAGACTCTGAAGGCCAAGCCCAGTCCTGTTCCTCGGAGCCTGCCGGCTGCGTGAATCATAGCGACGCTCCTGCGCTTCCCAACGCCTCCGAGCTGCCCTCTGGAGCCCCTAGCCTCGTTCCCGACATGAGCAAGTTTGCTGCTGGGATCACCCCTTTCGAATACGACAACATGTCCGAGTCCACTGGGACTTACCTCCGAATAAGGAGCGTGCTGAAAAAATACCCCAGGAGCCAGCTGAAGAATAAGAAGCTTTCCCTTTAATGGCCCGACTCGGGCCACGGACAAAAAAAAAAAAAAAAAGGATTTGCGCACTTAAAGCACAAATCAAGAGCAAGAGACAAAGCAGGGGTTGCAATCTTCCTAAAACCAAGTAATTTTGTTTTTTGAAAAAGTCTGGTGGATGGGCTTCCATTTCGACTTAGAACCAGGAGTGATACTTCCACAAATACACAAAGGATCCGTGAATCTTCTCCGGTCCTGCTTTATAGATAGATACCTCTGAATTTTTTGCCAACGTGGAGTCAAATATGTTCTTGCCTCTCTACCAACTGAGGCTTTTGTCTCTGCAAGGCCCGTGCTTTCCATATGGAGCTGAGAGTTCTTTAAATACATTTACTGTCCGTGGCTTTTGAAAGGACCTCAGTTTTTTTTAATGCTTCCCCTGGATTCTGAGGAGGCCGAGTTGTGGTGGCGATCCGATGGGAATAATCAAGGACGAATCAACTGTTCTTTCCATCCTTTTTGAAAAGTTTTATAAGTGATTTAGGGGATTTAATTTTTTTTAATGCCACCAGCTTTCTGTTTTGGTAACATCATCATCATCTTTGAACTTGCTGTACATATATTTGTGCTTGTGTACAGGAGTTTAATAAAAATATTTTTTTTCCATAAGTTTATGTGTGCATGTAAGCCTTGAGATAAGGTTTAGAAAACCTACTCTTGGAAAATCAAACTTGACAGCTTTATTGGGGATGAATATTGTGTTCTTTTTACTATTTTTTTCCCTCCATGCCTTTTTAAGGGAGTTATTGCAAAGAAAATTTTGTAATCGAAAATATTGACATAAAGCCGTAAATAACACACCGGCCTAATTTAATCCTGCATGGATAGAGGACTTAGCTGTTTATTCAGAGTAGTTGTTTCCAATGTTTCTTTCACTGCAGGTTTCTTGCAGGATATTTAGGCGGCCTTCTCTCCAATCTCCCAAATGTGTTTAGATCCAGAAAAAGGTGTGTATAATTATCCCCCCCCCAGTTACCTTGGGTGACTGCTCCTGATACCAAAGACCCTGTACATAACTGTGAATTATCTCCCGTTCTTGAAGACCTGATAATCCAAAACAGGCCCCATGGGTTGGGAAAAAAAAAAAGTTCACATCCTCACTTTCCAGCGATGAATATCTTGATGCATAAACCGATGCCAAATATTTTATTGTGGATTCAAATGTCTGGTTTTAATTAAATGTTAAAGGCAGGTAGGGTGGAGTTGAAGCAAAGTGCCTCGGCCTGAAGGGTGGCTGTCTTTAATGACCGGAGTTTTTAACTTCGTTGAAACTCGCCCAGCCTGCGACTGGCTTGCCTGGACGGGAGAGAGCCCCGTTTGTGGTTTATTTGGTTTCCTACGTTTATTTGGGGCACCTTCTCCTTTGCACCAAATTTGCACAATGGGATTCTCCAAAGCAAACGTCCCCCTACTTTGCTTAGTCCAGGGCTCTCCGAACTTGGCAACTTTAAGGCTGGTGGGCTTCAGCTCCCAGAATTCCCCAGCCAGCATGGCTCCCGCTCAAGTGGGAGAGGGGGACCTGGGAAAAATCAGACCTCTCCAGGAGGGAAGAAGAAATAATGGGGGAGGAAGAAAGGAGAGGAGGAAGGGAGGCAGATGGGAGAGGAAGGAAAAAGGGAAGGGAGGAAGAAGGAAACAAGAAAGATGGAAGGAAGGAAAAGAGGGAGAAGAGGAAATGGTCAAAGAAGAGAAGGAAATGGAGGAAGAAGTAATAAAAGGGGGAGGAAGAGGCGGAGAGGCAGGAAGAGGAGGAGGAAGAAGAAGTGCAGAAGCGGGAGGAAGAGGAAGAAGACAGGAGGAGGAAGCGGTGGGAGAAGGAGAAGGGGAAGGAAAGGGGAGGAGGGCACCTTCCGCAGTCCCCGCCCGGCGCCCGCCCCTGCCGCCCGTCTGGAGGGAGGGAGCCGCCAGCAGCGCCGCCGCGCCTCGCCTGGCCTGACCGGAGGACGCCGCCGCCGAGGAGGAAGCAGGCAAGGCGGGCGGGCGAGGGAGCCGGAGCCGGCTTCGCAGCAGCCGAGGAGAAGAAGGGTGAGGGGCGCGGGGGGCGCCTTTGTCGGCTCCTCCGGCGCGCGCGGGTGGGCTGTCGGGCGGCGTCCCCCGCCCAATCCCTGGGCCCTGCAGCCCCCTCCCCAGTTTGGGGGCTGCTTCCCCCCCCTTTGTTTCTGAGCGGGTGGGCTGTGCGTGGGGCTGGGGCTGGAAGACGTCTGGATCCTGCCCCCCCCCGCCGCCTCCTTTGGCAAGGGGACGCCCCCGGGCTGAAGAGGGGGCTCCCTTTTCCTTCTGGGGACCCCTTTGACCCCCCCCCAGCCTTGGAGAGGAGCTGCCGGGCCCCAGCCAGGAGAGTGGGGGAGAGCAGCCCTCCGTGGGGCTGGGGGGGCCACGAGGAGCCCCGGGGCTGGCTGGCGATTGTTCACGGAGGGCTGCTTGGGGGGCAGCTGGAGGGGATTTTATTATTGTTGTTCCCCAATTTGCCATAGCTGCCCTCCCCCCATCGGGGGGTGCGAAAGAGATGAGCTCTGGTTTGAGGTGGGAGGGTCGTTTGGGGGCGTCTGGGGGGGGCCTGAAGATTTGCCCCCCTCTCTGGGGGCTCTTCCCCCGAGGACGAGGGGAGCTGATGGTGCCCTTTGGCTTGGAGGCTCTTGACTTTGGTTGTCATTTGGGGGGGGGCTTGGGAATTGCCCCAAGTTGTGGTCTGAATCTTTTCAGGCAGGAAATAAAATGAAACCTGGTCGTTTGGGGGTCCCTTCCGAGATCAGCCCATTTTATTAAAAGGGGCGACTCGATTTCTTTGGCTTTTTTGAGGTGGTAAACGAGGGTTTCTCAACTTTGGCGAGTCGGAACGGGGTGGACTTCAACTCCCAGAATTCCCACGGCTGACTGGGAATTGTGGGAGTTGAAGTCCACTTCTCTGGGAAGCAAGGCCTGTCAGGACCCCCATCTCCCCAAATTAGGAGCAAATGGAGGGGGCGTTGTGGGCGGAGAGGCCAGGGGGATGCAGACCAGGGAAGCACAGGCAGAATCCAAGGGTGCCCTTCCTCCTTTCAAGGGGTCCCATTGGGGAGTAGGGTAAAAGAAAAACTCGGGATCCCCACATTTCATTTAACCCCTTGACTTGTGGGAAGATTGTGCTGGGCCATCTGATCTGGATGGCAGCTGTGCTGGGATGGATGGATGGATGGATGGGAGGAAGGAAGGAAGGAAGGAAGGAAGGAAGGAAGGAAGGAAGGAAGGAAAAACCCAGGTCCCCTTTTCCTGGCTTCACCTGGCCAGCTGCCGCAATCCACTGGTGGGCAAGTTTGTGGATGACATCAGTGGTTGGGTGGAAGCCTCATTGGCCGAAGGCGGCAGGCTAAAGGGTGCTTAAATGCCAACATGCATTTTGCGTTGTCTTTCTTCTGACTTCACTTTATTCTGTCACTCTGGGGGATATACAAACACGGTTTCACTGATATTTTGCAACACTAGATGAAATTGTTCTCTTTATGCTCAGTAGAAGCTGGCTTATTGTTTATTTTTTTCTCCCTATAGCTCATGTGGACTTTGTATGTTAGTCAAAAGTAGGAAAGGCTATAGCTTTCTTTCTTTCAAAATAGATTTTATGTCTTCTACAGCGTGAGGGTGCGTTTTGTGCAGAAGGTACATATGACCAAAAGCTATAGGATAGCTTCGTTAATAATATTTAGGCTCTTGTGATGTCATCTCCACAACACATACCCTTCAGGTTAAAATCCAAAATTAGTTCTATTTTAAGAAATATAAGCAGAGAAATTGATTTTAAATAAAAGGCTAAGCAATTCCTGTGTTATATCATTTTTAACCTCATAGATCTAGAGACTTACAATGCTAAGTGTGCATGTGTCTTTGTGTGATGCAATAAAAGTAGTATGTTTGTTTCCTGTTGCACTTTGAAATGGAGGTTTATCCATTATCAATGTTGTGCCAGGTTTATCTGGCTTTGTCATTTTTTTGGCAATTTGGGTGGCAATTTCTTTAGCTCCGTAAAAGAGAGAAGGCGTGAGAAATTTCATTTTCCTAAGGGAAGTTAGGTAAGAAAATCTAAATAAAAATTAGTATTTGAAAGCTGCAATTCACCTTGTAGTTGAACTGTTTTAAGTTTTGCCTTTAACCCCAACCATTTTGAAGGACGAAGAATGACCAGAAACACCTTTATTCTCATTTTCCCTCTATTCCACTTAGGAAACGTCTTGCGTGCTCATGCTTGCAGGATTCATATCTTTAACGGAGTTGTCCAGGTTTGCACCAATGATTCGTAGCTTTAAAAACTGCTAGGCTGAATTCTGTGGGGCGAACCTAGTTTTGAGCTCCTGATGCATAGGTGACTCCACACCCTTCTTTATTAGTGTCGATGAAATCAAAATACAGGTTTTGTAACTCATGAGGTTGCCATTATGAAACACAACGTGGAGGTGGTGAAGGTATTTCTGCTCCGTGATTCATGGTTTTATTGCACGGCCTCTTTTTCAGCAGAACAGGCAAAGTGGTCGTGATCCCTGATACAGCTGGTCCTTGACTTACGACGGAAGCCAGAATTTCCAATGCTACTCCGAGCAGTTCTTAAGTGCCTGATTTTGCCGTGGTGGTTAAGCAAAACTACTGCGGTTATTAACTGAACCATGAGGTTGTTAAGTGAATACGGCTTCCCTCTTTGACTTTCCCTGTCCCAAACGACAGTCACGTAATCCTGGAATGCCGCAACCATCATAAATACACATGCTGGTTGCCAAATGCCCGGAATCTGACTGCCAGAATGCTGCAAATGGTTGTAAGTGTGAGGACCGGACATACGTCACTTTTTTCAGTGCTGTTGTGACTTTGAACAGTTGTTACCAAGCTTCTCGCCAGTTTTGCAGTCTTTCTTTCGAACCCGGCTTGACTTGAAATACGGGTGAAAAATTGCAGAATTCACAGAGACAGTGGAGACGGTACTCTTCTGAGCTGCTGCTACTCAGAGGTGTATCTCCTCCTTCGGTCAATTGCAGTTCTGAAAATTAGCAAAGGAAGGAGCCCAGCTCGGTCGACACCTTTGGCGTTCCCGCCCTTTGGAATGGAGTCGGTTTAACTGGTTTTTTTACGAGCTGGGCCTAGATGAGAGGCTTTTGGTATTCAGATGAAATGCCTGTTCTTAGGAAGTTGGCGATGATCTCAGTTTGCTGTAGCATATTTTCACCAGCTGGGGAAACAGAAAGAAAAGAGCTGTGAAGTTCATTCTTGGATCGTCTCCTAAATAGAAAACATCTTGGGAGCCTGACTTATTCTCCGTCCTGATCTTCATCGGTTTCAGAGCAAAGAGAAGGAATTCTGGAAGGCAGGTAGACGAACCTCTGGCTCATTACATTTCTTTCTCCCTTTTCTTCCCTTTTTGTCAACTTGAAGAGAAGGACGAGGGGAGACAGGATAGCAGCTTTCCAAGTGTTTGTTGGGCTGCCACAAAGAAGGGGGGGAGGGTTTCAACCTATTTTCCATAGCACCTGAATTTGCAGGACAAATTTGCAACGGATGGAAACTTATCAAGCAGAGAAACAATCTAAAACTCAGGAGAAATTTCCTAACAGTGAGAACAATTAAATCAGAAGATGTGGATGTTGCATCACTGTTTGAAATGGTATAGGGTCTCCTGCTTGATCAGGGGTTTGGACTAGAAGACCTTTCAGGTCCCTTCCAAATCTGCTACTCTGTTAGTCTTTTCAGTCTGTGATTGCTGCGCTTTTGAGCAGTTCCAAACATTTCTACAGAAACGTCACAGGAAGGTTGCAAGAGAAATTGCACACCGAACAGCCGCCTGAATAATTGAATGAAGCAACAACTTCTAAAACATTCTTAATATTTACAGATTTCTTCCCCCGGGGGGGGCGCATTAACGGAGAGAAACTGACTAACAAGAAGAATCTTAAATTCTTAAATTACAGTCCTCGACTTACAGTCAAACATTCCTAATTAAGCAAGGCGGTTGTTAAATGGGTTGTGCCCAAGTTTACAACCGTTTTGCCAGGGTCGTTAAGCAAATCACTGCAGTTGTTTTAAGTGAAACAATGATCGACTTGCAACAGCTCATTTAGTGACAGCACTGAAAAAATGACTTGTAGCTGTATTTCACATATCACTCACTACCTGTCCTTCTTTGCGGGCATAATGAAGTATTAGGCTAAAGTATCTGAGGAGGCTAGATAGCCATGCCGTCACTGATAAGCATTAAATAGACCTAGACAAATTGATTCAAAGTGTTAGCAGCTCACACCTTCCCTGGCTCCTTAGACTTCTATCTGTTATTCTGATTTCTCTGTTAATTAAAGGTGGGACTTTTTGTCAGTTTGTCAGTTACCCTTTTGAAATAGTGTCTGCATTCACACGCAAAATTAGCACTTTGTTTTATTATTTACACAAGAAACTGTTCTCAAACTCCGATTATTGTCTGGTGTCTTTGGACTCTTTGAAACCTGTTTATTTAGGTCCTCCGGCAGATTGTCTCCGATGGCCCTGTCAAACACCACTTGTCTATTTTTAAAAAGCTCCAGGAGAACAAGAGTTGTGTAAAAACAAGCTGTATTTTTCTATTAATAGCAAGCTCGGTGAGATATAGCCTCAAAGAAGTCAAGTTAGTCCAGATGCTTGGGGGGGGGGTGTTTTTTGTTGCTGTTGTTTTTATGCTTGGAAGTGCATAGAAATTTGCTTTTTTTTTTTCCTTCAAAGAGAAAAAAAAAGACTAACTAAATACATAAGCTTTCCCAGAAAAAGGACTCTTCCCATTAACCTGTTGCTGTAGCAACAATTAGAATCCATTTCAGGGCTGATTTGCTTAAGCCAAAAATTAAAATGGTGATTTAAAGCGGGGGTCTCCCAACTTGCCAATTTTAAGACTTGTGGACTTCAACACCCAGAATTCCCCAGCCAGGAAACGACCTGATAAGGCTTCGTGATCTTTGCGTGAGATCCATGTCATTTGTGGCTACGCAAGGATGCTAAGCTAGGCCCTCGCTTGTCTCCTCCTTCCAGTCTAGCAGGCAGTTTCCCAGCACAACACTTCTGAGTGTCCACTTGGGAACTCTCCAGTTAGGGTTATCCTTCCTCTTTTTCCTTGCCTTACACCTGAATCCCCAAGGCCATCCCTTCCTTCTTTGCTTCAAGGCACCTCTCCAAACTCAACTCTTAGACGAAGTGGGTGCTGTCTACTAAAGCTAAGCTTAGGATACTTGTAGTTGAACTGAAATATTTCCTTCGTTACTCTTGCTTTTGTTTCCTCCTCTTCCTTGGCCATTCCTGGTAATAATAGAAGAGCTAAGTCTGTTTCTGTTCTCCCTTGATGGTGTGGAGAACAAGCATCCATCAGGAGCATCCATTCTTCCAAGGGATGCAGTTAACAAAGCCAGTATTGTTGGGTGGCAGTGCCCGTCTTTCTGTGGTGGCATTCCAAGGGACCTGTGGTGGCATTCCTGAATGCCTGGTGGATGATGTCAGAGCCAGTGAGGTCATAATACAAAAGGGAGGAAGGGGGGGAGAATCAGGCTGAACTGTGCGTTCTGGTGTTATTAATTAAAGAGCGCCAGCTGAGGGAATTCTAGGTTGTAGCCATCAAAGCTCTCCTGAACTGTTCAAGAATCCAGTTCCCTGGATGTCTTCTTAGATATCAGCCCTGCCTGACATATCAATGCGGGAAGAACTTCTTTGTGGTTTGGATAGGTAATGTTCAGCACTATCTGATCTTTATTTAGACTTTGAGTGGAGAATCTTGGAAAATCTGCAAGTCCTCAACTTACAGTGGTTTGTTTAGTGACTGTTCAGCATTACAACATCACAGAAAAAAGATGACTTAGGAGATGCTACAACTTAACAACTCTTGTAGCATCCCCAGGGTCATTTGATCAGAATTCAGACATTTGGCAATTGACTCGTAGTTATGACCGTTGCAGTGTCATACGATCCCCTTTTGCGACCGTCTGACAAGCGAAGTCCTTGGGGGAAGCCAGATTGACAGATTTACTTAATTTAACAATTGGGCTCAGTTGTAAGTTGAGGACTGCCTGTGTTGCTTGATGTGGTTTCCACAAAACGTCATCTTGGGCTCAACATCTGGAGATGGTGACTTTTCAGTTGGATGAAGAGGTTGGGGCCCTTCAACTTCACACCCCCCCCTCCCAAAAGATGCTGAACTCGCCTTTTAATGTTCCGTGATCACACAGTTCTTTGTTCTTGGCTTGCTTGCGAACGTTGGATGGTTGGCCTGCTCACGGACTTGGCCCACAAGCTGCTGGATAACCTGGTTAGATCTTTGGAGGCTTCATTCCAACCTTGCTCGCATGGCCTTCTCCCAGATTTCGGACAAGGCAGGGAGGCCTGTATATGAAGAAGGAAGGATATGCCTGTGCTGAAATAAATGAGAAGTGTCTCTCCCTAATAGATACGGAGGAGATTACAGAAACTGCAAGGACAATCATTTAAGACAGCTGGTGGCCTTGAATGGTGCGACATAAATCAAATTAAATAAGGAAGGCGGCACAGAGCTTAAAGCATCAACAGACAAAGAGATTGTGGAACACGGCAGGGAGATTGGATGGAATTGAGCTCGGCTGGCTGAGGAATTCTGGGAGTTGAAGTCCAACCAGTCTTAAAAGTTGCCAAGTGTGCAGACCTTGATCTATGTAACATAAGGGTGTGCAAAACCTCGGGTCAGCTTTGAACAATAGAGCTGACCAAGCCAATCTTTTCTTTCCATATATTCAAATCGTCTTCTCTTCCTTTTGGAAGGCGCACTGCTTGTCAGTAAGTGATTTAATTGCTCTTTTTCCAGTGCGTCACCACCCACGATGGGTCCTTCCCAGGCTCTGCCTGTTTTTCAAATACCTCTTGGCTCCAGTGCAAATAATCCAGTTACTTGGAGCTCCTTGATCAGGAGATGTTATTGTTGTTGCTATATAGTTTGGGTTGAAAATAATCCCTACCTTTCTCGCTGCGATTATAGCAAGTCCGCCCCAAGAGTTCTTGCAAGAAAAAATAAATAGCATAAAACCCATCCTATCTGACTTACGGTTTCTCTTTGAGAAGCCTGCAACGGGGGCCTCTGATCAACCCAAATTATTCTGCGTTTTTTTTCCCCCCATCCTAGCAACTTGAAAGAGAAGGAAGAAAACCTCATTTTTATCTTCAAGGATCTGAAGAGGGGCACTGCACGGGGACTCTACAATATGCTAAGCCATCTCGTGATCTTCAGCAAGGAATTCTAGCCTGGCCTCACCGAGGTGGGTGTGAAGTTGTGAGTTGCCAAGGGGTCACAATGCTTCTCTGCTCTGCCTTCTTTGTACATGCACAAGACTTGCTGGGAGGCTAAAATGTGATTTTTTTTTTTCTAGTGATGCTATGGAGAAGGAAGTGGGCGGGTTATTGGCTTCCTGGCTGTCTTGCCTGCTCTCTTGAGGATTTAATTGAATTGAATTGAATTTTTTGAACCAGCGTATTTTAAAACGTAACTTAATAGATAGCTTCTCGAATTTCTTCTATCTTGCAAAAGGTATATTCTTACTGTGAGTTCTTTTCATGCATCTCTGCTGCCGCTATCTGTGCATTTCATGCCCTACATTAAATAATTAAATAAATCTTGGGGATGTCCCAGCACCACTGAAGTCCGCCAGACCATTTTAGTCCCCCGTAAGGCTTTCAAGACCCAGCTTCTCTCCCCAGACATAGGGAGAAGACTAGACACGCATTTGAGCTGAATGGCGCCAGGTTTTTTATTTCAGTTTTAATGTTTTTATTAGTTGGGTTTTATAGTTTTCAGTGATTTTAAATGGGAGGGGTCAGATTTTTGATTGGGAGCTGAGGTGTTTGAAAGATGGGCGGCTTAAATCAGCACAAATGAAATAAATGTTAGCACACTTAATATCTTTACGAAGAAGTGAATAGCTTCTGGGGTGAGATTACTTACCCGAAACAGCCATTTAAACAACAGACTCTTACTCTTGTTTTTAAGAAAAAAACTCCTATTCTCTTTAAGTAAAAGGGAAAAAAACCAAAAAGAAGCGAATAGTTTAGTTTTTTTAAATAGGAGAGGATTTCTGGTATGTGCAATTGGCAAGCTGACTGCAAAAATGTGTCGTCGTCTCCTCCTCCCCCCCCCCCCCCGCTTAGGAGGCCTGGATGGAGAGCAGAATTTCTTTGCAAGTTGGTTTCGGAGCAACAGAAGTTAACGTCTCTCCTCTCTTTGCCCTTGATTGGCAGGTTTAACCCAGAGGCAAGCCAAAGAGAGATCCATATGTTTGGGGGAAGATAGTGATTGCCTTCAAACTGACCGACCATGAGTATGTTGAAACCCAGCGGGCTGAAAGCCCCCAGCAAGATCAGCAAACCGGGAAGCGTGCTGGTGAAAACAGGAGCTGCACCTGCAGCTGCAGGTAATCTGTGGTTCGCTGTGGGCCAGTTTTACAAAGGAAATGGTCGTAAGTGGAGGACAGCGCTCGTTACTATCCGTGACGCTCTCCCCCTCTTTCCGTTTCAGCCTCTCCAGAAAAGACCCCGGCCGCTGAGAAGCCCCCCGCCACTGAAGGTCCGGATGAGTTTGTGGACGACTTCCGCATCGGGGAGCGTATTTGGGTCAATGGGAATAAACCCGGCTTCATCCAGTTCTTGGGAGAGACCCAGTTCGCTCCGGGTCAGTGGGCAGGAATCGTGCTGGACGAAGCCATTGGGAAGAACGACGGCTCCGTGGCCGGGGTGCGGTACTTTCAGTGTGAGCCCTTGCGTGGCATCTTCACGAGGCCTTCCAAGCTCGCGCGGAAGGCCATGCCTGAGGATGAAGCCAACGGGACCCAGGCCTCTCGGGCCACCTCGCCCACCAGCCTGGTGTCTTCTCCTTCGGCGGCAGCCCACCTGCCTCCCACCGGCATCCCTCAGAAGACCCCCGTGTCTCAAGCGAGCAACCTCTCCAAGACCCCCAGCGAGTCCATTTCGAACCTGTCTGAAGCCGGGTCCTTGAAGAAGGGCGAAAGGGAACTCAAAATGGGAGACCGAGTGCTGGTAAGGAGAGACGCTGAGTTGCCCTCTCAGCTGAGTGAAGGGGAGAGGGCTGAAAATGTCCTGGATTTTGTGTATTTAAAGTATTTGTGTGTTTATAGAGAAGGAAGGCTGAAATGTCTTACATGTAGAACAGGATTCCTCAACCTTAACATCTCTTAAGACTTGTGGACTTCCAGAACTCCCCATCTTAAAGCTGCTAAGTTGGAGAATGCCGTTCTAGATGCCTTTAAACTGTCTAATCTGATCAGGAAGGGTTTTTGTTTTTTTTTAAGTATAATGTCAACAAAAAAGGGAAAAAAATCTATTTCTCTTCTGTTTTTATTTTAATTTACCAGTGGACTTTGATTCATCCTTTTAGCCATAATCATGATGTAAACCTTTTTTTTTTTCCCCTTCTACTCACATCCTATTCGAGGTCTGGGGAAAAAATATATATATATGTAAACGTCTGGTGATCTCAATCAGCTGCTTTGGCTCGTTACGGCTTTGCATCCTCCCTTCTGAGTTACTCGGTGTCGTCATGCTTTACTAAAAAAAGATTTTGCAAAAGCTCTCACTGCTCTTTCATTTTTTTAACACTTTTCCCGGATGTGAGCGAAAGTCACCAGGATAGCAATTTTCTACATGGGCTCAGGATGCCCTCATCTGGGGGGTAAATTTACTAAGCTGGGTTTTTTTTCCCCCCAGAAAAGAGAGGAAACCACCCCTTCCATCTGTGCGTTTAACCTGGCGATGGAAGGAAATGTGAATTTAACTTGGCAGGGTTTATTATTTTGGAATATAATTATTTTGGGGTGGAGTGTGACTCCTTCACCTCCATTTGCCCTGTTTCTGCAGTCAGTGAAAAGAGCATTTTTAATCCATCCATTCAGATATATTTTTTTTTTGTAAAAAAAACCAAAACAAAACAGATTAAGTTTCTCTAAAGACACCCAGCTTGAGGAATGACTTCATTTGTTGGACGGGCTTTGCTTGTCTCCAGGTAGGATAAAAACTGCTGTGTCTGCAAATCTCATGTGCCAACACGTTGCTGCCTTTTGGGCACGGTAGGTAAAAAAGGACAGTCAAGGTGAGATCATTCTTTTGGCAAGGTTAGTGAAGATAAAATCGTCCTGCACCACGAGATATTATCAAAACATGAAAGGATTTGTTTTCTCTTTGCTGAACCAGGACAAATGATTTTGAAGTTAACTGCATAGAGCGGTGTTTCTCCAGCTTGGCGCCTTCAAGATGGGTGAACTTCAACTCCCAGAATTCCCAGCCAGTTTACCCATTTTTCAAGTTGCCAAGCTGGAGAAACAGAGATAAGGGTTATGGGAATCCAGCTGTGCTTGTGACTATATGCTGGAGGCAAAGAAAGATCCAAACTACAACATAAAATATAATAAAATCAAATAAAAATAATAAAAGCTTCATACTTCGGGTTAATGTCATTGTGTCCTCATTTGCTCTCCTAGCAAGGTGAAACTGTCTGAACCGTTCTTGGCAAACGTAGCCGGTTATTTCACTGGCTTCAAATCAAATACAGTTTCAAAATAACCCCATTTGTGCGGAAGAGGAAATCCTGAAGAACTAGCTATTATTTTACGTTTGGTCTTTATTAGAGTTGGCTAAAGTTTGCAGTCTTTATTTTTCTCAAGGTTTTGTCCTCAGCAGTGGAAAAGCCTAGAAGTCGGCTGTGTTTCTGATTTAACTGGAGGATTGTTTTGAAAGATGGTGCAAAATTCTTTTCTGCTCTTCCTTTCCCATTTTCTTTCTTACCCACTTTTTACCTTTCTTTTCAACTTTTTTCTTTTTATTCTCTTTCTTTTTAACTTTCTTTTCAACTCACTTCCCCCCCCACACACACACACACTTTTTGATCAACTGTTTTTCTTTTCAACTTTCTTTCCAGGTGGGGGGAACGAAAGCTGGCGTGGTGCGTTTTTTGGGAGAGACGGATTTCGCCAAGGGGGAGTGGTGCGGCGTTGAATTGGACGAACCCCTGGGCAAGAACGATGGGGCCGTGGCAGGGACAAGGTGAGATCCTGTCCAGTTGAGAATCGGGGTACCCCGCTTTCAGATCAACTCTGGCTGTGTTTTCATTTGAGTTTCATTGAACGTCCTGTGGGGGAGGGAGCTCTCTCTGGGTTCTCCTTTGGGCGTTTCTCTCTCCTGTTTTCCAAACCAGGGGGATCTTTAAAAATGGCAACTGTGAGAAAATTCCTCCGGTGCTTTGGTTAAAGCACAAGGAAAGGGAACCCATAAGCTTCAGCAAACTTTTTACACTCCTGCTGCAAAAACAGGCCTAACTGTGAATGCACGCCTGCATTCTTTGTCTCTAGTAGAGGAAAGTTTTCTTTTAAAAAATATTTATCTCATAAGACACAAGAAATCCCTGGAAAAGAAGGCACCGTGCTGGTTTTCTGGATTGTCTGACTTGCATAGACATCCTGAAACCTCTGTTTCCGTACATTTGACCCGCTGAAGATACGTGGACTTCAGCTCCCAGAATTCCCCAGTGTTCCTTAAGCGTGGCAACTTGAAGATGTGTGGACTTCGGGGAATTGAAGTCCCCCTGTTTTCCAAGTTGCCAAAGTTGAGAAACACTAGTATAAAGTCTCTCTACTAAATCTTCCGCAAACAGATAAAGATCAAACGTGGTGGGCAACAATCCCTAGATAACACTACCGTTTCTTCAGAGAGACTTATAATTCGCCAAGACAGCTCTCCTTCCGACGCAGAGCATCAATGCCTTGATCTAAAGTCAGGTGTGTCTACGCAAGATTTTTCTCTGCAGTCTGTTTTCATGGCTGGGTCTCCCCTTCTTCTCTCCGTCTCAGGTATTTCCAGTGCCAGTCCAAATACGGCCTCTTTGCTCCAGTGCACAAAGTGACCAAGATCGGCTTCCCCTCCACCACCCCGGCCAAAGCCAAGCCCGCCGTCCGGAAAGTCCTCCCCACACCCACCAGTCTGAAGCGCAGCCCCAGCGCCTCATCCCTCAGTTCTCTCAGCTCGGTGGCCTCTTCTGTAAGCAGCAAGCCGAGTCGCGCAGGACTAGTAAGTTTCTTTTCGTATTGCGTGCTTGACGATCCTAGAGCAGAAATGGGCACTTTTGTGGGTCATATACACACCTCCACACGCGCACACCCTGGCCGTTTTGCACTGCTCATTGGCCTCGTAGTGGTGCCGATCTCTGCAAGCATGCATGAAAAAAAACTTGGCTAGCCCTGACAAATAGAAGCGTTCGTGTTTAAGATGTGATCCTAACCTTTAATTCAAACTAACCACGGTTTCTTAAAACAAGAAAGAGGTTATGTTTTGGATTGTTAAGGGAAGGGGGTCGGGCTTATTCTCTGCAACACACACATGCAGAGTAATATTTCTGCAAGAAATGCATGCAAACACACACAGGCATACATATACCTGCAGTAACGCATCTGTAATAAATACGTGTATACAGATGTGCACTCACTTGCAAAGGTATTCTCAGAGTATCATATGTTAGAAAGTGGAAAATCCAAAAGCGCTGAATTGAAAAACCACTGGGTTTTTTAAATATATATATAGGGAGATTGAATGATGGTACACGGGGTTGCATTTTTCAAACTGTACTATGGGTTTACGTTTCCCTTTTGATTGAAGACAAAAATGCAAACATATGGATGCTCAAATACACCAATATGAGTGAGAGAGGGAAGGGATGGCAGTAGGTGGTTTTAATTAATTTATTTATTTTTGCCCACATGTTGATTTTGAGCATTGTGGTTTTGCTCCAGAATCATGGCTAAATTTAGTTGAGGACGACCTTTATTGTCTAAATAGAAGCAATGCCTTACACCCAAAAAAAGCCTCTTTCTTTACTCTTCAGGTGTGAACCATAAACATACCTGGTTACCTTGCAAATTGTATATTTTACTAACTTCATCACTCACTGTATATTAACGCTTAGCCTTAACTTAAATGGCTTAATCTTAAGTCACCTGCAGGAAATCTCAGTTTGCAAGTCTTCCCCACTGAGAGATGGCTTAAAATTGGGAATTAGCAAAGTTCTTTTCTCCCCGATAGTTTTTTTCCGCCAAATTTGGCAAGCCCCTTTGTTTTTGCTGCATGTGATGCCAGGTTTGTGCCTTGGATAAGGGAGCGAATTCTGGGGTTAAACTGAAGGATGGGCGCCCTTGTTGGAGAATGCTTAGCGGCTTAACCAGCTAATCTGCTCTAGGCTCCCTCTGCTTAGGTTGAGGCCATCAGCCCTTTGTTTCTCTTTGAACTCTTCTGTTTCCTATTCTCCCGAATGCTGCATTAAGAGTCTTGCTATGCAGGTACGTTCACTTCCTTTCTTGTTTACTAGGCGGGTGGAAGTGCAGAATACGAAAGCAAAATTTGTCTTTTTCATTTGTTTCCTCCCCCTCACGGAGGTCTTGGCCTCACCCTATTTTTTTGCCCTGAGTTTTGCTCTCGTCAGATCAGAACTGAATTCTGAGAGAAAGCATCCTGCAGAAATATGCCCTTAACCCTCTTCCAACAGAAGAGAATCGCCTCTGTTCCAGGAAGCTAAAATCAGTCTCTTTGCATTATTGTATATCCACCTATTGAGATCCTCCTGTTTCAGAGCCTGCTGGCTCTTCCTTTCCCCTTATTTGAGGGGTCCTGGGTGTTCTCTGAGCTGGGTTGTTTCCTTGAAGACGTTTCATGACCCAACCAGGTAACGTCATCAGTGCTAGGACTGTACCACTGAGGATGTGACCTAGTTAGGTAATGAAACGTCTGCCAGAGAACAACCAAGCTCAGAGAGCCCCAGTCCTCCTCCTCCTCTTCCTCTTCACAAACCCCACTCCCTTGTAGCACTGATGATATTACCTAGTTAGGTAATGAAACGTCTACAAGAAAACCACCAGGCTTAGGGAGCACCCAAGACCCTTCATTTAAACCCTGAGCTACAAATATACTTTATTTCCACTGCTGAATATCTCGTCCTATCTGGGCAGATCTGCTGGCCAACAACTGTAAAGCTGCTCTGGTCCAATCCAAATTCAAGACGCCGGTGGTGTTTGCAACACCAGTGTGTGGTTTTGGACCTTTCCAGCACTGGCTGGTCTGCTCAAAACCCCTCTCTCATTTCTGTAGTTGACAGAGACGTCCTCTCGGTACGCACGGAAAATCTCAGGCACCACCGCCCTGCAAGAGGCACTGAAGGAGAAGCAGCAGCACATTGAACAGCTCCTGACTGAGCGGGATTTGGAGAGGGCGGAGTTGGCCAAGGCCACCAGCCACGTTGGGGAGATAGAGCAGCAGCTTGCCTTGGCACGGGATGGACACGATCAGGTGAGCTGAGGGGTTTAGCCTTTGAAAGTCACTCTGGTAAGTCCAAATCTGCAACTTTATTGCCTTCTGCTCACACTACAAGAACTGCTTGTCTTCCCCTGGGAACGACCAGATAAACTAGAGTGGAACTTAAAGAGGGTCAGGCTGATGCCCCTTGCAGCTGCGTAAGAACTCAAGACTAGTTCCCTGCTTGACCCCTCCTTCCTGCCTAGCTGAGAATTTCCCGACATCAGGCAGCAGTTGGGGAAGATCAAATCTCTCTTCTGTACAAAAGATTCTTCCGTTTTTATGACCCTTAATTTGGGGTAGAGTCAGGGTTACTGGATGTTGTTCCTGACACCACTTTTCTGTACAAAAGATTAAGGAAGGAAAAAGATTCCATGTTACCAAGACCATTTTACTCATCATTTTTTGGGAGTCCATTTGCTAAATTCATTGCTCGTCCTTTCCACTCCATAAGCTCTTAAAAAGTTGCCAGATAAAACATGGCATTAGCTAAATTTCTGATGAAAAGCGACCTAATATTTGGGGGACGAAGTTGAGACCTTGGGAGAAGCGAATAGCTTGGGTTGGATTGAGGATCAGTATATATCTGATATACTGTAGCTGTTTCACCGGAGCCTCATTTAAATCAAAGAGACATTTTTCTCACCTACATCTCTGTTAACCCAGCGAATACTGGAAACGGAAGCCAAGATGGACCAGCTGCGAGCCTTGGTGGAAGCTGCTGATAGAGAAAAAGTGGAATTGCTGAACCAGTTGGAGGAGGAGAAGAGGTAAAAACAAAGATGCAAACAAGCCAAAAAAAAAATAAATTGAAAAAATTATGTACAGGTAGCTCTGCAGCCAACGTGCTCTTCTTCACTGGAATTGTAATCCAGGAATGGCTGGAGAATTCTGAGAAAAATTAGCAGTGAACTGTGCTCCATGCATTCCATCCTCTGCCTATAAGAGGTTACTCCAGACCGTGGTGGATCAAAAGGGATCATGCAGCTGTTTTTTTAATCTTCTGCATGGATCTTTTAATAACAATCCAGACAGAATTAACAACCGTTTTCCTCAACGGGGGCAGGGAAACGGTGTCTTATCCATAGGCGGCTGGTTTGAATCTTACGAGATTTCAAATCTTTGTTAAAAAAATCAGAACTATTGCGCTAGGATGCTTATGGGAGGTGAGCTGGACCGCTTGTCTCATCTTCCTTGTCTTGCTTTTCAAAATTGTTCACAGGAAGGTTGAGGATCTGCAGTTCCGCGTAGAGGAAGAATCTATTACCAAGGGCGACTTAGAGGTAAAAATGTCTCCGATTCTGTTAAACCGGCTACACGAAAAAGAAAGCGCTTATACCCTAGCAGAGTCCCAAGCGAATAAAGAAAAGTGGTGGCAACTTACCACGTCTGAAAGGATCCGTGATGTGACTTAAACCTTGCTAGCTGAGCGTTCTCACATTTGACCAGATTTTCTTTCTAATTCTTTGTCTCCGCTGTGAGTAAGTAACCTTTTCAATTCTTGTATTTGACTTCTGTGTTGCTCCATAACCTTTCTGGATGCTTCCCAAATCCCTAATTAAAACTGTTCGTTAAAAACCACCCACTGGAAATTAGCGCCAAAGCTTTAAAACTCACAGCGGGTGACTTCTTCTTTACCGAAGGCCTGAAGGTCAATAAAATTAAGGCTGAGAACCCCAGCACGATTGAGATTGATGCTAAATATCATCTTGTACTTCTTTGGTGAGACTTTCAAAGAATGCAAGGCTTCAGCAGTCAGATGGCTACCCGAACGTCTGAACTGCGTTCCCAGCCGACTTCAACAAAATTGCAGGCCTACGCAACACTTGGCAAGTTGGGCTTCAGCAATGAAACCCACAGAGGTTGCTGGTTTTGCACGCTAAATTCACACGGCCGGGTGCTAAATTCACATCCTCTTTAGCATGCTTGATTTCAGAAATGAAACCTCTTGGGATGTTCAATAAATGCTTTTTCCTAATCTCATGTACGATGCAAAATTGGAAACTGACATGTTGAGCTGCAGATAATCCAGACTGAAAGCAGGAGCCTTGAACTTAATATTTCATATTAATATCATCTTTAGTTCAACTTTTTTTGTTCCCCGCCCATCCATTTTATCTGGACTTTTGAAGGAATGCTCATTTTCAGTCTGTGGTTCTTTGTTTGTGTTTATGTGTGCGTGTTTGTGTGTGTATGCCTGTGATCAATAAACAGAAAAACTGTATATTATTATTAGTTTGAGAGTGTCTTTCTGCACCAGTACATACAATTCTTCTTTAGCGACTGTTTGCAGTTAGGACAGTGATGAAAAAGCCACTTTGTGACCAAACCACCAGGTCGGTGAAGCAAAGGAATGCTGAAGTCAGATCATAAGCATAATCATGGTTTCATTTAGCAACTGTTTTGCTTAACAACCAAGTTCCCAGTTGCTGAAGAAGGACACCTGTAGCCAGGTCTTCTTTATTCCTAAGACTGCTGGCTCATGAACATCAGGATTGCTAAATCTTTCCCCTTAACCACAAAGAACTCACCATGTTATCCTTGTGGAACATGCGTCCATTAGACCGTTGAGTGGTTTCAAAAATTAGGTCCATGAGAAGATCCGAGGGCTATATAACTAGTCCCAAACTTGCATATTCTGGTCATTTCACACAGTGGCTTGACTAGAGATCACCTGCTAGCCCAGCCCGTCACACTCACTTATGTGCACGCAGGCACTCTGCAGCCACAAGGACACAAGAGAGATGGTAGGCGCTGTATCCCGGTCCTGCAGCCTACCAAGCAGGACCAATAATTTATGTTTGATTGAGAGCAGCCACTGGTGTACATTTCCTTAGCCACAACTCGCGGTGTGGTTTGCTTCTTTTTTTAACTTGTATTTTGAACTCTCACGTTGAATGTTCTGGTGAACTCATTTTGTCTTAATTTTTGCTGATAGCCAAAGAGAAAAATATCTGAAGACCCTGAAAATGTAAGAGGACCTCTGAATGTGTGGAGACACCCCTTCCTTCTCCCGGTCTTAACACCCGATACTTTCCCAATAAAGCGTTTGTCGCTGGTGCTCTTTAACCACTAACACCACAGTTCGTTCTCGGGACATGCTCCCAGCTGTGTCTGCATGGAACTGAAGAACCTTTGTAGGTTTTAAAAATGTAGGACCTTGATCAGAAGCAGAGAATGAGGAGGGAAGCAGGATTCATAAAAGTTGTGCTTTCATACAAACCTTCAAACTTAGCACCGTGTCCTTAATGCTTAAACCTTGCAAGTTCTTGTGGGAGATTTGCTTCAAAACTTTGAATCGGTTCACTTAAGATCCAGGCCAAGTTGAGTAATTTCCTAGAGTGGGTTTTATTCCATAATTTAATAAGAGAAAGTGAAAAATCAGAATGGAGAAACCATTATTTTTCTTCATTTCCCCCCCCCCCCAGCTTTATTCTCTAGTGAAAGATCTTCCCTTTTACAGAATGTTTAATAGTCCATTCCCTGTATTGTGCATTGCACGTGTGTAGTGTGACTCCTAGGAAGAACTGAAGACTCCCTTTAGACCCTTTTCCTACACACACAAAAATCAGCGTCGTTTCCCAGAAGGTCTCTGAAGGGTCCTGTCTGCTTTTTTTCCCCCTGTGCAAAATCGAATCCTACCTTGTGCATTCTGATTGCACAGCGAAGTATTGTGATTTTTGTTTTGCTCTTCTTAAATCAAGCTAGTGGCGTAGCTGAATGAAATTTGCATGTGACGTATTCTTTTTTTTTTTTTCCCTTTTTGTGAATGCTTTCTTTCTGCACCCAAATCTTTTCTAAGCAGGGTACGGACGCTGTCTTTTTTCTATTCCCCCCCCAACTGAAATCCTTTGCTTTTGAATATTGATTTAATTGAGCGTTTGCAAAAAGGTTACAATCCCCTTCTCTGAGCCCCCTCCCATTTTAACCCAGTTGCCAACTCTTGGAAGAAACAAGGACCTTGTGACATCTAAGACCCCTGCTAGATCTGAAGAAGATTCAAGCCCATGTACAACAGTAGAGTTCTCCATTAATTGGAGCAAGGTCTGGTCGAGTAATATCTTCAGTTCTCCTGGATTACAAGGTCTGTAATTCCTAAAGCACAGGCCATGCTGGTTGGAGGCCACCTAATTGCCTCTCTTCACCTTCAGGGTTTGTTAGCAAAAATGGGACATTGACCATTTTATAGGTTAGTTCCCCCTTACTGAATCCATCTAGTGTGTTTCTGGAGCAGGAGGATGAAAGGCCAATTAAATTTGAGATGCCGCTAAGGTTGCTCCCATCTTCTTCACAGCCTGTTCGACAACAACCAGATGTTCTAGTGAAAAACACCATGCTTAACGGTAGACCTGATTGGAGAATGATATATTTTAAGGATCATCATAATGACCGGTAGTATAGAGGAGGGGGAAGCCTCTCTGCCAGTTGATCTTGAGGACCGTTAGCAGTTTGGACTTGTAACCTAAAGGATGCCCTTGACTGACGTGATGAACTCAGTGGAGGAGTCTTGCACCGCTTTTGAAGTCCTTGATGGACCCAGGAGGGTCTCTGCTTCATACGCCTCCATGATATTTGTGTGCAGACCTCTCAGACCTGACGTCCTTTTGCAAATCTGGACCAAGTTTAAGCTGTTGACGTTGAGGAAGTTTTGCCCCAATGATCCTTTCGATCATCCCTTTTGTGAAATCTTAACGCGTAAAATATGGCTAAGAAACTTCTAGTAAAACCTTTGAGGGGAATCTGTTCAGTTTAGTTGAGCTCTTTTCATCCAAGGAGGTGTGTGAAGGAGGCTGGGCTGAGGGAACTTGCTCCAGAGTCATCTGGCTCATGTTGGGGTCATCTAATCTAACGCCCGGTTCAACACTCAAGAGGCATGTCACCCCCAACATCTGGCTTGCCAGCTTCTCCTTGAAGACCTGAGAGAGGGATTGATCACCCTCTTCACGATGAGCTCCGATCCTGGCAGAGTCTTCTCCAAATGCTCCCCTTACCCAGAAGCTTCTCCTTCTCCTCAAAGTTCTTCTCCTCCTCCAACGTAAGCGAATCACCTTCCTGCCCCCAGGGAAACGAGTCCTCTTCTAGTGAAGGCCCACCAGGAGCAAAAATCGTGACTGACACAGCATTAACTTCTCCTAATTTGTGTTGATAAGCGTCACATTGATCAGTAACTTTGGCTGCATGGTTTTGTCGCTTTTTGTCTGTGTGTTGTGCTCCTTCATACATCCAACCCTTGACGCTCGGCGTGCCAGCCCTGAGTTGCACCTTCCGAGTCCGTCTTTTACCTGATTCATTTTTATTTTTTCATTTTTGTCACCCTCTCCCTCCTCCTCCTCCTTCTTCCACCCTCCCATCTTCTGCTGCTCACCACTGGTAGAAGACAGCTGGTGGCACCTCCTGCATGTCGCTTCTCTTTCTTCTCATGCTGGCATGTGATGGTGGCACTGTTGTGTTCTCTTCCTTTCCCTTTTTACTAACAGACGCAGACCAAACTGGAACATGCCCGCCTTAAGGAGCTTGAGCAGAGTCTTCTCTTTGAAAAGACCAAAGCTGACAAACTCCAGAGGGAGTTAGAAGACACTAGGGTAATGGACGTCGCTATGTTTCAATCTAGGTGGCCGTGGGGTGTGCATGTCTGCATGGAAGCGATTGAGAGTTTTCAGTGGGGAAGGTTTATGGTGTTGGAGCTAGGTGGCTGGTTGTATTTTGGAAAACTTGAGCGGTCTACCAGAGGCCACAAATGTTCTCTTCTATTGCTACCACTTGATTTTGTCTTCCCGTGTCTCTAAAACATTCAGTCTTGCTAAACTTAAAATCCCTTTTTCTGGACTAGCTTTCAGGCTGCTGTGAAGTCCCGGTAAGATAATTTCATAGAAGGGAATAAGAAATAATACATATAAAACAAGTCTAAGAGATGCTAGAACCTCAAGAGTAAGGTAACCAGGCTTGAGGAGCTGATGAACGTTCAGCTGTCCTTCATCTACACAGTGAGGACCATCTTAGCTTCCTGGTTAAGCTTGAAGGTCTAGAGCTCTTCAAAAAGAGTTGTCTGACATGATACAGGTTCTCCAGCTCAAGCAGGGGGTTGGACCAGAAGACCCCCAAGGTCCCTTCCAACTATATTATCCAATCTTCTAAAAGTCACGTGAAGAAAGCCTTGGTGGTTAATTGTTCACAGAACTGGTTTGGAGATGGGCTGAAATGTCGTGGCTCTCAATTTTCTGCAGTCGTGGAATTAACATTTCCTTAGAGTTTTACTTTTTAAGGAACCCTTCAAGGTGTTCTGCAAACTTCTGATAATGTGCAAGCTGCAGCTGTAAGCTTTTGATCTTAACAGCCTACATATCACTAATTTCTAATGGTTGGGATCGAGATTTACTTCTAACGCACAAAACAAAAAAGCACACAAATACATTTTGTGTGAGTTGAAAGTTCCTATTTTATAATAGTACGTGGGATTTCACTAACAGCGTCCCTTAGAGAAAATAGAGAAACGTAGATTATCAGTATGTTCTACTGGTCTCTTTTGAAGCACTGAAGATGCCATGTTAGTGCTCTGAAGTATTTAGAATATCTCAGTGCCCCCTTTAATATGTTCTTTTATAATATTCTCCTTTTTAATGCTGCTTTTTCCGCAGGTCGCCACTGTGTCTGAAAAGTCTCGTATCATGGAACTGGAACGAGATCTCGTATTGCGGGAGAAGGAAGTCGCTGACCTTCGGTCAAGATTGGAGTCTAGTAAAGTGACCAGCAATGTGGACACGTCTCTCTCACTGCTCCAGGAAATCAGCGCTCTGCAGGAGAAGATGGCATCGACGAACAAGGAACATCAGGAGGAGATGAAGTCAGTGCGGGAAAAACTTGGGGTCAGTGAAGAATCCTACCAGAAGGAAATCAAGGCCTTGTTGTCCTCTAATGAAAAGATGGCGAAAGAAAACAACTCCTTGAAAGGCAAGCTGGACACGGCCCACAAAGAGAATTTAGAGGTGATCGAATCGTGGAAATCGAAGCTGGAAGCTGTGATGGCTTCTCATCAGCAAGCCATGGAAGAGCTGAAGACCTCTTTCAGCAAAGGAGCTGGGATCCAGGCAGCGGAGTTTGCAGAGCTCAAGGTGGAGATTGAGAAGATGAAAGAGCAACATCAGAACGAAGCATCTAACTTGAAGCTGAAGCAAGAAGGTGAGAGGTTGTGTCTCACGAAGGAGATCGAAGCCCTGAAGACCAAGCTGCTGGAGGTCACGGAGGAGAAGGAGAGAAGTTTAGAAGTGCTGAAAACCCAACTGGAAAGCGCAGAAGATCAGCACCTGGTGGAAATGGAGGACACGCTTAACAAGTTGCACGAATCCGAAATAAAGGTAAAGGAGTTAGAAGGAATACAGGAGAAGTATGTGGAGCAAACCAAGGCCATTGATACCTTTAAGACAAAGATCAAAGCTGCTGAAGCAAAGCTCATGAAACTTGATGGCCTTCAGAGGGCCCTTTCTGAAGGTAAACTGGAGTTGGAAAAACTCAGTGAGGAACACGAAGCCGCCCAAAAAAAGATACAGAGTTTAGAGAATGACAGAAATAATGAAAGTAGCCAGGTTTGTACCAACATCCATTTTGTGCTATTTTGCTTTAATGTTTGTCATTTTTTTCTTCTTCATTCCATTGATTTCATTTTGTGTTGGCTTGAGGGAGTCTGTTGTTCACACATTTGAAAACTTACATCAAGCTTTCTGAACGAATTAATAGATCCCAAATTCTGAACAAATTAATGGACTTCCTGTGATAGTTACAGGATGACAAAAGGAACTATTTAAAGCAGCATAATCAAATCCTTGATGGAATTGGCAACAAGCTGCAGAGAGGTCCGTCAAGTTGGAAGGGTTTTAACTGGAATTTAGACCAATTTGTGGAATATAAAATAAGCTTCCAAATGGCCATTAATTATCCATGGAGAGAGAGAAGATCTTGGTTGAAAGAGGTCTTCAATTTTAACTTCTGTAGAAGACTGTTCAGGATGACACCTTGATTGTGGAATAATATTGAACAGGGGTCTCCACCCTTGGCAACTTTTAAGACTTGTGGACTTCAACTCCCAGACTTCCCCAGCCAGCTATGAATTCTGGGAGTCGAAGTCCGCAAGTCTTAAAGTTGCCAAGTTCCTGATACTGAGCATAGTTCCGGACTAGGAATTCCAACTAGAAAGGTGGTTTGGATTTCCTCTGTGATACCGAAGGCCTTAAGGCAGAGTAAGCTTCAACCTTTCTTTGAGGAGAAGACAATCAGTGTCTCTCTTTCAACTCAAGAAGCCTAGTCCTTCTTTCAAAAGCAAGTTAGGGGTTTCAGAACTTAGAAATGGAGCTTAGAATGAAAAACAAAATTGTTTAAGAGTTGCTATCTTCCTAAAGTTCTCCTGATGCTATCATTGTCATGTCTGAATGCCATTCCAGTGCATTAACCGCCCCCTTTCCCTTTCATTTCCCGTTCATGAAAGTGTTTGTTTTTGCCTGCATTTCAACTTGTCCTTCTCGCAGATGCCTTGGTTTGCTTCTCTTGTTTCCTTTGGGTAACTTTTCATTTTTACATCCACCCTTGGTCCACCTGGCTAGGCTGCGAGTCTAGTCAAAGAACTGCAAGCGAGAGAGAAAAAGCTGATTGATCTGGAACATCACTTAGGCACAGTCAACCAACTTAAAGATTCTCTGGAGAAGGAGCTGGAGGACTTGGTGAGTAACCGCTGGGCTGTGGGGCCGATCCACTCCAGAGCTTTGCTTCAGGGCTTTGAGGGGGCCGTTGGCAGCTCCTCCAGAGGCATTTAGGCCTTCCAAGGTAAGACAGTAAAAAAAAGGCCGCTTTTGCAGTGATGTGATCAGAGCACACTGCGTCTGGGAGATTTGCAGTTGTCAAATAATGTTCTTAGACTTGCTTTAATTCTAAAAGACTAGCCAAATGTTGCAAAGAATTCAAGTAGCATTTTTGGCATCTGGCTTAAAGCTGCTTTGGGCTGTTGCATCTTAAAGTGTAGCGTTGTGACTCGCTGTCACAACGCTACACAACATAAGCACATAAAGTGTGCTTATGTTGTTCTGTTCAGAAAAATGTGTTCCTCTTCTCTTCTAGAAGGAAAAATTTACGAAGGGTGCTGATGAGGCAAAAAGCTTACAAAAATCTATGCAAGGTAGGTTTCTCACGAACGCAACCTTCCTTTAATTTTTTTTTTTAGATGGGGCAGGAGGAACAAGGAATGAAATCTTTTTTAAAAAAAATAATAAAACAGCTTGCTCAATTTAAGAAAAATCTCTCTTTGAGAAGCTGAACCAAACTCTGACTAGCCCTGTCTTTTGCTCCTTTTTAGAAACTCTTGAAAAGCTAAACCAAAAAGAGCTGCAGTTTGCAGGAATGTCAGGCGAACTCGATCAGCTAAGATCTCATTTCACGGGTAAGAAGAAGAAGCTGCAGACTTTTTTTCACCGCAGTTGAATTCAGAAATGACGCAGCTTCAGCCTTTTGCTCGCAGCATTTGCAGCCACCGTTACAAAACCATTCCAACCTAAAATCGAAAGTGTGAATAGCGGTCATTTCTTGTGGGAAGGAGGGTGACCTCCCACCTTCGTAAGACCGCCTGCCTTTCTTGTCTCATCGTGCAGCCATGGAGAAGATGCTGGGAGAAAGAGAACTCAGAGAGCAGCAGCTGCTGGAGGCCAAAGCCAAGCTGGAAAACGAGGTGGCCGAAATCATGAGGTCTTCGGGCGACAGCTCTTCCCAGCTGACCAAAATGAACGACGCTCTGCGGCTCAAAGAGAAGTAAATCCACCCCCTGCCCCACCCCATCTGAAGTAACTTCTCCAGGCTTTAGCCGTCCTGAATAAATAACTTGGGGAGATTGTCCGTATTTTTAAAAATTATATATTTTTTTGTTTTGAAAAAAAAAAAAAAAGCTTCTCAGTTCTGGTTTTTTATGGTCTCCAGCTCCTGAATGATAATCTGAGCATCGGTTTCTCAACCTTGGCCTCTCTAAAATGTGTGGACTTCAACTCCCAGCATTCCCCAGCCAGCAATTTTGGAAGTTGAAGTCCACACCTTTTAGAATTCTGGGAGTTGAAATCCACACACCTTAGAATTCTGGGAGTAGAAGTCCACACATCTGGGAGTGGAACTCTGTACATCTTCCCCATGTTGCTCTAGGTCAGGGGTAGGCAACCTTGGCTCTTTTATGACTCGTGGACTTCAACTCCCAGAATTCCTGAGCCAGCATAGCTCAGCTTGGAAACCTCTCCCTTTCCCCTCAGCATGGCTGGCTCAGGAATTCTGGGAGTTGAAGTCCACGAGTCATAAAAGAGCCAAGGTTGCCTATCCCTGCTCTAGGTGAAAGAATTAAGCCAAAACCTTGCCCATAAAATGCAGACCTTGGAAGAGCTTCGCCATCGTCCAGGCCTGCTTATTCTCAAACCCACCCTCTGGGACTGAATGGCTGTTGTCAATTTTAGGCAACTGGAAGAGCTGCAGGCCCAGCTTAGCAAAGCCAACACAGGCACAGCTCAGCTGCAGGAGGATTTGGTGCAGGCGGCCCGCCAGGCTGAAAAAAAGCAGGAAGAAATGTCTGCACGGCATCAGGAGGAGCAGCAAAAAATGCAGAACAAATTGGGCACCCTGGTAAGAACGTGGGGAGGGGGGACAGAAATCTGGTGGGCTATTAGGAATCTGCAGAGACATTTCCACCTAAGTGGATCTGCAATGCTCTGTGGATTATAAAACAGGGAGGCTGCAAACTCCTGCCTTCAATCGGATGTTCCTCTTCCTGTTTTGTTTTTGTTTTTGTTTTGTTTTGTTTTTTGTTTTGCAGGAGAAGAAAATAGCAGCTCACCAAGAGGAGCAGAAACACCTGCAAGCCGCCAGTGAAAAATTGCGATCGGAAATGGCTGCCCAGCATGAAGCAGCCCTCAAGGAAGTCCAGCAGGAGCTCCAGAAAAAGGAGCAGCTGCTCGCGAAGATCCAGAAGACCAACAGCGAGTTGGAGAAACAGGCCAAGGAACTGAAGAAGGACGCTGAGCATGCAAAGGTGCACATCTGTCTTTGGCAATGCCGGCAGGGGGATTCTGGGAGTTGAGGTCTGCCCTTCTTAAAGTTGCCACAGTTGAGAATCCCTGCTCTAGGCCTCCAAGTCCTTCCTGATTTTGCTCTTCTTCAGTTTGCTAGCATTTTATAGGTTTGGGAGGGGGTGCTTAAAAAGCTCCTGATTCTGCTCAAAAAGAGAACCTGTGCTACCGTAGAAATGCAGTTAACCTCCGACAGCAATTAGTCATGTTCCTTACTGACTTTGAGCAGTTTCAGTTCTAACTGTTTTTTATTTTGCCTCTCCTTGAAAATGATTCCTGACATTTCATTTCCCATTATATCTCCACTCTGCTTTAAGCTTTGTGTTTTGCAAGTCCTGTATCTGAATACATGGTATATATAATGACACACAGATTAGAGGGAAGGTTCGTATCCACGAGGAAGGCGGGATAAAAACTTGAAAAAATTATAAATCCTCACCTCTCAAAGGAGGAACGTAAGCTAAAATCTGGGATTAACATGCTGTTTTCTGTTTTGGAATTAGTGTGACCTGTAATGCCTCCGTAGCAATCCTTTAATTTGGGATCAGGTACACAGGTAGTCCTCGACTTATGAGCCCAAAATTTCTGTCACTAAGTGAGACATTTGTTAATTGAGTTCTGCCGCATTTTACGTCCTTTCTTGCCACAGTTGTTAAGCAAATCAGTGCAGTTTTTTAGTAACACAGTTGTTAAGTGAAACTGGCTTACCCAGTGACTTTGCTTGTCAGAAAGTCATAAAAAGGGATCACATGATCCTGGGACACTGCAATCGTCATAAATGTGAGATAATTGCCAGCCTGCTGAATTTTGATCATGTGACCATGGGGGTGTTACGACGGTTCTGTGAAAAAGGGCCATAAGCCACTTTTTCTGGTGATGCTGTGTAACTTTGAAAACGGTCACTAAATAAACTTTTGTAAGGTGAGGACCACCTGTATTTCATGCCGGTATTCCCTGCAACATCTCCAGCGACTTGGGTAGCCTCAAGCAGGCCTCTCTGTGTGTCAGTATATAAACCTGCTTAATCTTGTTTTGGAATAGTCGTGCTATTTATTAATCCATCCTCGCCTGCTCGACTTCATTCTCTTTGTGTTTTGTCTCCCTGTCCTTTTGTTCATGTAGTCTTTAACCTCTATGTTAGCAACAGCCAGCAAGGAGATTGAACTAATGTCAGAGGAGATGAGGGCCTTGATAGCAGAGAAGGAAGTCTTGGCACAGGAAGGGAATGCTTTAAAGTTAGAAAAAGGTTCCTTGTTATCCAAGCTGGTAGACTTGGAGTCCAAGATTGGGCTGTTGAAACAAGATCAGGAGAAACTGTGGACCGTTAACGAGGAGCTCAATCTGGAGAACAAAAAAACGGCCAAGGAGAAACAAGAAGCTGAGAACAAAACCCAACAAGAGAAGGAGAAGAACGACGAGCTGATCTCCGAAAAGGGAAGGTTGCTCCTGGAGATTGAGGCTGCCCAAGATGACCTCCTTAAGATCACGAGAGAGAATGACGCTCTACGTACATCGAAGGCAGCTCTCCTCGGTCAGGTGGAGAAGCTCCAAGCCCACAATCAGACCCTGGCCGAAGAATGTCAGAAGCACGTCAGCCAGCGGGAAGAACTGGAGGATTGTCAGAGGAAGCTTTCGGAGGAGAACGCCGCTCTTCTCAAAGATAAGGACGATGTCATTCAGAAGCTGAAGAGCTCGTACGAAGACATGGCCAGAGACCAAAAAGAGCTGCTTCAGGAAGTGACCACCTTGGCTGCTGAGAGGGACTCGCTCTTGGGCAAGCATTTGGATCTAGAAAACAAGCACGTCGCTTTGAAGAGGGAACGGGATAGTCTCCTGCAGACCAGCCAGGACCTGCAGTCTGACAAGGAGACCCTCTTGAAGACTCAGGAGGAGAGACGCAAGAGCTTAGAGCAAGCTCTAGAGGGAAAACAGGAGCTTCAGTTGAAAAGCGAAGGCCTTCAGTCCAAACTGGAATTATCAGATAAAGAGCTTAAAAAGGTCACCAAAGACAAGAGCCAACTGGAGGCCTCTCATGCTAGTCTTTCAAAACTCCTGGAAGAGATTAAGGCCAGTCGGGCATTGACAGACACCGAGCTGATTCAGCTCCTGCAGGAGAAGGAAGCCTTGGTCTGCTCCGAGAGAAGACTTGCAGCTGAAAGGGAGGAACTTTGGAACGAAAACAAGAACCTTTCAGAAAAGCTGGCCCAGATCTCTGAAGAAGCTGCCCTGATTGAGAAAGCCTTGAATGAGAAGCTGAGCCAGTTGAGCGCGGAGAAGGAGGTGGCATCACAGAAGTCTTTGAAGCTCAAGAAGCAGAACGAGAGCCTCCTCAAGGAGAAGGCCTCCTTGGAAGCCAAATGTGCCGAGCTCCTGGCTGAGAAGCAGTCTGCCACCAAAGCTGTGTGTGAATTGAAAAAGAAGCATGAGTTGGACATTTCTGCCAAAAGGATGCTGGTCCAAGACAAGGCCAAGCTGCAGGGTAGTGCTGAAACCCTGAAGCGAGAGCTCGACCAGAAGATAGAAGAAAACCAAGATCTTGTCCGGTATAAAGCTGAACTATCCAAAATCTTAAAAGAGACCCAAAGTGCCAAAACAGTGTTGGAAAACGAATACTCTGCCTTGCTTCATGCTAAGCAACTCCTAGCTGCTTCCTTTAAGAGCAGTTCTTCGGAGAAGGAACTGCTGAACAAAGAGAAGGTCCACTTGCAAGAAGAATGCCAGAAGCTGAGCAAAGAGCTCAAAACCATCTACAATAACCTGACGATAGAGCGTGAAGGGCGTATGCTGGAGAAGGAGTCCTTTCTGGTAGAGAACACCCAGCTCCACAACTCCATTAGTCACTTAGAGACAGAGAAGGAACAGCTGATGCTAAAGAATAAGGAGTTGTTGGTAGAAAGGGACCGGCTGAAACAGGAGAAGTTGAAGAGCGAGTCCAGGCTGGAAGAAATTATGAAGGAGAAAGAGGCCCTCAGTGCCGAGACGGACCAGTTGGCCTCCAGCATTGAGAAGCTGAAGAAGGAGTTTGCGGCTCTGACCAAGTCCAAAGCGGAGCTGCAGGAACTTCACAGCAGCGTCTCCAAGATCCTAGAAGACCTCCGTTCCAGCCACCAAACCAGTGAGCTGGAACGGGCTAGACTGCTTCAAGAGAACGAGACGTTGCTTCTGGAGCAGAAGCACCTCGTCGCCATCAAGGAAGAGATCTTGAAGGAGAAGGAGAAGTTCTCCGAGGACTACTACAAACTGCACGAGGAGATCACCCTTCTAGCCCAGGCCAACAGTGAGATGTCCGCCAGCCTTTTGGCGGCTCAGAGCAAAATGCAGACCCTTCAGGAGGAGCGAGATGAACTGGTCTTGAAACTGGAGGGCATTGAGAGTCTGCAGGCCCAGGCGGTAATGCAAAGATTTGAGGTATCGAAACTGCTAAACCAGTCCAGTCACACAGTTACTAACACCAATCACTAACGGTTCCTGTGTCTGCACTTAATTTTGCACGATCGAGCACCCTTGGAACACCCTTCTTAATTCTCTTACGGATAGCAAATTAAGTTGATTTGTTTTGTGGGCTGAGGTTCACCTCTCTTCAACAGTTGAAGTGATGTGATGGAGGAGTGGAAGAGGGTTCTTTTGGGGTCTCACCATGGCTGAATATTCAAATCGGCTTTTCAAATTGTGAATAAAAAGGCACGTAGGTGTGAATTGAATATTGACCCATGATTGGAAGTGGACTTATTTTAAATTGGTGTCTTGGAACTGAGGGTTACGCCTCCCTCTATCCCTTGTCTAGGTGGAGCAAAAAGACAATTTCTAAGCAGAATTGTTTCCAAAATGAAAGTTGCAAAGCCTGTTCCCTTTTTATTCACAATAATAGGGTTTCACCACCAAGAGAAGACAAATTAGAAGGCTGAACCGTCCTATCTCCATTTCGTAGAACCTGAAGGTTCATTTCAACCGCTATTCTGTCTTAACTCGACTGATCTTAAAGCTCAGAAGGCTTTATTGAAACGTTTCGATGATCTCTTCTTGTCCCCCAAATTTAGAGGCATGGTTGTTGCTCCTCTGATTTTTCAATAATCTTTAAAAAAAGAGTAGAAATCTATTGGTGGTGAAGCTCTCTCTTGAATTATTAAGAGTAATTTAAAAAAAAAATAATTCACAAAGATAATTGAATTGGGGCCCACGATTTCACTTGAATGATACTAGCATGGGATTGTAATTTAATTTCTGCATGGAACAGTAGATTTAATTGTGCTTCTGGCACGGAAACGCTGGAAGCAGAGAGGTTGGTTTGGCACACCAGTGGCAGCTGGATTTTAGCATAAGGATTTGCTGCTTACTCGAGAGAAATACTATTGACTAGAGCAGCGTTTTCCCCAACCTTGGGAACTTCAAGAAGGGTGGACTTCAACTCCCAGAATTCTCCAGCCTCTTATGAATTCTGGGAGTTGAAGTCCGCCCTTCTTCCACGTTACCAAAGTTGAAAAACGCTGTGTTATAGGTAGGCAGTCAGAGGCAGGCAAAGTGGAAACCTGCAGAGAGCTTGGATTACAGCTCTCATAATCCTTAGCCACCATCAAAGTGGCTCAACTTATGGAAGAGAGAGCTCTGAAGGACACCAGGTTGTCCTCTGATGGTAAGCCCACCACCATCTTCACCATCTTTTGCCCAGGACTTAACCTGGGGGGTGGGGTTTGTTTGTTTTTTTAAAAAGACTTTATTTTTTTTAAAATCGTTTAGACTGCAAAAACAGCAGAAGATGCTTTGCAGATAGTGGAGCAAGTGACCAAAGAGAAAGACATCCTTCAAAAGGAGAAGATGGAAATATTGGCCTCCTTTGAAGATTCCAAGCAGGTCAATCACAAGTTGAAAAAAGAGGTAAATAAAAATTAAATCTCTGCTTTTTCATCCTTCCTTCAATGACATGCTTCCAAACTGAACACCCCAAATGCATGAGGGATTCCCGCTTTGGATCCCAAGTCCAATCCTCAGAATTTCCAATGAAGAGAAAGACTCGGATGACAAAGGATGGGGAGGATAGGGTTAGGGAGGATCCACTTGGAGTAATGGGCAGAGATCCAGGGCACAGCCAGTGGCTACCATTAGCAGGGAGATCCCTGTAGATTCCAGAAAAAGGATCTCTCGTTTCTCCCCTTGCTCTGTTAAGAAAACGAGAGTCCCAATGAAAGAAAAGTTGTTGTATTTATCAAATCCACTACGTGGCTTCCAGGCAGATGGCTAAATCCATCCCCACGTCCCACCCCTTTCTAATTCTTCCAGAGTAGGCAGAGATTATCTGTTATGAAATAAAATATATCTCCCACCCCCCACCCCACCCCTGTTTATGGACAGAGGAGACTGAGAGGCCGATGACAAGACCTCGCCGGGAAAAATGAAAATATGGGGACCCCAAACCTTGCTTTGGACTTTGCAGACCCCCTAAGGAGATACTATTTTTTTTCAGAATTAGCTTGTTCCCCACTAAGTAGGCTGTCCTAGATCCTCACACAGAGGCCTTGGCCCACATCTGACACAGCTGCTTTAGCAGAAATGAAAAAAGGGTCAAGACAAGACTCGGTCAGCGTTCTTCACTCCTGGGAGTTAATTCCCCCCCCCTTTTTTTTTTTTAATTTCCTTTTCCCCTCTCAAGTTGGACACTCTTAAAGAAAGCCAGCGAAAGAATCAAGAGGAGCTGACAAAGTCTCAGGAACGTCTGAACACCGAGAGCCAAAACCTGGAAGAACTTAGAAAAGAACTGTGAGTCTTTGTTCTAACTTGGGGGAGACTTTCGTTCTGGGGGGGCAGGGGGGGGGGAAACGTTTATTCGTGGAATGGGAAGGAGAGGAAATGAAGAGAAAAAAGCCAGCATTCCTAAAGCTCTGGGTAGAACAAAAATAGCCAGAATTTGCAGCTGCTTCTGGGTGTAAGAGACAAAACGGGGCTGCATTTGAAACAGAGGTTGCTATTTTGGTCTCAACTGGCTGAAGAGGGCACATTTTCTGCCAGTGTTCCTTTGTTTTTCCCCTGTGTATTTTCTCCATCATGAACAAAATGTCAAGGAAATGCCAAACATGCTTTTTTATTATTATTATTATTATTATTATTATTATTATTATTATTATTATTATTATTATTATTATTATTAATGGCAGATTTTATGCAAGAAGTCCACCAGCACGGGACTTTCCAAATTACGTATAATTAAACCACGTTCATTGTGCGTTTTTGTTATTTTGCGGGTCAAATCAAAAATGTTCATCGCAAGTCGTAGGAGAAATGGGCTGTTTGATGCTTATTCTAAGATTATTATGGGTGTTTTACCTCTCGATTCGTGGAAGCGGAAAACTCACATTTTCGTAGATGGATATGAGATTTATAGACGAAACTAACTTTTTTTTACACTGCAGTAGAAGCGGTCCTTGACTTAACGACCAGAACTTCTGTTGTTAACCGAGACAATTACACAAGTAAATTTTCAGTACTGTTGCACTGAAAGTTACAACAGTACTGAAAAAGACTAGAATTACAGCCCACGCAATGTCTTTTTTCTTAATGAACTCAGCTGTGGCTCTCCCATTATGGTTTACACTATACAAAATACAGTTTTAGTCTCAGGTGTGTGTGGGCAGCCTGTGCAAAAAAAAAATATCTTTTTTTCTCCCAACATATGCTGCGCTGCTTGAAAAGCCTCACCAACTAAAATCTCTTCTAAAAATAGATAGCTTGACGGATGCGCGCATGCAATTCTTGCACACAGCAGGCAGGAAAGCAGATGGTAATCCCTGCTGGCCTTCTTTTATTAGGTTTTAGCGCAGGCTTTTCAAATCAAACGGTTCCCGTACGCTCGCGCTGGCCAATCTGGAGAGGAAGAAATCTAATTTTGCAGCGGATTAATTCACTTACAGGAATGTAGGACACCGCGATGCAGCCGGCAGGACCCAGGGAGACGTTTGTCTCGAAAAAATATCCGAGCTTTCCCACCTTGCCTATCGGGCGGGAGATTCTCAGGGACCCCAGGTCCTATTCACACAGTTTTTGTACAAGTCAGTGACTTTTTGTCTTCCACAAGAGGAACGCTCCCTCCAAAGCGTTGGGGAGGGGTTCACCAGGCTCAGCCGGGACTCTGTGGTTGCGTCCGTGAGCCTGTGTGAACGGGATGTTTCGTGAATGGAGCTTTTATGAACCAGCCCCCCTGCCTGCTTGGCAGAATTGATGCCTGCCAGCCAAGACAGCGGGCACCGCCAGATTGTCTTCAGATCCAGAAGCCATCACAGGGAGCTTCCTGTCCATCTGATAACGGAGACTTGCAAGAGCATTTAGGATTTCCTGGGATGGCTGCTTCGTGGTCTGTTTCCAAGGGGGGCAACCCGGGCAACGGAAAGAATGAGCAAGCCCTGATCCCTTGGTGATCGATACTAGACCGAGGAAACGGAGGGAGGGTGGGCGGGCTGTTTCTCTATCAGCCGTCTCATCAAACCGTGACAAACCGTGACGCGGTTTGCAAGCCGGTCTCTCTTCCCCCGTCTCGCCCCCTTCCCTTCCATCCTCCTTGTTCCTATGGTAACCCTGCTGCCTTCCCCGTCTCTTCCAGAGAGGTGCTCAAACTGGCAGAAGAGGAGAAGTCCCACCAGCTCGCCGTCTTCCAGGAAGAGAACCTCAAACTTGCTAAAGAGCTGGGAAAAGGAGACCTCGCCAGTCACCAGAAGGTAGGCAGATTTTTCGGCCTCGGGCTTCCCACTTGGGTGGGGAAGGGGGGGCAGAGAGTCTAGAGGGGTCCCTGAGATACTGGGCACGTGGATGTGGGAGAGAGGAAGAGGAGGGCAGGGTTCAGAGATGGTGCCCTCTGCGGGGCCAATTCCAGGGCAGAACTTGTGTTGTTAGGAGGAATCTCACTCGTGAAGCTTCTGGGGAGGCGACTACATTCACAGCAAGGGGAGATTAATTTTGGCTGTGCAAAGCAAGCCCTTTGTTTTGAGAGACGGGGACGGGCTGTGTGTGTTTGCAGGACCCCCTGCCTGCATCTCCTAAATATTTGAAGACGTTAGCATCCAGAATTCCCACCATAAATAGATTTTCGATGGAGTGGGGTTTTTTTTACCTGGAGCATCTTTGCAAACCAAGCTCATTTTCTGAAGTACACCCAGAATCACTGTTAATTTGCACCGGAAGGAAATGGCTTTTTAGGAAGATTATGTTGAAAAAGTGGAGGGAAAAAATCCCTGCAGCTGCGCTGTGAGTCTTGCTTTGGGGACAATTAATGAGTGTTTTATTCAACCTCGGCGCCTCGAAGATGTGTGGACTTCAACTCCCAGAATTCCGCAGCCAGCAGTTTAACTGGTACTTAATATGTGGCCCTGATTCTTTGCGCCTGACAAGAGGGTTTATTTTAGATTCTGGCACGTTCTAGGTCTAATAAGATAGAGGTTTCAGATCTTTAAATTGTTCATTATCTTTTATTTTGGTATTTTTACACGAGCGATAGACGTCTCATGGGGCTTAAAGTTTGAAGATGCCCCCTGCAAGGGTGGAAGAAACAAGATTTAAAAAGGGCCTTCTAAAGCTAGTTTTTAGTAATAAAAAAGTGTATGACAATTAAGGAGTAAGGCAGTATTTTATTCCTTCGTTTGTGTGTTGTGTTGTTATTGCTGTGGTTGTTGAGTTTAGTCAGGGCCACCATGTCTTGTTTCATGCTTTTAACTCTATTTTTGGATATTTTAACCTGCTGGAATCTTGTGGAGTGGGCGGCATTATAAATACGAAATTAATAATGAATGAAATTATAAGAAGGAAATGCTGGTTGTTCAACAAGGTTGCAAAAAGCCTTAGAAGTAGCTAAATAAAATCCTCCCCCCCCCCCAAAGATATGGAATAGATTCAAGAGCCCAAGAAATTTCCAAAAAAGATACATAGTCTGAAAGGGAAGCCTTAATGGGCAGAGTAAAAATCCTCTTTTTTTTTTTTCTTCCTTCCTCTTTTGGTCTTCCAGCTGGAAGAAGAGAGATCGGTCCTCAATAACCAGCTCTTGGAGATGAAAAAGAGGTGAGTTTATTTGCACAGCTCTGGGGCGTGCAAGCAGTTAGAAAAAAAGAAAAAAATAAGAGAACATAAATCTCAAATAGAATTCTTTGATCCCGGCTACTATTAAAAGAATCTTAGCATTGCACCTTGGCTGTTCAAAACATTTTTGGCAGGTGGACTATTACATTAAAAATACATCAAAGCAGTTCAGCCCTACCCATCCCTAAAATGTGGATGGAAACGTGAATTTCTGGAAACTCAATACAATTTAGCTCATCCTCAGTACTTAGTGGATCTCTTCACTTCTCTGCACTTAACTCTGAGCCATTTTTAGCATTCCCGGGGAGGGGGGGATTTCCATGGAGACGTGTCAAATCCTCAAAGCTCTCTCTGTGTCCTCTTCTAAATTCTTCATGGAGAGTTTCTCTTCCGCCCCCCCCCCCCAAAATTGGTAAACTTAGAAGCTTGAAAAGGAAACCCCCCCCCCAAGGACATTGTCATTCAGGAAGACCCACTTCCCTCAGGAAAGGGCCCCCAATTATTGGGGGTCCTTATTGCTGTCTGAAAGCAGGCGGCTGTGAGTTCTAGTTCTTTCTTAGACACGGTGCCGACTGGGTGCCCTTGGGCCTGTCCGTCCCTCTCAACCCTAGGAAGGGGAAGGGAGTGGCAGCCCCCTTCTGTAAAAACTTTGCCAGGAAAATTGCAGTGATTTGTCAACTCAAAAATCAGCTGAAAGCACCAAACATATATTTGCTGTACCAAATACAGGGAGTCCTCGGGTTACAACAGTCCGTTTAGTGACCATTCAAAGTTACAACAGGACTGGAAAACGGGACTCAGGACCGTTTTTCACACTTACGACCGTTGCAGCACCCCTGTGGTCACGTGATCAAAATCCAGGCGCTTGGCAGGCCGAGGACTTACCTGTATTCTATTCTTTCAAACTTCTTTATTCGACCACAGTTTGATGTGTAGGCTAGGAAGAAACTGTTGACTGAAGTTGTTGCACCTCAGATATCCGCCTCTGAGGACCTTCTTGGGGGTCTTGTCCTATAGGGTCCCCTGCTCGCGCAGGGAGGTGGACTAGATGACCTCCAAGATCCCTTCCAACTCTGTCATTCTAGGATTCTAAGCTCTTGGTCTGGCCTTGACAGGCAACAGGCAACCTTTGCAAACAGAGGAGGGGTGTCACGCTGCCCCCTCTTCCCCATCACCCTCCCTACCATAAGGACACACCACACACACACACACACACACACACACACACACACACACACACACACTTTCTCTCTCAGCCCCTGGGTTGATCCTTTGGAAGGTGGAGGTAAGAAGCTGAGGGGGAATTCGGTGTTATTTCGGCTCCTTAGACTCGCTGTGGGTTTGCTGACTGTCTGACTTGGCTCTGCGCTTTTTTCTGAATCTTTTTCTTCCCTTCCTACCTTTTTGCTTCCTTGCTCTATCTGTGTGTCTTTAATGGTAAGACTAAAGAAAGTCTATCCACGTTACAATAAATAACTTTTTTTTTCCTCCAATGAAATCGTTGTATATATTTTTTGGCTGCCTTTTGTTACCTCCGTGTCTTGCTCTTTTTTTTTTTTTGGTTGTTTCTGGTTTTGAATTTATTTATTTATTTATTTTTGAGTTTTGGTTTTATAAAATACTCGGCAGTGTTAAATTTTTATAGATCTCTATTTTAATAACAACAAGCAGAATCGACCTTGGGTGCAAATTTAGTTCTTCCTTTACTGTATCTCGCATTTCTCTGCCATGTTTCTAACATGTGGTTCTTGTTATCTTGCATTTTTAAAGCTTGCCCAGTATTACTTTAAGGTACTTGCTTCGTTATTGCAATTTCTTTTATTTCCTTTTTGTGGCAAGGGGAAAATCTGGGTGGTGTTTTCTAGCAGGAGATTTTTGGAATTAACTCTTGAGATTGTGCCCAGAGTTAGTTGCCAAACTAATAATCTACAGAAATGAAGCACACACCAAATCCTTTTGGTGGAGTGAAATTTACTCCTTGTAAGAGACCTATTCCAGAGATTCTCCTGGTGGGCTGAGCCCTAGCTGTCCTTCAATTAATACAAAACTTGACATAACTTTCTAAAATTAATATTTCCCAAAATGATACAGCACTGATGATGTTACCCAGCTGGGTCATGAGATGTCTGCAGGAAAGCAATCCACCTCAGAGAGCACTCAGGACTCCACAGTTCAATCCTGAGCAACAGAGATTTTCTTCTGTTAGAGTTACTTTTTTTAAAAATTCTAATTTTAAACCTCAGCTAAGGCTCAAAACGGCCCCCAAAATGGAAGTTTTAAATTAACAGAATTTAGGGAGGGCCAGCCAATAATTCCAGCACAATCCCTGCTTTGCATGACAACTGTGTGTGTTTGAGCTTTGCATGCATTTTTGTGGCTTGTTCAGTACTGTTCTGAGAAATGACCAATGTAGGCTCAACCCTCCTTTCCTCCCTTTTCAATTCTCTATCTCCCAACCCTATTAACATCTTTCTTTTAAAAATAAAAATAAAAAATCTGAAATGGATACGATGATATGCAGATTCTGGCATGAATCTCCATAGGTAAACCTTCTCCCTTTGTTTCCCTGTCGTAAAATTCCCCCATCATTAAGGCCAACTGTAAAACTTTGCTTAGCTAAATAAAAGGATATTTAAGTTTCCAGAAAGCCCTGTTGCTGCTAATCCTTTTTTTTAAAGATGTGATTTTTAAACAAGATTAATGCAACAACTCTTCTGAAATTATCTGACCTTCTCTTTTAGAGAAGCCAAGTTAATAAAAGAGAATGATGAAGAGAGAGCTTCATTGCAGAAATCCATCAGTGTTACTAGTGCCTTGATTACAGAGAGAGACGAAGAGCTGGAGAAACTCAGAAATGAGGTACAAACATCCAAATATGTGAACTGTCGCAGCCTCTCATATCTGGGTAGCCCATAAAATATTATTCTTCCTTCTTCCCTCCCTTCTTCCTTTTTCTGTCCCTCCCTTGCTTCCTCCTTCCTTCGGGCTCACTTAGCAATAGAAATGTTGGGGTCAATTATGGTTGTAAGTCAGGGACTACCTGTTTACCCTTCATTTCTTTCCTTCCATGACATTATTAAATTCACGTGGCGTGTCCTTTTTCTGTTTGGACTTTTGCAGGTCTCGGTGCTCCGTGGAGAGAACGCCACGGCAAGGAATTTGCACTTGGTCGTTCAGTCCCTGGAGTCCGATAAGGTTAAACTTGAGATCAAAGTAAAGAATCTGGAGCAGAAGCTCAAAGAGAGCCAAAAAAGCTCTTCAGGTAAAGCCAGCTCTGAAATGTAGGTTACCTGCAGGATCCCTTCAGGTAGCCCAGTTTCCCCCAAGGGGACAGAGCCAACTTCCAATCCCAGAATTCAAGGAGGGGGCATTTGGGAAAAATCCAACCAATCAGTGTTTCTCAACCTTGACCACTTTAAGAGGGGTGGACTTCAACTCCCAGAATTCCCCAGCCCGCTGTTCTGTGTCCATTGGCTTAAACTGTTGCTTAAAACAACCCATAGAGTTTGTTCTTTAGAGAAGCCAGAGGGAATTCTGGGAGTTGAAGTCCACCTATCTTTAGCTAGCCCCGGTTGAAAAACCGTGCATTACTCCCAGCAGTCTGATTTTATCCAAACGTGGAGAAGCACATCCATATGTGGCCTCCTGAGACCAAGTCAACTGAACGCTCCCCAAGAGCCCAGAATCCCACCTGTCTCTGAGGAAGGTCATGTAAAATCCGATAGCCTTTACTTCGTGTCTTTCTAACATGTTTTTCCTCCTGTCTTGTCCAAGATGTTTCATCTGGGGGTGACCTCCAAAAGGAAGAAGCCCTCGAGAGCCAGGTAGGCTTCCGTCCTCTGGGCCGTATCATTCCATCATTGGAAAAAACTTGTCCAGAGATGGATTTTGCTTGAGATTGTGTTTATCCTGTCCTTAACATGCTAATATTTGCTTTCTTTGTTTTTTCCCCCCTTCCTTCCTTCCTTCCTTCCTTCCTTCCTTCCTTCCTTCTTCCCTCCCCCTTCGCTTTCCTTTTTGCCCCTTGCGTTGCTCTGCGGCTGGGGATAATCTTCTGGCATCAGCAAATGGTTGGTTTTAGCTTTCTTTGCTTTTTTTTAAAAAAATAAGTCTTCTCAATTATAACAACCTTGGGGTCCTTCTGCCAGGTAGCTGCTGTTCTCCTCAGCCTCCGAGAGAAGGCGCCCTTGTTCTTTCGGGTGACAAAACGGAGGAAGAGGAGAGGAGAGACAATAAGCGGGTGGCTGCATTATCCCCTGGGGTTTAGGGGCCTGCTGGGGGTGTCCCTCGGTCTGTTTCCTCCCTGCTCTCTTTGTCCCCTTCCAAGGAGATGGAGCTGTTGAGCTGCTGGGGGGAGTCACATTGTACAAATCAAGATAATAAGATGGGTTCCCTATTTTTTTGTACAGCGTTTTTGTTTTCAAGACAAGGCTACAGGTAGTTGTTGACTTACAACTGGAATTGAGCCTGGGATTGTGGTTGTAACTGGTTCAGGTTGTTAGGTGTCCATGCTTGATGTTACGACCTTTTCTGCACCGTCATTAAGCAAACACAAATACCGTAAAGAATGCAGGACACCACAAACAGCCGTAAATGTGAACTCGTTGCCAGGTACCCAAAAAACGATCAGGAGACCTTGAGGGGAGCATGATTGTCAGAATTTCAAATCCCTTGGGAGGTCAGCCGTAACTTCCAGCAGAGGGAGGTCAGCTGTAACTTCCAGCAGCTGCTAAGCAACCAGTTGTAAATCAAGGACTGTCTGTAATGCTTTTAGTTTCAAGCTTTTAGGAGCTTTTAGTTTCAAGCGATGAAGTTGAACTGAGCGCAGCCCATCGCAGGGGTTAGAGGTCATGTAGTCGATCCAGTTTGCCTCCTGTGGTGAGACTCACTTCTCGTTCTTCTTATCCTGAACCTTTCAGATTGACTTCCTAAATTCGGTCATTGTGGATCTTCAAAGTAAAAATGATGAACTGAAATCAAAATTGAACAAGATGTCCGAGGCAGCTCTCAACGGCGATGAGGAAGAAGTTATAAACTATGACAGGTTGGTGGTCAGAAAAATTGGGCATTTGGGTGGCTGTTTTCCTTGGAGTGGCTGATGGTGGACCCAGCTGGTTGGCCCAGAGCTGTGTTCCTCAACCTGGGAGTTGAAGTCCACATCTCTTTAAAGGGTCAAGGTTGAGAAACATTGGCTTCAAGCATTGGATAAACCGATCCGCTGAGCTCCAGGCAACATAGAGTCTCCTCCCTAGAGAGGCCAGACCATGGGGAATTCTGGGAGTTGAAGTCCAGACTTCTTAAAGTGGCCAAGGTTGAGGAACATTGGCATGGAGAATTGAAAAACCAAAAGCCAACTTCTTGCTGACTCCTGTTTCTCAGCAAAGTTCCTCAAGGAATGCCCATGAAGTCTACCAAGGTGGCAGGTGGGAGGCCATCAGCTTTTCTAAACTATTTCTGTCTCGACAGCGAGGGAGACAACCAAGTCAAGAGGAAACCTCGCCTCTTCTGCGATATTTGCGATTGTTTCGACCTCCACGAGACCGAAGATTGTCCTACGCAGGCCCAGGCGCCCGAGGAACCCCTCCACTCCACGTACCACGGCAGTCGGAAAGAGGAACGTCCGTACTGCGACATTTGTGAAATGTTTGGTCACTGGACCGCCAACTGCAACGACGACGAGACCTTCTGACGCAGGACGGGGCTGGAGAAGATGAACGTTGCTTTGAGCGCTAGTTGGACCTTGTCCTCCCCCCACCAACCTTCAAGGGTGGGGCCCGCAGGAGAGAAGAGAGAGGGGACCGGCACTTTTTCCTCCCAGAATTCCTTGCAGCAGCCACCCAGCTTAGAAAGACGTAGTGTGTCTCGTCTTCCACAAGAAAGATAATTTATTCTGCCCTTCTTAAAATGAAATTAAAATAAAGAATTTAACAGGGGCTGCCAATTTTCATTTAGAAATTTCATTTCCTGGGTTTGCCCCAAGAAACTTCCCCTCTGGTCGCCTCGCTTACTTTGGGGGAAAGGGGTGGGGGAGGAAATAAGAGGAGGTGGGGTGTCAAACCAACAAGCACTTAGTTCTATTTTAGCTAATTTAAAGCTCTTTGAAATTATGCTGTTAATTTTCCTATTTGCACTAAGCTCCTCCAAGCTGCGGTTGTACGTTTTTTTAGCGTTTGTAACGTTCTGACACTGGAATGGGTTTAAGAGGTGAACTCTTTTTGTTTTGTTTTTTTCTTTTTCCAACATTTGGGTTTTTCTCCCCCCCCCCAGCTTTGTGACCTCTCGTTCAACTGACACGCGTGAGCAAGCCTTCATGCGTGTGCTACTGGTGCAAGACCTTGAAGTAGTGCCTTCCTTTCCGTGAGATTTCTTTAACGCTGTGAGATTTTTGTCACGGCAAAAATACCACAAAGCAGGTCAGCCACTGCGGGGAACTTTTTTTTTTTCACCCTAACAAAACCTCTCCAGCTGTGCATTTGGGAAAATCTCTCCCTGTTTTTTCAGCTTCTGTAGAGTTGTACATAAGTACATATATAAATATATTTAAGAAAAACAAAGATTTATATTTTGGAAAACAATCTGATTGTCTTTAGCGCTTCTGTTATTCTGAATTCAGAGGGCTTTTGTGTACCGTAACTTGATTTACTGACTTTAAATAGCCTCAAATGTCGGAGATTTTTTTTATTTCTGACTGGGGTGGCATTTTGGGGGATAAGCGGGCTAGTTTGCATGTACCAAAAAAGGACAAAAAAAATATTCCAGCTACAGTTTATCAAAAAATCTGTCCTGAAATCAAGACCTTTTTTTAAAAACCAATTAATATGTAATTTATTTATTTTCCCCTGGGTTGGAATTTTGTTCCAGATGAATGTAAAATAGAAAACTCAATGTTGAAATAAGGTGAAGTTTCTAAGAAGCCGATACCTTACAAGAACATTTTAGGAAGTATAAAACCGAGCACACTTCTGAGTGAAACTGTGTCATGCTAACTTAATGCACGTGGCATTCCTGTGTAGTTAATCCGTCACGGAGTAAATGCCATGTACTCTTAAGAGAGACAAAGATGACGCCATGCTGTTTTTGCTCTTATTTTGAATGTCACAAAAAGAAATGTAAAGCAAATACACCATCAGCCTTCCTTGCTTTCTCTACACATGATGGAAGACTTTAACTCTTCTATAGTTGTGTTTGGGTTCATGTGTGTTTCTTTTTACACGCACACACAGACATATAGACAGGCACATATCTGTGCTAGTGGTTAATTATTCCCAGATTACAATCAGTATTTGGCCTATGAGGTGTTTTTTTTAAAATCAATGTAATTGTTTGAACTTTGGAGTAAAGAATGTATTATAGGGATAGTCATTAAAAAAGCAGGGAAATCAGTATTAAACTAAACCAATTGTACTGTATCTTTAATAAAGGGATTATTCTCTACTCATCGGCCTGGCCTCCTTCTTTTCACAACTGTTATATGAGTGGAGCTTTAGTATCCTGGGTAGCAGATGCTGTCCAAGCAACAATGCTGGCTTATGTTGGCCAGCCTGATGATTTGCCGGAATAAGTTATTTAAAGGCACATCAACTTTGAAAGTGTTAAGCTGTTACATTTATTTATTTATTTATTTAGCATATGGCATCTACAGAGGTCATGCAATCACTGATATACAACACTAATAAAACACATTTGTACAAACACAAAGTTTAAATAAAACATCAGTATGTGGATAGAAAAAGATGAAAAGGATAAATAAAAAGAAGACTAGGTAGATAGATAGATAGATAGATAGATAGATAGATAGATAGATAGATAGATAGATAGATAGATAGATAGATAGATAGATGATAGATAGATAGATAGAGTCTATGGAGATTCTCAGTCGTCCAGGTCATGGTTGTCCCAAAGATGCTTTTTCAAAAGGCAACTGGACTTTTTTTGTTTTTCCTTGAAGACGTTTCGCTTCTCATCCAAGACGCTTCTTCGGCTCTGACTGGATGGTGGGGAATGGAAGGATCCACCATCCAGTCAGAGCTGAAGAAGCTTGGATGAGAAGCAAAACATCTTCAAAGAAAAACAAAGTCCAGTTGCTTCCTGAAAACATAGGAATAAGGGACATAGAGGAAGGAAGAACGGAAGGATAGAAAAAAAAAGAAAAGAAAGAAAGAAAGAAAGAAAGAAAAAGAAAAGTACTTGGTCAATACAATATACAATTTAAAATAATAATATGGCATCACAGAATTACAATAGTATAGATACTATAACTCAATATCTAAGGGAGGGGTTGTGAAAGATGGGGATGGGACCCAAAAATCCCGGGGCGCCTCCGCCGAGAGCCTCACCTGGACGCCCAGGTAAGCGCCCTGACTCGGAGGGGGCGTGGCAGTGCCGAGGGCCCGCCTCCTCCACCTCGGCCGCCTCACGTGACCGTCGGGGGCGTGGCCAGCGCAGCGGCCATGGCGGCGCACCTTAGCTCAGGCCGCGTCCCGCTGACGGCGCTCAGGGAAGCCGGTCGCCGCGAGCTGCGCGCCTTCCTCGACAAATGCGCCGGATCCAAGGTCGGCGCGGCCCCGCCGGGGGCCCATACTCCACCGCCGGCCGGGAAGGATGGGTCCCCGAGTCCCCCCGCCCCTCCCTAACCCGCAGCCTGGATCCTCATCCTATTTCTAATTATCCTCCTCATTGGTGGATATTTCTCATGCATTGATGCCCTTCTGCATTGATCTTTTTAATTATCGTTATTATGCATTGATATCATTTCCCATTGATATTTATTCTGCATTGATATTCTCAAGTATTATTATCATCCTTCGTTACTCATTGATATTATTGTGCAGTGATTTTATTCTGCGGTGTATATTTATTGCATATTGGTGTTTTTAATTTGCATTTGTTCATCGGTATTATGCACTAATACTGCACACTGATATTTATTATGCATTGACACTTTAAAGTATCGTTATTTGTCATTCATTTATATTAATCTACATTGATATTATGTACTGTTATAAATTATCATTTGTTATTCGATGATATTATTATTCTGTTGCTTTGCATGTATACTGAGAGCTACCACACCAGAGACAAATTTCTTGTGTATCTAATCACACTTGGCCAAATGAAGTATTCTGTATTATTCTATATTGTTGCGTGTTTATATTTTTATGCATATTTTTATTGTTACTCATCAGTGTTCAGTTTTTATTATACATTGATTTATTTTATTTTATTTTATTTTTAAAATTTATAAGCCGCCCCACTCCCAAAGGACTCTGGGCGGCTAACAATAAAAAACACATAAAACATAACAAAACAAACAATGCAAAGACATTATTATTAGTCGTCAATATTTTGGATTCATTGTTGTTACTTATTGATATTTGTTATACATTGATATATTTATATGTCTTCCAAAATGTTGCTTTTAATTCTGTTTCTTTTTCCTTAGGCCATTGTGTGGGATGAGTATCTTACTGGGCCCTTTGGATTGATTGCACAATATTCTCTTCTGAAGGTAAGATACACTAGTTCTTTCATTTTAAAAGTATGCATATCTTGTTCTCTTCCTCTGGAAAAATAAAAAAAAACACACATTTGGCACATCTGGAGCAATACAGAGAGCGGCAAGCTTCTATTTCAAAGAAGACTTGCTGTTACCTCTATCGGCAAGCTGGTCCTCAAACCCCTTCTCTTTCTCAAATACTCAAACAAAATTGAATATTTTCATATTTGTTTTGATTGTTTCCCTCCAGGAACATGAGGTGGAGAAAATGTTCACCCTTAAAGGAGGTCTCCTTCCACCGGCTGATGTCAAGAACATTATTTTCTTTGTCAGGCCCAGATTAGAGCTCATGGACATAATTGCCGACAATGTGCTCAGGTAATGTCTCTGGGGTTGGCTGTGGCCTTTCTCACGAGGACAAACGCTACTGTTTATGTTGGCAGAGGAAGGGCAGAATATATGTTTCCCCCCCCCAGTTACGCTTATTCAGTTCTGAATTGGGGGGGGGGTATTAATCTAAATCAGGGATGTCTAATCTTGGCAACTTCAGGATTTATAGACTTCAACTCCCAGAATTCCCAAGCCAGCCATGACTCATGAATTTCTGACTCACGAATTCTAGGAGTAGATGTCCATAAATCTTAAAGTTGCCAAGGTTGGACGCTGCTGATTTAGTGATAACTTAATATTTAATAAATTAGAGTGCTCTATATACATTGAATGAATGAATAAATGAATGAATGAATGAATGAATGATGGTCATTTGAACTGGTCCAGGGACTATTAAAATTCAGCTGGCTAAGGCTTGATTGGATAAACTTCTCTTTTTCCAGCGAAGATAAAATCCGCTGTCCACAGCGCGATTTCCATATCTTGTTTGTGCCGCGTCGCAGTTTGTTATGCGAGCAGCGCCTCAGAGAACTGGACGTGTTGCACTGTTTTGTTCACCGAGAGGAGTACAGCCTGGACCTCATTCCCTTTGATGGAGACCTCTTGTCCATGGAGTCAGAAAACGCCTTTAAGGTCAGAACCTGCACAGGACTAAGGAGGCCACTCCCAAGACGGGAACCTGGAGCTCTCCAGGCCTCGTTTCTGATTGCGGGAAAATTGAGAGCGACTTTCCTTTCTCATAGGAGTGCTACTTAGAAAATGACCAGACCAGCCTCTACCATGCGGCAAAAGGTCTCATGACGCTCCAGGCTCTCTACGGAACCATCCCACTCATCTTTGGAAAAGGGGAATGTGCCAGGGTAAAAATAAGCTGGAAAGCCTTTCCTAATTTATAGCTCAGTTTAACTTCCAGCCAGCCTCTTTTGCAATGAGGGCCCCTTGGTTTAGATCAGGGGTAGTCAACCTTGGCTCTTTTATGACTCGTGGACTTCAGTTCCCAGAATTCAGCTGGCTCAGGAATTCTGGGAGTTGAAGTCCACGAGTCATAAAAGAGCCAAGGTTGACTACCCCCGGTTTAGATCATTTAAACTAGCAGGGTAACTTTAAGACTGGTGGACTTCAACTCCCAGAATTCCCCAGCCACGTGTGTGTGTCTCCTCTGTTGTTCTCAGGAAGGACAAAAGAATACTTTATCCCTCTTCTCTTAGATTCCATCTATGTTGTAACCAACCCAGTACACAAATTTTGGCTGGCTGGGAAATTCTGGGAGTTGAAGTCCAGAAGTCTTAAAGTTCTCGAAGTTGGATGCCTCTGATTTAGATGCTAAACGGAGGCTGTGGAAGGTTTGTTGCTGATGAAAAGCAGCTCAGCAGAAGATCCTAACTGCAGAGGATCAAACCACAGGAACAGTAGAATGTCTGCCACCTAATTTGGGCAATGTCTGAAATAGGCAGAGATGGTGGAAACCAGGATGGCTTGCTGGGTTGGGAGGGTCTTCTGCTTGGCTTGGATGTCTAGGAATTCAGCCAGCAGAGCAGAGCGTGGGAAAGGTAGTTTTAAAGTCTCCTGGTCTTTGCGAGGTTCATCTCTGTTGGCAGCCTGGGCCGTAACCTGCTGGATTCTCTGGATTGCAGCATGTGGCAAACATGATGATCCGCATGAAGAGGGAGTTTTCGGGGATCCAGAACCCCATTCTGCCCGTTTTCGATACCCTTCTGCTGCTGGACCGCAACGTGGATTTGATATCTCCTCTGGCTACCCAGCTGACCTACGAGGGCCTGATTGATGAAATATACGGAATTCAGAACAGTAAGTAAGAGCACGACCGGGAAGGTAGGAGCTTTGTCCATTCCTCTCAGCCTGGCCTGCCTCACACGGTTGTTGGGGGGGAAAGTGGAGGAAGCAGGCTCCCCAGACCACTTTGAGCTCCTCAAACCGAGTCACAGACAGACCTCGAGTTACAACAGTTCATTTAGTGGCTGTTCCAAGTTACAATCGCACTGAAAAAAAGGACTTAGAACTGTTTTTCACAATTCTCACCTTTCCAGTCTCCCCAGGGTCACGTGATCAGAATTCAGCTGCTTGGCAACTGGTTCATATTTATGACGGTCGCAGTGTCCCTGGGTCACGTGATCCTCTTTTGTGATCTTCTAAGAAGTAAAGTCAATGGGAGAAGCTGCATTGACTTGACATCCGGGTTACTAACTTACCAACTGCAGTGAGGCAAGAAAGGTTGTAAAATGGGGTAAAACTCAGTATGTATCTTGCTTAACAACATAAGTCAAGGACTACCTGTATATCTTCAGTGTGTGTCTCCTGGGGCTTCCTTCAAAACATCTGCCTCGTATTTTTTTAAATGATGTTTGGCAGCCTACGTGAAACTTCCCCCCGAAAAGTTTGCCCCCAAGAAGCAGGGAGAGGCCGCTAAGGAGCTCCCCACCGAGGCCAAGAAGCTGCAGCTGAACTCCGCGGAGGAGCTGTACGCAGAGATCCGCGACAAAAACTTCAACGCCGTGGGCAGCGTCTTGAGCAAGAAAGCCAAAGTCATCTCGGCTGCTTTTGAGGTAATAAAGCGACACCCGCCTTAGATCGTGAAATGGGAGGAAAGCTCACTTAACAACATAAATTGTGGTGGTCGTAAGTCAAGGACTACCTGGACTTCATCCCTCTTCTCTTAGATTCCAAATTTTGTACGGCTGCTTTGAAGAAGTTGGTCTCTTGAGCCAGGGGTTGTGTTCAGATCTGAGTTCTGTAATTGATACAACAGGGATATTCGCATTTTTGCACTGGGACGAAGGAAGGAGGAAAAGGGGATGTTGCATTGTCAGATCTAATAGGTGATAATGAAACAGGAGCTTACACGTAGCAGAAGAAGCCTGTTAATGGCCAGCTTCATTACGGTCTCCCTGCCTGGGCTTGCCATTCGTGTCATTGTCACTTCCCTCCGTTTTTGCACTTGTCAGCAAGCGTGTGGGATTTGCGTAGGTTTTTTTTTCCCCTCTTACTTTGCCCTGAAAAAGCTGGGTAGATTAATTAATAGATCGTTATATTTCGTGGATATCCGGTCCTTAGAGTTATACTCTCTGCTTTTCATTGCTATGGAGATAATTCCACTAATCCTGCTTTGGAAAAGCCACCTGAGATTTGACAAATGATGACCTCTCAGACAATGATGGGGGGCGGGGGGGGGGTTAGAAAGCTGCTGTGCAAAAGTGGTAGAAATCCAAATAAGATTAATGGGGCTGGGAGGAAGGAGAGCTGGTTTAATAAGGGGATTAAGGCATGAAGCTAGAAAGTGGGAGACGGTGAATTCTAGTTCCACCTTAGCCTTTAAAAACCAGCTGGGTGATTTTGGGCCAATCACCAGGAGACGGTGAGTTCTAGTTCCACCATAGGCATGAAAGCCAGCCAGTCTGTCTCTGAGCCCAACTCACCTCACTGGGCTGTTGTGGAAAAATAGGAGAAGGAAGCTGCGTCGGATATGTTATTTGTAAAAATGATAAAGGGGGGATATAAATGAAATGAATGGCTCCGGATTCTGATTTACGTTCTTAGGAAAGGCACCATGCCAAAACGGTGGGGGAGATCAAGCAGTTCGTCTCACAGCTGCCACACATGCAGGCCGCGAGAAGCTCTTTGGCGAACCACACCTCCATCGCTGAGCTCATCAAAGACATCACCAGTGAGTAACTCGAGAGTATCTTTTGGGGGGGACGGGCGTAAGGGAGGGTAGGTGTCCCCTCTTGAATGAGGATAAGACCGAACTGGTTTCAATCTCTTCCCTCGGTTTTGACCGCTGGCCAGATCTCAGCAGCATCCCTGCTATTAAAATATCTCAGGATTCCACTAAGTCCCTTCTTTACAACGTGTTTCGTTTTTGTATTGTAAGCCTCTGAAGACTTCTTCGATAATTTAACAGTGGAACAAGAATTTATGTCCGGCATAGATACCGATAAGGTAGGCCAATGTTTTCTCAAATAGCTGATGTGTTTTGCGTAATTTTGGCTAAAAATTTAATTGGATTTTTTTCTGCGCAGGTCAACAGTTACATAGAAGATTGTATTGCCCAAAAGTATCCCTTGATTAAGATACTGAGGCTCGTTTGCCTGCAGTCGGTGTGCAACAGTGGCTTAAAGCAAAAGATGCTAGACCATTACAAGAGAGAAATCCTCCAGGTGAGGCTTTCGTAAAGGCAAATGTTGATACAGCTTGGGGAAGACCATAAACCATTTGGAGAGTTTTGTAGAATTAAAAGAGTCACAGATAAGGAAAGAAAAAAATCAACCAAAAGATCAAGATGTTTTATCCTGCCTTACTGTTTATTTTACTTGACTATGCAGTAGTTAGCCAGGCTTCCTTTTTTTTTTTCTTATTTGAATAGTCATTATAATTCTATATTTCCTCTGAAAATTGTTTGCAGACTAAAACGCAGACATGAAATGGTGAGAGGTTTTTTTAATGTTAAAGCTGGACTTTCAAATCCTTGAAAAGAAAGCTAAAATGAATTCATAGATTTGAAAATCCTTTTTTTTTTCTCCTTTCCTTTCAACCAGGCAGGTAGATAGCTTCAAGTCTCAGTGGGTGAACTCACCGTCTCATAAATAATGTATAAAATGAATATACTGACACTAAAAGGCCATTGTGCTCGTTACAGACTTACGGCTACGAACACATCCTGACCTTAAATAACCTAGAAAAGGCTGGACTTTTGAAGCCTCAGCTGGGCAGCCGGAATAACTACCCCACCATCCGGAAAACTTTGCGTTTATGGATGGACGACGTCAACGAACAGGCAAGCTCCCCTCCGCCTCTTGCCGCTTTCAAGAGACGGCTTGCAAAGGGGTCCTAAGTTATCCTGCTGTTCCTCTTCACCTCCGCCCCTTCTTTGCTCTCTGCAGAACCCGAACGACATCTCTTACGTCTACAGCGGTTACGCGCCTCTCAGCGTGCGCCTGGCACAGCTGCTTGCCCGGCCAGGTTGGCGAAGCATCGAGGAAGTCCTAAAATTACTTCCGGGCCCACACTTTGAGGAGAGGCAGCAGCTGCCAACCGGGCTCCAGAAGAAGCGTAAGTCTCTCTGGGTCTCCTGTTCAACCCGGGACGCGTATTCTAAGTGCATCCGGGACTCCCAGCCCAATCCAGTTGCCTCTTGTAGACTTGGGGGTTCCAATGTGGCCACACAAATGGGGTGATAGGTAGGCATCCAGTTGCTTCCAAAATGTTACAATATCCAAAGAATCTTGATTAGGTTTAATTCTGCCTTGCACTTCGTACCTCCTGTATGGCGAATGTTCCGGGACGGTATTACAGGGAATCCTTGACTTACAACCATTTGTTTAGCGGCCGTTCACAGTTACAATGACACTGAAAGAAAAAGTGGGTTAAGACATCCTCATGCTTATGACTGTGATTCCCAGGGTCATGTGATCAAATTCGGTCCTGCCTTCATGACGACCTTCCCAGCCACTTCTGACCAGCAAAGTCAGTGGGGGAAGGCATGTGATTCACTTAACAACTGTGGCAAATAAAGGTTGTAAAATGAGACGAGTCTCTCAGCAACCACTTGCCTAGCGACAGACATTATCCCAGTTCTGGTCGTAAGTTGAGGACTCCCTGTATACACATGTTTGTTCACACTCAAATAATAGCATATTGTTTCACTGTGACCGAACTGCTCTGAACTGCATCACAAGTTGAGTGGATGGAAATGAGCGGCAAAGCACAAAAGAGAATTTTGAAGGCAGTTTTCAGTTTTTTCTCTCTGAATTCCAGGTCAGCACGGAGAAAACCGCGTGACTCTCGTCTTCTTTCTGGGAGGCGTGACCTATGCCGAAATCGCAGCCTTCCGCTTCCTCTCTCAGATGGAGGACGGGGGCACCGAATACGTCATCGCCACCACCAAGCTGATCAACGGAACAAGCTGGGTCAAGTCTCTGATGGAGAAGCTGGAGCCCCTACCCTTTTAGGAGAAGCAGGAACGGGCCCAGCAGGACTCGACCGACGTGGGATCAGAGTCCCAGAGAAGAAGAAGTGGACTGAAGTGCAGCAAGGAAGATGGCTTCTCAAACTGCTTTCTAACAAATACGGACCCGGGAGGGAAGCTCAGCCTGGCGATCTGCGTTTGCTTTGCTTCTGTGCGTCCTTCACAAGTGTCATTCCTGGACTTTTTCTTATGGTTTCTAAACCCTACTTTTTTAGTGTGCATTCCACAGACTTTCGGGACGTTTTTCCTTAATATTTCCTCCTCCTTCCCATTCTGTACTTCACTTGGTTTTTCTTCTTTCAGTCCACTGATAATCTTAATTTTTCTCCCCAGACAGTTAATCATGTTGGTAGATGATGCTCTAACCATATTCCCTCTTGGGCTGCCCTTCTAAAGCTTGAAAGCCTGTAAATCTGTAACAGATCTGCCACTTAGGTTACACAGCTCTACCCCAACCCTTCTATTTTGATGGAATTGGTTTCCTTGTTTCTCACCGTTTTCTATGGCAATCCTGGAAATATGGCTTTGCTGCCTATTTTGAAAAATCCTGCTCTCCTCATTAATATCTCTTTAAATGCTTACAGGTCCTCAATACTGAACAAACTCTTTTGCACTGAACATTGTTGTAAATAGTGGGAGAAAAACACGAGAGTTATTGTTTAATCAAACCTCATTCAGTTGCAAACAAAGAAGCATGTTTAAAAAGTGCTGGAACATTGCATTTGAAAACCGAGAAGATAAATGTTATAAAGACGCAAACACAGGCATTTTCCAGCCTGAATGTGTGTGTGACTGCTTTATTGAACATGTGCAGTTTCTACCATAGTGGCAGTAGACTTTCTCCTTATCATTGTAAAAATATGATTCGCATTAAACATCATTATTGCAATAGCTGCGTTACTCCCCATTCTCCAGAGTGCCACAGCCCCACGAACACAAAACCTTAGAATCAGGAAAGTAAGTCTGTTTCTGGACAATGTTGACTGAGTCTCAGGGGAGATAATTATACTGTAACAGCTTCCTGCGTAGTTTGATTTTGATCTACTTTTGATGAAGGCCTGGATGATCACAAGGCTAATAATTTGATAATAAGATCTCCTGATTAAATTTAGAGTCCATTTGTCAAGCTGTGATGTCTAAGCCAAATGGTGGGGGGTGGGGGGAAAGATAATTGAGACCTTTTAGGGTGTAATAGCTAGGAGGAGCCAGGTAAACAGAAGGGGAAAATAAAACTTTAAATAGAGCAGTAACATGCTTTTCAGGTTAGAGATAAAGAGAGGCGTAATGCAAGGTTTCTGCTGCAAAATAGGTAAACATAAAAAATAGATTATAAGCAGAAGTCAGGTTTTTTTCTAAAGTGCCAAACAGCCTGTGTGCCTTATGCCATTTTCCTGCCTTCCATTTCTCCCCTCATGTTATTTTCAGCACCTCTGAATTTGGCTTTTTTTTTTTTTACATTTTAAACAAGAGGGAACCAACATTCATTTAATAATTTTTCTCAGGATACTCAAGTAGCCAAGAGAGAAAATTATCCCTAAATAAGAGACATTGCAAAATGTCACCAAAGGACAGAGATCCAAGCCCCAAATGACGTTGGCTGCTTGTTATCAGTTGAGAGATTTAAAGCAGATGTTGAATTTGAAAACGTGCTGTTTTTAGCTCTATCCATTTATGTTTAGCTGTTTTCATAAATTCACTTTGTGTTCAACAGCCACACATCTTTTAATAAGCGTGACGTATTTTAGTGAAGACTGCAGCTTAGCATGTAAACCTGCCTCCATTTCATAGTAAAAGTTTACATTGCAACACTCAGGAGAAAGTTTATTCTCACACTCTCGACAATGGATCCTTAGATTTATACTACCCGGTGGCTAGACATAAAAACCTACCCTGTACTATTGGAAAAATAGAAAACTCCAGTGGTACCTTAAACATTTATTATACTGCAAGTACTGAACTATCTTTAAAAACCACTTTCCTTATTACTTACTTTCTATTTTCATTTTTAAAAAGGCTTGGGATATGTTTTGTACTGTGCAGCGGAGAACAAAGAAGATCTGTGTATCCCATTGCAGAATTACTCTCTGGCCACACCTATTAGTGTTTCACTCGTCCGGCGTATATATAGAGAGCATCGCTGTGCTGCCTCTTCAGATGAACAGACGGTCCACTCACGTCCTGAAGCCGCTCGCTCAAGACGAGCACCAGAAACAGCCACAAAAAGAATCCTCAAACTTCATTATTCAGAAAAGGTGAGCAATCTATCCGCATCGAAGTATTAATTAACTTTTATTTCATAGAAGAGGTGTCGAGGTTTAATTATAAGAACTACAATCTTATGCAAGATAATGTTCACATCCAAACATGCATTGCTGCTGAAAATCATACGATTGGGGATTTTAAGGAAATTCTCTGAAAGTAGTTTTTTTAAAGAAAATACATTGCAGGTCCTTGGTTTGCTGGCTGTCTAATTTGTACGTTGATGGGAAGAAAAACAATCTCAATTAGTAGTATGCGGATCTCGGCTTGTTTTTTTCCACCTTTGGGAATAAAGTGAGATTAATTATTAGCTGTCCTGTTAGTACGTTTCTCTTAGTAAAAGGAAAATTTACTATAATTAACATGCTCAAAGCAAAATATATCAAAATCGTTGTAAAGATATGGCAGCATCTTTAAGACATTTATTAGATCCCCAACCGCACATTTCTAAAAATTGGAGATTGAAAATGAAATTTTTATAAAATTTAGGCACTATCAAATTATTACAGTGTTGCAGAACAATTGATCATCTTGATGGGGAGATTAATTTTAAATCTGCCCTCCCCCTATTTTAGGTGGATGGAAAGATGCAGGCCAAACTATTTGTAGATAATCGCCAAACCAGAAACATTATTTTCCCGGCAGCCTGTCCATTAGATGCAATTATAACATTAAATATTAAAGTGGGCTCCCTCTGGAAGAATTGACTGCTTTGATGACTGGATTTAGTTGGTACTAATGGACCATTAGCTATATATCTTGAGGTTCTGTGGCTGCACAACCTTGGAATCCTCTCAGGCCGGCCGCTAGGATCAGCTTTCCTAAAAATTATGGTCAAATCTTGCAAAATTATCTTCCAGTTCAAAGACAGGGACCTCACTCCCAAGCAGACACCTATTTTAATCCAATTTACTCACCAACCAGAACACTATACCCCATAAAGCTTCTTTCTCACTAGTTCTGTCTGATATGCACTGCTTTAAGTCCCTGCCGTAGATCACGAACCAGCTCCTATTTTGTGGCATCTTTAATTTTGCCGTTCTCTTTTCACTCCTTCCCTTCCTCTTCCAGAGCCAGCTGTTCCCATGCAGTTCTCCCCACCAACTTTGAAATCCAGGATGATGCAAGACTCCTTTACTCTTCATTTTCTGAAAGTGCTGAAGGAACTCCTGGCTTTTGTGCTGTTCAGTTACACCGTCTTGTTTGGAGCGCTGTTGTTGGCTGGATGGACGACTTACTTCCTTGTGCTAAAGTGACAACACCCTGTTGCAGTTCTGGAGCCCGGAGACCTCAGCTGGACAAGACATCCTTTCCTGTTCCAGCGTTTTTCCAGACTTAAATTTTGTTTCGTGATAATTCTGATGCTTTTTAAAGAACCCTTTGGTTTCAATCTAAGGTTTCTTTTTTAAAATCTATTTATCAAGTATCAGAATCTCGAAGAGTGATTAATGCACTTCATCTCTCCAATCCATTTTTTTTAATATATAATCTCGCAGGAATATCCATCTCAAAAGCTGGATGCGGCTGAGCAAGTTATAACATGCCTTTTATTTCCTGATATTCTTAAACGCTTCAGGGTCAATTTTTTTTCTCACTTTGATTGAACTCTGAAATTAACTCCCAATCTGCACTTTTGAATTTTTTTTTAATGAGGTTTTTATATTTCCTGCACCAGACAGCTTCCTCTTCAAAAAACGGCTCAATAAAATTACTTGCAAGTCTAAGATTGTCTGTGTTAAATGTTCAAAAATTTAAGCATAACAATTCACATTGCTACATCTTATAATGTGTAAACTTTTGAAAAAAAAAGAAAATACTGTCCTACATATTCTGAATGATTGATAAATGTTTAGGTAAAAGTTAAGTAACAACAAAGCTGCTTTTTATTGTTCTCCATTTCTTATTAATAAAATTTAACATAACATAATTTAACTCCAACCCTTTAATGTACGTGACAAAAATATGCTGTACAAGTACGGGAATTTTGTCTGAAGCTCCTGAATGCTTCAGTTTCTCTTAAGGGGAAATTAATTACCCAATAATTTGAGTCAGACTGAAAGATTTAGCAGAGGTTCCCATCCAGCTTGCTGACTTAACATTAATGCCTGTTTTGTGCAAAGCAGCCTGCTTGAAGTGTGTGAATATGTGTAAAATAATAGGATTCAGAAGCGCTTAATTCTGACCTCAGTATTAACAATGATTAAAGTTAGTTTTTAATCACATACAAACATATACACTAATTAGACCTTGCAAGCCAATTAAAAATGTAATGAATGAAATGCCCGGAACCCCTTATATTTTGATGAAGAAATAACAGAAAGAAATAAAAATTATTAAAAGTAATTTTAAAATATTCTGAAAATTCATTTTATGATGCTGTTCACTGCTTAACTCCTTTGAAAAGTTTATCAGATGTTCGCAAACATCTAGGAAAATTTTATTTTAGCATTAGAGGACCAAATTAGTAACATTAAAAGTATTGCACAAAACTTATCAAGTGACAGGTAAAGGGGCGCATGCGCCCTCTTCAATGAATCAAATTATCTTTAGGGCGCATGCGCGTGATCCCCCTTTCTTCATTAGAACTAGGCTTTTCTGTTTCGGGGAAAGAATAACAACCGACTGTGGTCTGGCGATCTAGGCTTCGCTGGCTCTATGGTGCAGACCTTTGCTTTCCGTTGGAAGTTGAAGGAAACTCGTTCCGTCCTAGAGTGGAACAGAAAAGAAACGATGACATCACAATAAAGTGTGCGTGGGCAGAAAGAGAGGAGGAGCCAGGGAAGGAAAAGAAACCCGGAACTGATGTAATTGCAGGCACATGGAGCAGGAAGGCTACATCGTCTCTCTGGGGTGACGGGGCGTTGTAAGAATACGTCATTTCCTGCGCGCCTTGTTGCTATTGAGAGGGAGAGCCAAGATGGCGTCGGCGAGGAGCCGTTGGCTGTGGCGCTGCTGCGCCTTTTTCGGGTATTTAGAAATGGCGGCTTCTGTTTTTTCCCTCCGCTTTCCAGAGCTCCTGGCCGGGGCTCGTCTTCCCTGGGAGATCCCGGCACTTTCCAGCCTCCCCAGGCTCTCCCTCCTCGGGCCCTTACACCGCTGGACGAGCGGCCTCTGCGGGTTGGGGGTCCCGGGGAGCCTGGAACCTCAGTTCCCATCATCCGCAGCCGTCCCTTGCGTGGGTCTCCTGTTGTGCTGCTGTGCTGTTAGTCAGCGAGGCCTCCCGGTTTGGTGTCCACGAAATGCGGGTTGCCTTCGGCACATCCAAAAACCTGGTTTCGGTTTCTGAAAAGGGTTTTTTTCACGTGGATCTCGGGGGGGGGTCCATGAGGGGGGAACTGCCCCCTGTTGCCCACCCTGGAGGATGAAACCGGAGGCATCGGCTATTCGTTGCATAAATGGCCGGTACTGTTGCAAGGAGAAAGGCTGGACCTGCTTCGCCTCTGTTGCTAAAGGCAGCCGGTTTTCCCATTTTGTCATTTATTTTGTGCTTTTAAACTCCGTTGTGGATTCCACTGAGGAGGGAGGGGCCCCCACTTTCCTAATGGAGCCATTTGAAATTAGTTTATTAAACCCTCGTTTCCTTACATGATGCTGCAGCAAGGCTAGTTTAAACATGCTGGATTCAGGCTGTGTGGCTTGCGTTTTGTTGTTTTTTGGCTTGCTGCTCTTTTACTTGGATGGGTGTCGTTTTCTAGACGGAACTTTCCTCTCTTCTCCAATGTGAGGACACAGTGCGTACCTGGATTGAGGGCACCGTGGAAGAAAATGGCCACTCTGGGATTTGGAATGACCTTGGCTGCTATTCCTATTGCACAGGTAGTTTCCCAGAAAGTCCCGTGTTATTCTAATGCCAGAATAGGAGCTTTCCTTAGTTTTAGTTTTACTGTCGTCTTTAGGTAAATCTGTCACTATATGCTAAGTCTTCATTAGTTTCTTCCCTTCTCCAACTCTTGACAGCTTTTGCAGAGCCCAGTAGAAATCAGTTCCAGCAATAGCCAAGTTGTTTTCAATAGTTTACCTGAAATTATGCCCTTAAAATATATGTTAATCCATCACTTAATCTTAGGCAAGAGGCTAAAAAGCAATAAGGACACCCAGATTTATTGCCATTTCTTTTGCCAACGGTTGCTCTATTTTTCCAGTAAAACCTTTCAATTTCTTGTGTTCTTATGTTTATGTTTACAAGTTGACTTGTAGGGACACAAGTTTCCAGTTGTATGACAGTTCCTAGCTTTTTTTTCTTTTTAATGAAAACACACATTATTTCCTTCTCTGCCAGTTTTGAAAAGTCGTTCTGTTTTTGAAGGAGCAACTAATGTTTGTCTTTCAGAAACACGATCCGGGTTCTCTAAGCAATGAAGCCTTGATCCGAAGAGCGGTCTCTTTAGTAACTGACAGCACCGGGACTCTCCTTTCTCAAACCACTTACGCATTAATTGATGCTCTAACGGAATATACAACGGTAAGACACCTGCCTTCAGGATGCCACGTCTGGCGGTGTGGTGCACATACAGCTCCATGTTAAGCCACTCTAGGAAAGCTTGGTTCCAAGAAGTGCCCTATAATTGCCAAATATAAAGTAAAAAGTAAATGTTAAACTCCAGACAAGCACAGCCTTAACAGGCTGCGTTTATTTACAGGCAGTTTACACACTGGTGTCCCTGTACCAGAAATACACGCATCTCCTGGGGAAAATGAATTCCAAAGAAGAGGATGCGGTTTGGCAAGTGATCATCGGGGCCCGAGTGGAAGTAAGCAACCTGATCTTGGTGCCTTTTTGCCCTTCAGGGACTCAGGAGGTCTCCACCATCTTGACAGTGTTGTGTGTGGACCCAAGAGGGTCAGATCCTTAGTCGTTTCTAATGGGTGACCATAAATAAGGAACCTCAGGTGAGAGCGATCTGTAAGCTGTGCAAAAAATGTGCCAGATTTCATTGTTTTAATTCTGGCTTTGCTTAGATGACGACAAAACAGCAAGAATATCTCAAATTGGAATCCAGGTGGATGACCGCTCTGAGACTTTCAGAGATGGCCGCAGAAGCAGCATATCAGTCAGGTGAGAGATGGGCAAGCCTCTTAATCTTAACCCACCCCCCTTTCAAACTGTTGACAGAATCAAATAGCTTCTTCATTTTTCCACCTGTCGGAAAAATGTTTTAGCAAGAAATGTTACATTTCACTGAACAGTGTCTGAAAGGGTGGAACAGCACTGAAGTTACTTAACTCCCTTCAGACCTTCTTCAGAATATGCCTTTAACCCTTCAGTAACTCCTAAATGCATAATAGGAACTCCAGTTGACCTGGTGGTCTTGAGGAGGAGCTCGTGCGTGATATAAAGGGGGGGGGTGTATTCATTCTAAAACGTTTGACCAATTACTGGAGAAACCAGGGCCTTTCTAGCTTTGCCAACAAGAAAATTATATATCGTGGGTTAAATCCAGAGGTAGAATCAGTGGGAGTTGTTAATCATGTTGGCTTTAGTTAAGTCTACCATGTCTGGATCCCAGTCCTAGTATGACTTGGGTTGTCCTTAATCTGAGTGGCCTTGAAAATGCACAAACTCTTTGCAGGCTTCCTCTGCAAAAACAAAAGACATTGCATCCTTCTTTTTCCAGGGGCTGACCAGGCCTCAGTGTCAACCCATAGCCACATCCAGCTAGTGAAGACCCAAGTCCAAGAAGCGCGGCAGCTGTCCCAGAAGGCCGAAACCAAGTTGGCTGAGGCGCAGACGGAGGAGCTCCTGAAGCTGAAGGAAGAGGATCCGTTGCTACCAACCTCTCAGCAGGCCGTCAGGGAAGAGACAGAGGAAGCCTACCTTCGTGAAGATTGAGGATTGCTAGCATGGACACGATCCTGCTTGGTGGGAAGGGATGGCACAGAAGTGGAGGAATAGGTGCCGCTCCGTCTCTCTGGCTTCCCCAGCCTGGTTGGCCCTCAGCTTTGAGCTGTGGGTGTTCTGTTGCCTGTGTGTTTAAATTCACAGCTATGCAAATGCGAAGTAATCCTACAAAGGGGTGATTTTTCTGGCGCCGGAGGACTGATTTGAGATGATCCCTCCTCAGCCAGAATCTATAGAGATAATCGCACATTGTAATCACTAAGGGCTGTGTCTTGTGTTGCTGTTTTTTCAAAAAAAAAGCGAAAGGTGCTGGTGTTGTGAAGGACAAATGCTCTACCTGAAATTTCAAACATTAGTTGTGGAAAATTTAACAGTTTGGAGGCTAAATGTCATTTTTGTGTTGTTTTTCTACCGATGTACTTGGGATCATTCTCCCTGAGCCAATTTTTAAAATAAAAGCCTGAGGAACACAACTCGACTCCTTTGTTAACAGCGAGATTGAAAGTGTGATGGAAAAAAACATCTGTTGTTATGGTTGAGGAATTTGGCAGACCAAGCTTAGCTGCAGCCTCGGGGTCATCTAGGACAAACCCCCTCTTTGAAGCACCACATTCAGAACTCACACGGGGAGCTGTGTGAAACAGACAACATCTGGAGTGTTGTTAAGCAGATAAGACTTCTCTCTTAGTTATTTTCAGTTTATTGACTTTGCTCTTGATGCCAAGTTTTTAGACCCACTTTAGCTAAGTTTGTGTTTAGCTAAAACCAGTGCATTGCATCTGCTTTTAGTTTGCTGATTCCGGCATATGTTTTATCATTTAATGTATGCAATGTCCTTGTGCAGTCACACATAAATCTGGGTGTTGATTGGAGCGTGTTGATTGGAAAGTGTTGCTGTTGTCTGTTAACTTCTAGGTTATTCCTCTTTGCTCTTACGTGGCGATTCCCAATCTTGCCAGCTGTTAAGATGGGTAGATTTCAACCCCCAGAATTCCCCAACCAGCAGAAACTCTGGTCTAAAGGAGGAGTCTATACATTGCACAAAGCAGCGAAGAGCCACATCACTCAGGAAAGGACCAGCCTCAGAATGTGCACCCAGAGCCTCCTCTTCTCTTAAGAGCCAAACGGGTCTTGCTCTCTGCAAGCCTATTCTGAGGCTTCCTGCATTTTTAAGATGGGGGAAGCCGATTCCCACTTGATGTGTTGCATCTGAAACTCCACAGTCAAAGGCACGGGCTGGCTGAGTTGCGAATCGGGTCCCTCCGGAGAGTCCTTCTTCCGCCCCTTTCCTGCAAAGGAAAAATAAAATCAGAAATAAATCGCTCTGCTAGCAGCTGTGAAGGTTCATCGCTTCCTTTCTGAACCTGATTGTCTCTCGTGTGAACTTTCCAACATTTACAAAACCACGTGGACACCTTCAAGGTACCCTCCGACCGGCTTGGGTAGGCTGAGGTTCGCCCGAAGTTGAAATCCAGTCAAAGTCAAGGATACCGTTGGGAGAAAGCCAGCACCAGTGTTTCTCAACCATGGCCACTTGAAGAGGAGTGGACTTCAACTCCCAGAATTCCCTGGCCAGCCAGCATGCTGGGAATTGGAGTCCAACCATCTTCAAGTGGCCACGATTCAGAAACGGTCATTACAATCCTAGAACCTGGAGGTGTAATGAGCCCCTCAAGCCATGGAGCTCAGGTCACTGTGGTTTGCCAATCGTTTTTCTTTTTTAAAAAGTTCCTAGTCCATATGAGGGCAGCGAAACCTTGCCATTGAGATCTTGCACACCACTAGGGGCTCAAGATGGAAGGACAGGTGTTAAATACAAAAATAAAGACAACCACTTTTGAATACACTTAACGTTTTAGTATTAGATGAGAGCCTGTTTGCAATCCAAGAAACTTGGAGAGTCGTCATCCAGATGGTTAAAATACGCTCGCAGTTGCAGATACTCCGGAAGCTGAGCTGTCTAGCTTACCTCTGGTAGGGGAGGGGGTTGGGGGTGGGGGTGTTTTTCGAGAGATTGCGATGTCGATCCCAGATTTGGCTTTGGCATCTTTTTTTGCACCCTTCTTGCTCTCCTGCAAAGTAGAAGATAAAGATTTCTGCATTTCACCCAGTGGCAGAAACATCCCTTGTTACTTTTAATTCAGACTGGTTTTTATATTTCTTCCATATCATTTTTTTTATTTACTGCTTTCTATCTGATATTGCTTTTATTTTTATTTAATATTGGTCTTTTCGTTTTTATTTAATATAGCTCACCATCACTTGTTGAGATGAGCAACTATACAAACTGGTTAAATAAATATCTTTCCACACATTCAGTGCAGCCAGATTTTGAAAAGAACTCTGCTTCTCAGCGGGTACCTTGTCTTTGGGCGATGGCAGGGAGACGCTCCGCTCGGTTATCTGTACCCCAAAATCACAGGTGGTCTCCAGCAACGATGCCCCGGCTAGCAGTTTCTCTAAGCTGACATGAAGGGAGCCCAGGATCCTCACGATGGGGGGGTCGTTTCGGAGCTCTGGGGAAGGGGCTTTCTTTTTCTTTTTGTTCCCACCCTGGTTGGACACAGAAAGGAATCTGACTGCAGGGCTACGGCCACCATATTGACTTTTTTGACCCCCATAAACACACTGTGGATGTGATTGCATGGATCTGTTTTTCTCTCTATCCTCCAATCTTGGAAGTGACACAAAACACGAGGTTTGGCTTCCCACAATTCTCAACGGGGCCTTGAATAAAGCCTTACCTTTCCAGTGTCTTTCTCCTTCCCTTTCTCCTTCCCTTTGTCTGCCTTCCCCGAATCGGCTTTTCCTTTCTCTCCTTTCCCCTTCCCTTTCTTGCTTGTTTTTTCTTCAGGAGTCAGGACCACAGGCCAGGAGACAACCTGGAAAAGGTGTGTTTCATTGCTCTGGGTGAAAGAGAAAGTTGGAGAGAACAGGAAAAGGGGAGGGGAGGGGAGGGGAGGGGAGGGAAGGAAGGAAGGAAGGAAGGAAGGAAGGAAGGAAGGAAGGAAGGAAGGAAGACTTGCAAAAAAAATGTCTTTATTGCAGACAAGGAGAAAAACTTCGTCCAAGTTGGGAAAACCAAGTTTAAAAAAACACAAAGGGTTGAGCTCTGCTGAACTGCTCGAATGGCACGATGTACTTAAGAGAAGACAGGCTCACACCAGTCCAAGGAGAAGTTTTTATGAACCAAAGCTTAACAAAAAGGACTGCACCTTTTCCTCAACAACGGAGATGGTGGTTCCAGCAAGAAGATAAGCCTTGAGAGCCCCCAGATCCTGGGTGAGATGCTCTTTTCGGTAATCGCAGTCAATGGCCTCTGCCCAGCCCTTCTTGGGAGTCGAGTGCATGTTTGCTACGTGGGCGAGAAAGGAAAAAAAAATTGCCATTTAACAAATTAAAAGTTACCAACTTTCCATTCCGTCAACCATCGCTCCCACTTGGTTGCAGACACATTTTGTAAAAGAGAGCTGAAGCCACAAATCAGGGATTCATCACCCTCATCCTCGTGGTCCAAATTTTTCAGTTACCCAGAAGTCCTCAACACATAGACTGAAAATCGGATGTTTTTCTCTGCAAAGGACAGGAACTGGCTATCCATTATAGGCGTAAAAACACAGAAAGAAAATAGGGGAAATGTGAGCTTGTGCTGCATTCCTGCAGCATGCTTTTAAAATTATTTTTAATCTAGTCCTCCCCACAGCCATGCTAAGCTCAGTTGGCCCTAACTTTGCTTCATTCTCGTGGCCTGGCTTGCTGGCTAAACCTTGCTCATTTGGTGACAGTCAACGTATCGTGTATCTCCAGTGGCCTGCTTAAGCCACAGTGAGGATTCTCAAAAGCTGGGCGCCTCACACCCCAAGCAGGGCAAGGAGCAGAGCCTTTCTTTCTACCTGCTGTGTTTAATCGTAGGAAGAAACTTACACACCTCCTGGCTCAGGCTGCAGGTCCAGCTTGGGCGAAGGCTGAGAAGACAGGGGCTCAGTTGTCTCTCCATCCACCGCCACTAAAGGTGAGCTCGCCACGTCCCCTGCGGTCAATGCTCCCCTGTGCTGGAACACAAACACACCTGTGATGCCCCCAAACGCTTTATCCTGCTTTTGATCCCCAATTTGGTCTTTTTTAAATCATGCACCCCGATATAATTTAGAAACAAATGACTAAAAAGCTCCACCCCTACCTTGCTGACTGCCTTCTCCCCTTTTTCTTCACCTGTGGCAAATTCATACGTCACGTAGTAGCTGTGAGTGACGATTGGGGAGTCAGGACTGCCCTCCAGTTCCTCTGGGTTGAGCGGGTTGGGGAGGCCTCGCATTTTGCCAATGGCGACGATCAGTTTGACATCCGACAGTAAGGCCTCTGGAAAAGCAGGGGAGGAAAAAAAAATCTGAATTTCTCCAAGCTCCAGACAGGAGACATCGTGTGAAACTGTTTAGCAAACTGGGGAGCGAGTTGACGTGATAGTGTTTCCATATTTGAGGGGCTGCCCCAAAGAAGAGGGGGGTCAAGCTATTCTCCAAAGCACCCGAAGGCAGGACAGGAAGCAACGGATGGAAACCGATCAAGGAGAGAATCAACCTGGAACTAAGGAGAAACTTCCTGACAGTTGGAACAGTTAATCAATGGAACAGAAGTTGCCTCCAGGTCAGGACTGGAGGAAGACTCACCTGGGAAGGTGGACAGTTTGAGGAAACGGTGCCTCTCCTCCGGGGTGATGATGATGTCATCGAAGACAGAGATGTGGGGCAGGCTGTCGATGGTAAAACCTCGGTAACCCGGAAGGAGGGCAAAGGGGTTTCCCTGCAGGACGAGGATCCGGAGCTTTTTCAAGCTGGAGAGCGTGGGAAGGAGGCTCAGCAGGTCGGTGAAGTTGTTGTAGCTCAAGTCCAGAGAGACCAGGTTGGGCCTAAGAGGGGGCAACAGACGCAGGCACAACAGGGAATATTGGCAGCCCGGGATTGAAAGGAAGGCTCCTTTGTGCTCTCTGACCATTTTTGCAGACTTTTCATGACCCAGTTAAGTAACATCATCCCTGCTGCGCTGATGACGTTACCTAGATGGGTAATGAGACGGCTGCAAGAAAACCACCAAGCTCAGAGAGCAGCAAGCTCCCCATCCCGGAAAGAGAGTTTAGGCTAGGCTTAAAACTCTCCTTTGTTCTCGTCTCAAACCCTTTGAATGTTCATCGCTTGGAGAAAACTAAGAGGCCATTTTTTCCACCCTCCATTTTTGGAGCAAGGCAGGACAGCCATGGCTTCTCTTCACCTCTGGGTGCCTGGAGGGGGATTTCAACCTGGGGGTGAGACACGGCTCATCTCGTCTGAGAGGTTCCTTTGCTCTCTCCATCCTGTGTGAAGCCCCCTGCCCTGCTCTCCTTTCTCCAGGGCAACTAGGAGGAGCAGATTTGCGGTGTGGGAAGGGAAACAGCCCCTTTTTAAAAGGGGGGGGGAATCTCTTGGCTGGACAGGTTACCCTGCCTGTAACTGGCTCCCTTGGTGCTTACCAGAAAGCAGCTGCCAAATATTGTTCCTCCGAGGAACCGAGCTGGCAGTTGTGGCTGAGACCCAGATGCTGCAGTCCAGCTGGGGGGGATGTGCACAGGTCTTTTAAACTCTGCACCTCATTGCCACAAAGCTCCAGCACCTGATGAGGGAGGCAGGGATAGGATAGACTAGAGCTGGAAGGACCTTGGAGGTCTTCTAGTCCAGCCCCCTGCTCAAGCAGGAGACCGTATACCATCTCAGGCAAGTGCCTGTCCAGACTCTTCTTAAAAGTCTCCAGTGATGAAGCACCACAACTTCTGGAGGCAAGCAGTTCCACTGGTGAACTGCTCTCACCGTTAGGAGAACAAAAACACTGCTGGGCTTGATTTGCTGGCCATGAGTTGTACTTCAGCCGCAAGATAAGGCTGGCGGGTGAGGGATACATGCAGCCAGCGATAACAGCCATTTTATCTTTCTTCTTCAGCCGACAGGAAAGCCACTTCACCACATGCCCAAATACGGTGAGGTGACAGAGCGATGGCCACAGGAGGGAGACTCCCAAGGGGGGTTTCGATCCTCTGGACTCCGTGTTCACTTTCTTATCATTTTCCACCCATGAGAGAAAACTGATTTATCCTTGGAAGATCTTTCAAAGGGTTTTTACCTATTTTCCTCGTGAGGATCTCGTCAGCCATCCAGGAATGAATCAGGCCCAGTTTTGTTAAAGTTTGGGCTGCCCCACTCACCCACCCACCCACCCAAGTTGGGATTTTCTAAAATTTATCTTATTCACGTGTCTCTCACCTTTATTACACTCTTTGGATAAGATCCTTTTACGTCATGGGTTTTGTGCCGTTTTCTCCCCCTACGTAAATAGGGCCAGGCTTACGCGAGGGGAGGGGGGGGGCAAATAAGGAGCAGGACTTTATTTACGTGCCTGCCCATCTCACTCTGCAAAGCGAATCTGGGGGGGTTTAATCTGCTTATGATCTGATATAGGTTCTCACCTATCTCTTCCCCCCCAAAAAAAACCATCTGATGCTTCCAATTCAAATGCAGATATTCGACTTATACCACACGTTGTTGAGTGAGTTGTATCCCGTTTTGCGACCTCTTTTGCTGTAGTTAAGAGAACCACTGCAGTTCTTAAGTGAATCGTGAGGTCGTTAAATGAATCCGGCTTTCGCCATTGACTTTTTGGGTCAAAGGTCAGCTGACCACATGACCCCGGGACTCTACAACAGTCGTAAGTCCATGCCAGTTGCTGAGCATCCGAATTTTGATCACATGACCAAGGGGATGCTGCAACAAACATTAAGTGTGAAAAACGGTCATAAATCTCTTTTTTCAGTGCTGTTGTAACTTCAAATGGTCACTGAACAAATGACGGTTATAAACTGAGGACTACCAGTAATTCAGATGAAATAAAAGTGACAAATACCCTTGTTTTTCAGTTTGCTTTTTGTTCCTTAGAGGAGAAGGTAATTGGGCCCATATAATTGACTAATGGTAAAGGTCAGCCTTGTGCTCTCTCCACTAGGAGTCACAGCCAGTGTGCCCTGCTTTATAGAAACACCACAGAGGGGGAAATTGTTCCTTTGATTTACCTTGAGGCCCGGAGGGAGATTGGCAGCCGGGATGGTGCTGATATGGTTTGCTGTTAAGATCAGCTCTTCCAAATTGGGGAACTTTAACAAACCCCCATCGATTTCGGTCACCTGAAAAGGGAGTCAAGAGAATGTGCCTTGAGGCACCCAGAGGTCATTTGGATTAATCCATATTCACACAGACAACCCTCTAGACCAGCTTTCCAATTCAAGCTGTGTGAGGTTGACGATCCGGGGTGATGAGATTGAATCTAACCTAAATCTAACCAGCATTTCTCATTTGGCAGCCTGTACACTTAAGGAAGAAGACCCTCCCAGCCATCAGTCCAGTGTTTGAACCTATTGGCACATTAGACCCATTTTACAGAGGGGGAATATTAATCCCAAAGGTCTGGGGGCCAGCAGAGCCCCCCCCATACACACTCACCCCTTTGTTCACGATCCGGAGCGACCTGAAGTAGGAGCAGACGAAGCTGGTCCGGACGATCTGGGGGTGCTGCACGGCCAGCTCCCGCAGCTGCTGCTCAGGGGGGCTGCAGTCGGGGGGCAAGGCCCAGGGGGAGTCTGGGCAGCGCAGGAACTCTGTCAGGGCCTCCGCCGTTTCTTCGTTGGGCGACAGGAGGCCATTGCGTCGGGGCAGAGTGGCCAGTCGGAGGGCAGGCAGGCCGTGGAGACGGAGGGGCAGGCGAGGGGGGAACCGGGATTTATTCTGGGGGGGGGGGACACAGAAGGAGGGAAACCATTGAAGGACAGAGCATGGAAGATGCCCAGAGTTGCTCCAGATAATAGGCATCTCCCCCCTGGTGCTAAGCCCTAAGGGGGTCTCTCTTTGGAGTGGGCCTGGCTAACCATGGTTTGGGCAATAAGCCACGATTAGCCATATCTTGGCTGGCCTGAAGCCTCAGAGAGCTTGGCTGTGGATGATGGGCAGTGAGACCCCCAGTGTGGAGACCTCAGAATAGAATTTTTATAGAACAGAATTCTTTATTGGCCAAGTGTAATAGGACACACACGGAATTTGTCTCCGGTGCAGAAGCCCTCTTGTGTCCATACAAGCAACAAGTGATAAACCATGATCATAATCATAAAAAAAACACCACCATAAAACACTCAGTGATAGTCATGGGATATTAAGTAAGCAGTCGACATAAATCATAAGATACAAAGAACAAAGTTAAGAGTCATAAAAAGTTAAGGAAATAGGCAATAGGGAAAAGTGAAAAGGATAGCAGCTAATAGCCCCCCCCGTCCCTGCCCTAGCTAGCCTTCTCCCTGGGGGAGACCCAAAGGGCTGCCCCCCCTTACCCAGCTCCCCACCCCGCAAGGAAACTGGTCCAGGCACAGCTGGCGAAGGTGATCCCAGAAAGCCGCCGAGGCGCTCAGCCCTTCCATGGCATGGTGGCTGCAGCAGGTCCAGGCCGCGACTTCCGTTGCTAGGATACGGGATCTGGTTGCTAGGGGCGCCCACCGACGCCAGGGGAGGGAGATGCTGCCGGCTCTCCAAGGGGGCGGAGTCTCCTCTGTGTTCACCCGCAGGTGGTTAACCTGTGTTTTAAACACTCACAATAGGCACCAACGTTACCTAAGTTGGCCTCTTACAGAGACTACAGCATCCATCGTCCCCCAGCACCTGGCTGGCGGGAAAGGTTGCTAGAGATGAACACCAACAGTTGCAGTTCTCCTCCTCACTGCACTTCCCACGGATAAGATTTTATTTTAATTTTGATTTTCATAAAACAATTTTGTTGTGTTCTTTCCGTTTCAAACCCTTCTGGAAATGACTTGAGCGGCGGAAGGAATCTGACTGATATAACACAATGTCCTTCTCAGGAATCTGCTCTCCCTCTCTGGGTGCAAGGAGGAGCAAAAAAAATGCCTTGAAAAATAAAATTTTGGGGTTTGGAGGCAGAACAATTAAGTTCAAACAATAATAAGCTTAAATATTTAAGTTTATCTTAATTAAGTTTATATTAATTTCTCTGCCTCAAAACTCCAGGGGTTTTGTCCTTTTTTAAAAATCTTATGAGCACATACAGCAGGGAGAGGGAAAGAGGACTGCAACCCCATCAAGCCATGGAGAGACATCAAATCATGATTAGAGATCTAAACACTATACAGATGACCAAAATCGACTTTCTGTTGCTAAGTGAGAAATTTGTTGAATCTTGCCCCATCTTATGACCTCCCTTGCCCCAGTTGAATCTGGCTTCCCCATTGACCTTGCCTGTCAGAAGGTCGCAAAAGAGGATCACGTGATCCCGGGATGCTGTGACCGTCATAAGTATGAATCAATTGTCTGAATTTTGATCACGTGACCAGGGGAGTGCTGCAATGGTCGTTAAGTGTGAAAAATGGTTGTAAGTCCCTTCTTCCAGTGCCGTTGTAACTTCGAACAGTCACCAAATGAACTTTGTAAGTCGAGGACTGCCTGTAAAACATCCCTAGATGGCAATTAGAAGCAGAAACGCTGCAATCAACATTGATCTTAAAAACGGGTAAAAATGTAATCGTGGAATATTCAAAATGCAGCCTCACTCATTCTAAGCCTCAGTTTTGGCTCTTCAAGAACCTTTGAATTTCGCTGCTTCCTTTAGTGGCAGAAATGCAAAAATCCCCATACACACACTCACACCTTGTAATGGACAAAATTAACCACCTTCTCTCTTCCTTTTGCTCTTTCTGCAGACTAACCTCCCCTCCCCCTCCCTTCCCCAGGTATCCACGTTTGAAAGATGAAGAGGTGTGACTAACATTTCCCAAGTTCAAAAACTGGAGAAAGTGAAAGTGAGTCAAATGCTTTCCACGAGATAACATGACTGGTGCTTTTAATAATAGTAATAATAATAATAAAAAAAAACCCCAGAAGCATTTCCTTCATTCTTTGGGCTTTTCCACACCGTATTCGGGTGGTAGAGATGTGAACAGTTTTTTCAGTTTTGAGGAAAGAAAGAAAGAAAGAAAGAAAGAAAGAAAGAAAGAAAGAAAGAAAGAAAGAAAGAAAGAAAGAAAGAAAGAAAAGAAAAGAACCAAAGTGATAAAAAGGGAGAAGTCACAGAGGTGCAAATTAATCTACTAAAAAAAAAAACTTTACCTGCCTTTAAAAACAGCCAGTCTCCACTCCACAAAATGCTTTAAAATCCACTGACTGCTGAGGAGAGAAGCATGTTTCTATTCTGTGATAATCAAGTTTGTTTTGGGTCTAGAACTGTAATTCCCACACAAAGAAAAAAAGAGTACTAACCCTCTACTGGGCAATGCTGGTTGCTCCCTGAGCTGTTTTCTTGCTAGGTGCTGATGATGTTACCTTGTTGGGTCATGAAATGTCTGCAAGAAAACCACCCAGCACCAAGGCCTTCCAATTCAACCCTGAGCTACAAATATTATTTTCTCTCAGCAGCCCTAAGATGTTTTTTTTTTTTTGAAAAAGAGGGAAAATGGAATTCAGTAGGTGCCATCATTAGATCAAAAGGTCCGACTGTTTGCTTAATTGCACGATCCAAGGTTTGTAATAGGGAGCATTTTTTTCAATCCTAGCAGGGTCGATGTAAGGGCTACATCTGGCCTTGGACAAAGAAACCGACCTTTGACCCTCTATTATAATAGGAGAAGGAGAAGGTTTGAGGGTCTGCCACATCCAGCTTCTCGGAGCTTTTCCGGCACTAGAAAGGAAAATGGAATTTTTCAAATGGAAATAAAATGAAATGAAAGCATCAAAAAAAATACGCAGAGCTGATTACAACAAGGCTGACTGATTTCTCACGTTATCAGTATATCTTTAGGTAATTTCCAGAGAGAGAGGGCCTTAAAAAAAAAAAAGATGAATTGTCTGTTTAGAGCCCGAACTGATACTATTATAAACCTTCAATGTCCAAAGATCAGTTCAGCCAACTTGGGATGGCCAAAACCTGTTCCCAGTGTAAGCCTACACAACACCCCTTCTTCATAAAATGGACATTAGGCTCTATTTATCTGATCAATCAGATCACATAAATGCCCTTCTCTAAGGCAGGGTCAGCAGAATCCAAGGTTGAGGGTCTCTGTAGGGAAAGGTCAACCCAAGCAAGATGGCGGACAGAACCATCCAAGGGCCTTTTGCGCAGTAGGCCCATCACAACTGGACCCATCTTGAAATATCGGACGAGTGGAAACTGGACTTCCAGGAACTTTTTCAGATCGACAGCATCACGGCAACTGCCCCCAGACACAAAGACACACCATGTGGGAAATCAATCACGGATTATCTTAGGAAACTGATCGCAATCACTTGTGGGCGCTTCGTCAGGGTAGGAAACAAGATAATCATCTTCCCCAGGAGCAGCTTAAATACGGTGCGACCAACAGCCAAAGCAGAGAAGCAAAGTCAGAAGAGACAAGCAAACTTTGAAGGCGACTTCCGACTCTCAGCGCTTCATTCACCATGCTTAAAGGTAGGCACACTTCAAGTTCTCGGGTGGGTTTTGGGTTAGGGTTTTCGCAATGCAAAATGCCCAGGGGCGCACACCTGCCCCACTGCTAAGGGGCTCTCTAGGCCCCCTTTGCTTGTATGCCAGGGTTAGACCTCTTCCAAAATCAATCCAAAATCAGTGCAGAAGCCGAGATGATTTGAGGGAAGGTGCTAGGGCACGGGGATCCAACCATGGCCACTTTAAGACTAGGGGACTTCAACCTCTGGAATGCTGGCTGGGGAAAAGTTGAAGTCCCCAAGTCTTAAAGTTGCCAAGATGGGACACTTCTATGCTAGGGGACAACGTGGGAAATCAGAAAAGTTTTATCATCAATCAAAATATAAATATTCATAGGTCTGGGGTACCAAGAGGGTCTTTCCTTCAAGTGCCTTGGTTTGGGTTGGGTTGTTTTTGTTTTTTTTTAAAGCAAAAGATTGCAGTGAAAATTAAGGTGGACAAACGTATCTGGAGAGTTTCAGAACTGGGAAGGCCAGGTGATAAACAGGCCGGGATGCTCCATTCAGTCTTCTAATGCTGATCATCGGCTATAAGGAATGGACGTAGTTCTAACTGGACTTGATCCCTTCATCGCCGGTGACCCAGCCTTGCAGTGATGGAGATGGAGGGGGAGGAACTATTTTCAGAGGAAACTTTTCTTAGAAAGGCGCGTGTTTCCTACGGAATCCACAGAATTTCTGGCCCCCCTGGAAGACGAAAGGAGAAAGCCACTGTTTTAAATCACAGCCCAGTTTCCCAGGACTCATAATCTATTTATTTGCTTTCCTGACAGAAATGACCATGTTGGCGATTGTCCTGTGGGGCACCCAGGGAATGCCAACTACACCTTCCCCAGCTAATCAGAGCTTGAGGGAACTGTATTGTCAAGCAGAATCGTTACTTGAAAAATATGAATCTGTAAGTATGCTGAACCGATGCCCCCTACTCCAGTTGACTATTAGACCAGGAGTCCCTAAACCCTAAATTTTGCACATGTTTCTGCTTAGTAGGCTAGATCAAGATATTTGTCTTCCCATCCCTTTTTCTCAAGCGAGACCAGAGCTCCTTATTTCTTAAGAATGGCATTCAAGACAATAAAAATCAGAATAGAGCTGGAAGGGACATTGGAGGTCTTCTAGTCCAATCTCTTGCTCAAGCAGGAGAGTCTGTACCCTTTCAGATGGGTGGCTGTCCAGTCTCTTCTCAAAAGCCTCCAGTGATGGAGCACCCACAACTTCTGGAGGCAATTCTGTTCCACTGGTTGTTTGCCCTCACTGTTAGGAAGTTTCTCCTTAGTTTTAGGTTGCTTCTCTCCTTGATTAGTTTCCTTCCGTTGCTTCTTGTCCTTTCAGTTGCCTCGGAAAATAAGTTGACCCCCCTCCTCTTTGTGGCAGCCACTCAAATACTGGAATGCTGCTATCATGTCCCTCCTAGTCCTTTTTTTCTCTAAACTGGCCATACCCAAATCCTGCAACCGTTCTTCACACGTTTTAGTCTCCAGGCCCTTCGTCATCTTAGTTGCTCTTCTTTGCACTTTTTCCCAAAGTCTCACTTATTTATAATTTGGTTCAGAGGACAGAGAGAAAGCCCAGGGCAGCATCTGGAGAGACCATTCTGTAGAGGTTCACTTTTATCAGGAGAATAAAATGTAGGATAGTGTTGGGTGGGAAGCCAACTTTAACTGACGCAGATCTTTTGATTCCATTTTTGTAGATCGGTAGCAAATATTTGTCTCCTGAAATGAGGTCAAAAATGGAATTTGAATTTTCCCAATCCTACAATTTCACCAAATCAGCAGAAGAATGTCAAATTCTCCGGGAATTCAAAGAGCTGTTTATTTGGCTGAAGAACACCTATCAGCAAGATAAATGCTTGAAATCCGTGATGAACCCCTTCACGTTCCTCGCTGAGCTTCAGGAACGCTACATGAACCAGACCTGTTCGGAAGGAGCATCAGACGAAGTACCAGCGTTCAACGGCCCGAAGTACAGCACAGAGAGCAAATGGCCCTCAACACAGAACGTGCTTCACTACGTTTTTGAACTATATAAAGGTCACGTACAGAAGCTTCTGAGTTCAAAATTAAAGCTGGAACAGAAAACCATAAGGAAAATGTGTAGCGCTAAGGATCGTTAGAAAAACTGCAACTAAAATTTACCAAATTAAGGAATGCAATTTATTTATTATATTTATTTTATTTTATATAACTTCATATAATATATATTATATAACTTAAATTAAAAATTAAATTATAGTTAATAATGTTCATTGACTGATTATTTCTTAGAGAAACAGTTCCACTGGTTATTTTATTATATTTAAATCTATTTAAAGTATTTGAATCATCAACTGAAGGAATGTATTCTTATTTTAATTTAAGGAATGCTACTAAGGTGCTACTGAAGATTTAAGTTTAGTGTTTTAAATTGACATGGATTAATTCTAAGTGAGTCATGTCTTAAATGCAATATGTACTAAACAAATAAATAAACAGATATACAAAAACTAAATGGTTTCTTCTTGAGATTTGGAAACTACATTTCAGTTATTTTATTTGTGCCTTCCAGGTTTTTAGTTATTCTGCTCAATTAAGATGCCAAACCCTTTCAAATTGGATTCTGGGTTCAAATTCCATCTTCTTGAAAATCATTCTAGAAGCTTGGAATCCACTAATTCTGACACGGAGTTTGAGGGACAAAAATACAGGCAGTTCTCGAATTACGATGTAGAATTAAGCCCAAAACATTTCTGTGACTAAGCAAGGCTGTTGTTTGGAGAGTTGCACTCCATTTTACGCCCCATTTCTTGGCAGTTGTTAAGCGACTCACACGGTCATTAAGCAAGCTTTGCTTGTCAGAAGGTTGCAAAAGGTGATAAATGATCCCCGGGACGCTGCAGCCGTCCTAAGTACATGTCAGTTGCCAAGCATCTGAATTCTGATCACGTGACCCTGGGGATGCTGCAAAGTGTGAACACCAGTCACAAATCCCTTTTTTTTTTTAGCGGTGTTGTAACTGCAAACATCCAGACAATTGATTTGTAGCAAACCGAGGGTGAGGCAAAGCTCTGCCCACAGGCATCTGATGCCGTTCTTGCTGTCAAAAATCATGTCAACAGATCCGCTTGTATAGATTACACCTCCGTCTATGGAGATTCTCCATCATCCAGGTCCTGGTTGTCCCCAAGGGGCTTTTTCAGGAGGCAACTGGACACCCTTGTTTTACTTTGAAGAGGTTGCGTTTCTCCTCCGAGAAGCTTCTTCAGTTCTGACGGGATGGTGGGGACTGGAAGGATTTATACTCATTTATACAAACGACCAGCGGTCTGCAAGGTGTATAAATCCTTGCATTCCCCACCATCCCAAGAAGCTTCTTGGATGAGAAGCGAAACGTCTTCGGAGAAAAACAAGGAAGCCCAGTTGTCCCGTGGGAGAAAAGCATCTTTGGGATGACACCTCCCTGTGCTTCAACGCCTAAAGAAAACTCATCAAAAGATTTTATCCACCTGGCCCAAGTCTACTTACAAGTCTGAAGAGAAGGAAAAGGAGCTTCAAGGCCTCCAAACAAGCTCCATTTTCATAACCAGCCTAGCAATCAAAACAGAGGACTCTACAGCCATCTGCCATGAGGACTAGCAGGGTGGATTTTGGGGCGCATCTTACAAGGCTGAGAAATTCGGCAGCCAGCAAGTCACACCTCGCCAGTTTGGAGCGTCTGAACCACACCAAATTGTCTTCTTGCTACTTGGCAACCTCTGAAACTCTGAGCTGATCTAAACAGGATGTGTTTCTCTACCACATGAATGCAACAAAGCTCACAGGTCCCCAAATCTCTTGTGTGGAATCCTGGTGGAAGGGGAAAAAATGGCTTTTTTAAAAAAAATTATAATAATGGGAGAGAGGGAAATGGCTCAGGTGTCAAAGCTAAGGCACCCCTTTGCTGTCTGATCTCCCCACCCCGGGGGGCTTAAATGGGTGATGGTCCCAGATGCTTCTGTCGCACAGTTCCAATGTTGCACACATATGGACCTGATCATCTCGAATTCTAAGGCAGGTGATCTGACGGAAAAAAAATTACATATTTAAAGCTCCTCAAAAATAGCATTTTATTTCTGTTGTCTCATAAAAAAAATGCAGTGATGTTATCGGAAGATCGAAACGCAAGCAAATTGCCACAGAATTGGGAGTTTCATGCATCAGAAATCTAGATAACAAAGGCAGCGGCTTAATTCTGCAGCCTTCCAAAAAGGCTATTGATAAAACAAGAAAAAAAAAACACGTACAAACTTCATCTTTTTTTGCTTGCAAATTGCCCAATGATTTCAGACATTATACAGGTAAAATATCTCCCCCGAGGCTAAAAATCCCAATTGCATTGCTAAAAAGACATGCATCTTTTTTTGGCTGCCTGTTGCAGATTAAAATCAGCCCCAACCCCCCTGAACAATATTGAAACTGCATTAGCAATAACTGTTCCAAAAGCACGCCAGCTTATCACCCCTGCTCCATCCAGGTGATCAAAGTGTTTGTGGAGTTTGCAGAAGAAGAACAAAGAGGGGAAGCTGAGCCAATGCATCGCATACCCAGATCCTGCTTTCTGGGTGGAGAGCACCCAAACAGCAGAGATGGACTTCAACTCCCAGAATTCAACAGCCAGCCTGGGCAGACTTCAACTCCCAGAAATCCCCAGGGTTGGGGATTCTGGGAGTTGAAGTCCATGCATCTTAAAGCTTCCAAGTTCAAGGAAGACTGTTCTAGAGCATAAAAGTTGCCCAGATGAACCAGTTCTAAGGTAGAACATTGCTCTCTATTGGTGCCTAGAGATGGGGTGGATTTCAGTTTGCCTGAGAGCCATTTTTGAGCTCAAATCACAATCTGAACCCAGACACCCCTTTCCAAGAGGTCTGAAGGACTAGAGAGCCTGCTATCTATCATACAAAGAGCCAGCTTATCTTACCCGTGAGATAATCTGTCTCCATAAAGTTCAGAAGTCTGGGTCAACGGCAACCCTCACTGCTATCAAGATTTCTTTACCAGCCTTGTCCTACTCTGTGGATGGCAGTGTTTTGGCCTGCACTGCTGCATTCTAACCACTGCACCACTTACGGCTGAGGTCAGGTTGGAGAAAAAGCTGATTCCTACTGCATATATTTAAGAGAGGTTGCATTGAAGGGGGCGTCTATTGCTGGAAACGGTTTCCCTGAGTTGCATTTTCACATTGGACCAAAGCGTTGGAGAACCTCAACTCTCTGCTCTTCCCAGCATAACGCTCGGTTGGATGATGCCTCTTGTCCCTGATGGTGAGTCAACACAAGGAAGCTTCTGGGGCCTCCTTCTACAGCTGGACGCCCTCCACATTGTGGGGAAATGCAAGCCTTGTATTCTCGGCTAGCAGGTGGGCTGAGAAATACAAGGGAAGCTTGTTACTATACCTCTGGAGGAAGTCCCAGACTGGGGAAGCTGATAAAGTCTCTGTTGAGTCCGGGATATCCACCGTGAGTTGAGCGTGTCTTCTGTTACGTTTCCCCCGGGGTTTTGTGGAGTTTGCTCAAGGCCTGGCTGGCTTGCTCTTGCAAGAGGGACGGGTCGGAGAGGATGGAGGTGGTAGTGCTTAAGTGCCGGAGACTGTTCAGGACCACTAGGAGAGAGGAGGATGCAAAAGAAACCATCCAGCCCGGTTAATTAAGACAGCATCCCAAACAGAAATTTTACAGGATCTCAGGAGCAAACTTACTGGGCCTCAGGACGGGGAGCGAGCAGTGCTTGTCCAGCCACATCAAGGCTGTCCGGTTCAGCTCCTGCAGGCTGGTGGTGGACACCATCTCATTGAAGGTTTCAAACAGAGGCTGGATGAGGACACTGAACTGGAGAAGGGGGGGTTGAGTTAAGGTGCAAACACACAGCTGGAGATTTCTGGACACTAAGGGACACTCAGGGGAGGGGAGGGGCTGGAAGGCAAGGGCACCTCTGGGGAAATGTAGCAGGTTAATTCGAGGCAGAGGTCCAACCAGCTTTGTTGGTTTATGAAGCTCCCGGGTCTTTCTCCAGAAGTATGAGAAGTTGGAGAGCGCTGTCAGTCAAGAAGACAAGAAGGGGGTTCTACAGAAACGATTGCTTTTTCCAGTTCCATCCCTCATTCCATCCTCATTCCATTCCATTATTCCTTCCTTCCTTCCTTCCTTCCTTCCTTCCTTCCTTCCTTCCTTCCTTCCTTCCTTCCTTCCTTCCTTCCTTCCTTCCTTCCTTCCTTCTTGAAGTGATCCTGAATCCCCCTTTTTTTAACCACTCTAAAAAGATCTTCAGGACGTTTGGAATAAAACCTGTAAAATTCACGACTTGAAAACCCAGCAAGGATCCAGCCAGCTGTAAACATGGGTTAAAAATGACACCAGGGAAGGCAGCTGAGGGAAGGAGGGACGCCCCAGCAGCCTAGCAGAGATTCCAGGTTCAGGTGCCTCCAAAGGACCAATCCTCTCTCCTTCCCCCTTCTCCTGTGTGGTCTCAAGGGCCCTCCTGCCTGGCTAAAACCACTTCCTAGTTCTCTTCTTCCCATGTTCGACCTTCGGGCCTTCCCTGGTTTCACATACACCAAAGCAGGATACAATCCAGAATTTCAAGTTTTGCTGGCTCCGGTTTTGGATGTAGTCTTCAAACATGTTCCTCATCTGGTCAAACCGCTGCCTCGTGATGGGCACCCCGGTGGCAGGCAACTGTTGCTGGCAGGAACTAGAGAAGGAAAAAGGAAAAAGAAAGAAAAAGAAGAAGGAGGGAGGGAGGGAGGGAGGGAGGGAGTTGTTTACAAATAGTCCTTGACTTACAAACGTTTGGTTGGTGACTGTTCAAAGCTATAAGGCCACTGAACAAAGTGGCTTTACAACCATTCCTCCCACTTACGGCCACTGAAGGACCCCCACAGTCCCCTGATCAAAATCTGGAGGTGCTTGGCAACCAGCATGTACTTATGACCTATTCTGGGCTCCGGGTAATAATTTTTTAGCCTTTCTTTTCGGCATTTTTATGAGACGGCTGGCCGTTTAAACCAATTAAGCCAAGATACAAAGGAGAGAGAAAACATCTGTGTAGCTACTCTGGGTCTGAGTCCTCACATGATGGCCGCGTTCAGCTCAACCGTCTCTTCCCGAAGGCGCTGGGCTTCCTTCTGCATTTGCGAGCGCTCCTGCTGCAGCTTGGCAATGTACTCGACAGTCTTCTGGAGGGTGAGGGCGTGGCTGATCTGCAGGGGGGAGGGCAAACAGAGGGTCCGGATGGGGGGAGCTATGCGACACCACCCTGGGCCTGAAATCTGGCATGGAGGAGGAGGAGGAGGAGGAAAACTCTTTGGGGATCCCCCCCCTCCGAAAGCCACTTACCGATTTAGAGTTTGGGGAGACCAGACTGTTGAGGTTGCCAAAGCCAATCTTGATGTTGAATCTCCGTTTCTGCTCCGCTGAGATGTGCTTCATTCTGTGACTCTGCGCCCATCCAAACAAAACCATCACCCCACCCCCCCATTACTTTAACCGTGTTACCTGAAGCTCAGGGGTTCTCCCCCCGTCCGTCCCCAACCTCGATGGGCCGTGAAGGGCGAGGGGCTCTCTCTGGGCCGGATCCCAAATCGTTGGAATCCGAAACCCTGGAGAACTTGGTGAGGTTTCCAGATTTCAACCCACCTTGAAAAGCGGCTCCGGAGTGCCTTTCCTGGAGCGGCTGCTCTGCGGGGACTGAGGGCCGAGGCCCTGCTCGGACGGGTGGGGAGAGGCCTGTCTCGACGGCTGGCAGTCCCGGACTTGGGGAGAGAAGAAACACCAACACACACACACACACACACACACACACACACACACACACACACACACAGAGCCCATCAGCGAAAGAGGGACAGTCTCTTTTCACTGAACTATAAAACCAGACCTCGACTTACGATGCTTCGTTTAGGGATTGCTCGAACTGAACAAAGGGATTTAGGATCCTTTTCCACACCTACGGCCGTTGCAGCGTCCCCGGGGTCAGGAGATCAAAATTCAGAGGCTTGGCAACTGGTTCCTATTTACGACGGTCCCCTTTTGCTACCTTCTGACGAGCAAAGTCCCCAGGGGGAGCCATATTCGCTCAACGACCGCCTTACTAACTTAACCACAGTGATTCGCTTAACAACCATGGCAAAGGCAGGTCATAAAGTGGGGCCAACTCACTGAACCGACGTCTCACTGAGCAACAGAAATTGTGGTCATTAAGTCGAGGACTACCCATACGCTGCCCAGAGCCCCTCCCCAAGGCAGCCCCTCACCTGGGGAGAGGAAGGCACTGTTCAGCATCAAAGGCACGGGCTCCGCCGGGGCGGGCGCGATCTGCTGGGGTTTCCTGGGCCGCAGCCCCGGGCCCGCCAGGGGGAGGACGAAGGGCGTCGGCGGCTGCAGGAGGCCGTGGGGATGCACCACCGCCGTCTGGAGTGTGGCCAAGAGTCCCGCCGGGCCGTGGCTGAAGGTGGTGGCCGGCGCGTTCTGCGTGGGGGTGGCCGAGGCGGTGTGGGTGATGACTGAAGGCTTGCCGGGCCCGAACTTTGGAGCCTCGGCGGGGGTGAAGAGGGGCACCTGCAAGGCCAGGTCCGGGTTCAAGGAGAGGAGGGTCTGCTGCGGCGGTTGGGAAGGCACCTCCCCCTGGAGAGGCAGCCCCAGAGTCGGGAAGCGAGGCAGGAAGTGGGGCTGGCCGGTCAGGGGCAGCTCTGGGGGGAAGCTGGGCGTCTGCAGGCAAGGCTCCTCGCTCCTCAGCCCCAGGCACTGGTCGGGGGGGAGGATGGAGTCAGGCCCCGGAGGGGCCACCAGCTCTTCCCCCAGGTTCACCGTCGGAAGCGGGCTGCGTAAAGAGGTCGAGGAGAGGCTTGAGGTCTGAAAAGGGAACGGAGGCCTGTTACATGTCTTATAAAAATAGCATCTCTTTATTATTTGACTGGTAATAAAAGTGCAACCAATCAGTGTTTCTCAAGCTTGAGCCCTTTAAGGGAGGTGGACTTCAGCTGTGCTGGCTGGGGAATTCTGGGAGTTGAAGTCCAGCCTTCCTAATGTGGCCGAGGTTGAAAAATACCGCAAGAAATAAAGGATGGAATTTTTTAAAGCGGGGCTTGAAAATTCACGCAGCATGATGGGGAAAACATGGGCTACCCAGTCAACTCAGATGCCCTGTACCGCCTCACTGTCCCACTTCAGCATCACCCCTTCCCTCTCTCACCTGGGCACAATGGTCCGTGGCCCCTGGCAAAGAGGCACTGGGTGTCAGGCTGGAGGTAATGCTTGCAGGAAAGGCAAAAATATCTGGCCAAGACAGAAGGAAAGGAAGCAGATCCTCGTTATATTTCCTCAGCTCTTTTAGAACAAGGCAGCCCTGCTTCATTATCTAACTACGTTACCTAGTTGGGTAAATGTCTGCAAGAAAACCACCGAGGGGAGGACTTCCGGTGGTTAAAGCGGTGGAGATGGCGGCTACTTTGTAGCCGTCCTCCTGAGAAGGTGTCAGATCCGCGGAGCACAGCGTTTATCAGCTGGCCCGCGGCTCGCAATCCCCTTCCCGGGCGAAGGGAAGGGGTAGAGATCGCATGAATAGAGGTAGAACCTCTTAACTCTCCCTGGATTTTTATTTTTAGGGGGGTAGAAAGAGGGTTCCCTCGGAGTTCATTGCCTTCTCCGCCTCTCAGCTGTCTTTGTTTCTTCGGAAACAAAGCGAGACGCCGCTACCATCTCCGTACTTAAAGAAACCGTGAGTAATCTTAAACCGGACAGAACTGTTTAAAGGATTTTATTTATAGTTTAGCTTTATTTTATTTTTTTTAGTTTATTTAGTTTATTTAGTATCTGCTGATTTTTTTTTATTTTTTTTGAGCTTTCTCTTTTTTTTTTTTTTTTTTGGGCGGAAAAGTGAGAGTGAAAGTAAAATGGCGTTTTGAAAGTTTTTTTTTCCTTTAAAAGACGGATCGGCTGAATTGTTGTTTAATATTGCTTTTTTTTTACTTTTTTTACTTTTTTATTCTTGGGGACTTTTAGATTGATCTTATCTTATTCTATTTTATCTTATTTTTAATTTTTTTTTGGATTACTTATTTTTATTGGTATTTTTAAGAAGAAAGGAAGATAAATTAAAATGGCTTCAAAACGACAACCAGCTACTGCAGCTTCTAAAGTAACTTCTTCTCCTGCTACTTCTACTGTGCAACAACAACTTAAAATAATACCCTCAGTGCAGCAACCTAAATCTACTCCACCTTCACCTCCCCCATCTGGCACATCAGCACAAGACATTAAAGAAATAATGGTAAGTGCTGTCTCACAGTTTAGGGAGGAAATGAAACAACTTTTGGATCAGAATAAATCTGAAACTAAGGAGGAAATGAAGAAAGAGATGAAGGAGCTTTTAGAACAGAATAATGCTATTTTGAGGGATGATATACTTCTAGCTCTATCTGGAATGGCCTCAGTGGTTGTGAAGCTGGACTCCAGAGTAGAGGAAATTGAAGAAACAGTTGAACTTTTGGATTATAAATTTCAAGATATGGAGAAAAAAGTGGAGACTTCACAAGATGATATTCTTATGTTCCAGTATAGACAGATGGAATATGCTTTGAGAATAAGGGGTCTGAAAGAAGATAAAACTCAAGATTTGATGGAAATGGTGATTAATGACTTGGCTGTTATTTTGAATATTGATAAAGAAGAGTTACGTGGGGATGTGGAAAGAATTTATAGAGTTAATTCTTGGATTGCAAAACAGAGGAATTTGCCTAGAGATGTGGTGATATATTTTGCTAAGAAGTCTTTGCGAAATCAGATTCTACAAACTTTTTATAATAAAAGATTTCAGATTGCTGCCCAAGATATTATTATTTTAAAGGAAATTCCACCTAAAATTTTAAGAAGCAGAAAAGATTTTGCTTTTTTAGTAAATGAACTTAAAGCAAGACAAATGCCATTTAGATGGGAGATTCCGATGGGCATTGTTTTGAGCCATGCGGGGACACGTTATAGACTTAATACAGTTGCTAAAGCTAAGGAATTTTATAAAACGGTCCTGGGAGCAGGCTCTCCTTTGCCCATGATGCATAAAGTCTTGAGTGACAAAGAGATGGAACAGAAATCTGAAGGTACAGGGATGATGACTGCTGGACAGGTGGTATGGATGTCTCAACCAGAGGTTAAAGAACAGAGAATGACCCGTGCAGCACATAAACGTAAAGAAAAAGAACAACAGAAAAAAGAAAAAGAAAAAGAAATTGAAGAATCTACTCAGCAAATTGCTTCAGTGCCGGTGGGAGGAGCAAGACCCAAAAGCTCTGCTACATATTCATCAGCAGCAGAATTTGAGCGGATCTTCTCCAGGCTGAAGGCCAAGGGAGATGGCAAAGCTCCTGTCCTGGAATGTTAATGGATTAAACATTCCTCAAAAGAGAAAAAAAATTTACCACTATTTGAAACAACATAACAATGATATTATTTGCTTGCAAGAAACTCATATTACAGCTAAAGATCAAAAATATTTAAATAATCCTCGCTTGGGATCTCATTTTGTATCTCCCGCCCCTGGGAAGAAAGGGGGTGTGGTAATCTATGTTAAACAGAATTTATCTGCTACCTTGTTAGAATCAGATCCTTATGGAAGATATGTTATGCTTGAACTTGGTTTATATGGCAAGAAAATTCTTATTGTGGGGTTGTATGCACCAAACCAGCAACAGGAGCAATTTTATAGGTTACTACATCAGAAAATAACTTTGTTGGACTATAGATCCGTGATTTTAATGGGAGACTGGAATGGTGTCTTAGATATACAAATGGACAAAAAAGGCTCTTCTACCTTTTTTAAACAGGCTAAATTACCTAAAGCCTTTTTTGACATGAAAGAAGATTGGGAATTGAGAGACTATTGGCGTGAACGTAATCAAGAAGAAAAGGATTTTACGTTTTTCTCAGATAGACACCAATCTTTCTCAAGAATTGATTTCTTTTTGATCACAACAGATTTATACAACAGGGTGAAGAATGTAAAAATTTTTCCTAGGACATTGTCCGATCATAGTCCAGTTTGGATGGAACTGTTTGTAGAGAAGGAAGATAGGAGATCCTGGAGGGTGAATGAGAATTTATTTAAACAAGAAAAAAATGTTCATAAATTAAAGGAATGTTTAAAGGAATATTTTACTTTAAATATGAACAAGGGAACATCAATGTCAATGGTCTGGGATGCAAGTAAAGCTTTTATGCGTGGTATTTTGATAAAAATGAATAATTTGCATAGACAGAAACAGATTCAGAAACGGAAAGACTTGGAAGAGGAGATTAAATTAAAAGAGAAACTTTTAATTTCAAATCCCTTAGATGAAAAGATTAAAGGAGCTTTAAAATTGTTAAAAACACAATTTAACATGCTGATGGCTGATCAAGCTGCAACTAATTTGCTATTTATGAAACAAAATACATTTTGTAATGCTAATAAACCAGGGAGATGGTTGGCTTATCAGTTAAGAAAAAAACAGAAACAGAGGAATATAGATAAAATAAATTATAATGGTAAATTGGTTTATCAGAAAGAATTGATTAAGAAATCTTTTTTAGAATACTATCAAAAATTATATAAGGGTACCAATATTCAAATTACAGATATAAATAATTATTTAGGCAAAGTCAACTTTCCTAAATTAACAGAAGATCAGGAAAAAAAGATTAACGGTTTAATTACTAAGGAAGAAATTGTTACAGCTATTAAACAATTGAAATTGGGCAAAGCGCCGGGTACGGATGGGTTGACATCTATTTATTATAAAGCTTTAGTAGAAGAGATGATCCAACCGTTGTGTGAACTGTTTAATAATTTATTACAGGGGTTAGAGATCCCTCCATCCTGGCGTAATGCATTTATATCATTGATTCCAAAAGATAGTCAAGATCTTACTTTGCCTAAAAATTATAGGCCTATATCTCTTTTAAATGTGGATTATAAAATTTTTGCAAAAATTTTAGCTAACAGGCTTATGGGGATCTTGCAGCAGTTTATACATAGGGATCAATCGGGTTTTATAACTGGAAGGTATATGAAGAATAACGTTAGACAAATTATTAATTTATTAGAGTATTTAGAAAAGAATAACCAAGTCTCTGCAGGCTTGATATTTTTGGATGCTGAAAAAGCCTTTGATCAAGTGAATTGGCAGTTTATGCTGTGTTTAATCAAGGAGATGAATTTTGGACAAAATATATTACAAGTATTATCCAATATATATCAAAAACAGACTGCTCAAATTATTGTAAATGGGGGTTTGTCAGAGGCTTTTGTAATAGAAAAAGGAACAAGACAGGGATGCCCGTTGTCTCCGTTATTGTTTGTTTTAACACTGGAAATTTTGTTGATTAAAATTCGGGAGTCTCAAGAAATAAAAGGAATAGAAATTAATAAAAAAGAATATAAATTAAGAGCCTTTGCAGATGACTTGGTTGTTACTTTGTCTCAACCTGTTTCTTCGGTGGTGAAATTATTACAATTGATTCAACAATATGGACGTGTTTCTGGCTTTAAAATTAATAATAATAAGACCAAAATATTAGCTAAAAACATGACTAATGGTGATAAACAGGCTCTAGTTAACTTAACAGACTTTGAAATTGTTGATAAGGTAAAATATTTGGGGGTTACATTATCTGCTTCTAATGTAAAATTGTATAAAAATAATTATGAAAAGCTGTGGATGGAGGTACAGAAGGATTTAAAAAACTGGAATAATTTACAGTTATCCCTTATGGGCAGAATTGCAGTTATTAAAATGAATGTCCTGCCAAAGTTTATTTTTTTGTTCCAAATGTTACCTATCTTAAAGAACGAACGTAATTTAGATGAATGGCAAAAAGGTATTAATAAATTTGTTTGGGCAGGGAAAAAACCAAGGGTGAAACTTAAAATAATGCAAGATTTTCGTGAGAGAGGTGGACTCAAGGTACCAAATATGAAATTGTATTATGATGCTGTAGTATTGACATTGATTAGCGATTGGGTGAATTTAACAAATACAGAAATACTTCATTTGGAAGGCTGGGACCTATTTTTTGGATGGCATGCCTATTTAATATTTAATAAAAAAGTGGATTGGGTTTTTAAGTCTCATATTATAAGAAACTCTTTGCTAAGAGTGTGGAGAAAGTATTATAAAAGTGACTTCAAAATACCATTATGGGCTATACCTCGGCATGCCATAGAAGGTATAAGGAAAGGGGTAAATATGGACAAGGTCTCTTACGTACAGTTATTAAGATGGGATGGCCAAGACTGGCAGTTAAAATCTTTGGAAGAATTAACACATGAAAACTTAACTTATTCATGGTTCCAATATAGACAAATAGTGGATAGATGGAAGATGGATTGTAAAATGGGCTGGCTTAGAGAAGATGAAATTTTTTTAAAACAAGTAAGAGATCAAAGGCCAACCCATATTAAGAGAGTTTATGGGGTTTTAGTGGAATTAGATTCAGAACTTGAACTAGTTAAAGATTGTATGATTAAATGGGCACAGAATATTGGTGAAACGATTTCAATGGATACTTGGGAACTTATTTGGATAAGAAATGTTAAATTCACACAAGCGCAAAATTTAAGAGAGAATTTTTATAAGATGTTTTATAGATGGCACCTTGACCCAAAGAAAATGTCCATTATGTACCCTAATCTACAGCCGAAATGCTGGAGATGTGGATATTTGGATGCTACCTATTACCATATTTGGTGGACGTGTAAGCATATAAAAGCTTTTTGGATTAAGATATGGTGGAATATTCAAAGAATTTTTAAAAGAAGGGTAAAATTTACTCCGCAATTATTTTTACTAGGTATTGTTATTGACTGTGATGCTAAGGAGGTTATATTGATGTTAAATTTGATTACAGCCGCTAGGTTGTTAATAGGACAATATTGGAAGAAGGAATCTTTGCCTACTTTACAAGAATGGTTTCATAAAGTTTCGTATTTGGCAGAAATGGCAAAGATTTCGGCTTTCTTAAAGGAGCAATCTCAAGAAAAATTTTTTGCGGTATGGGAAAAATGGATAAATTTTATACAACATAATTTGGATATGGAAAAATATTATTTAGCCTTTTTATAATTTGTAATGATTGTTTTTTCTTTCTTTCTTTCTTCTTTTTCTTTTTTATATATATACATTTTTAATGTATTATTATTCATATATTTTTTTTTTTTATATATATATATGCTTTATTTTTCGTCTACTTTCTTCTTTCTTCTTTCTCTCTCTCTCTTCTCTTTTTATTTTTTATTTTTTTTCTTTTTTAGTATATATTATTCATTTTAAAGTTTATGTTATATATATTATTTTTATATATATTATTACTGTGATTTTTATTATTATTATTAATTATTTTATAAATTGCAAATGTTATTTTTAAAATATTTGTTAAATAATCCTATATTCAGTTCTGGGAAGTCGGGGGGGGGTGGGGTGGTTGGGGAGGGGGGGGTGGATTTTTATTTGTAAAACTTTTGAAAAATTTCAATAAAAAAAAAAAAAAAAAAGAAAACCACCGAGGGGAGAGAACACCAAGGACCCCACAATCCTCCTCCACTCTACCAACCCCTCCCTTCTAACACTGATGACGTTACCTAGTTGGGTCATGAAACGTCTGCCAGAAAACCACCAAGCTCAGAGAACACCCACCACCCCGTCATCCTTTGTGATTTCACACACATATCCCTACAGCTGGAGACAACATTTCGGCCCCTTCCAATTCCACGGGGACTCTTTCTGTCTAAGGGTTGCCGCTGCTGGCTGAGATTGGCGCTTTGGAACCGGTCATGCTTACCTGGGAAAAATTCCAAAGTCTCCATCCAGTTGGGCTGCAGAGGGTAGAGTCCCGGCTGGATCATGTCAGCGTTGCCCATGTGTGCTGGAAAGAGGTGAAAAACCAGAGCATCTGTCACACAGGCTTCTAGAGAGGAAGAGCTCCCGCAGAAGCGAAGGAAGGTGAAGAAGGAGGTGAGCCGTAAGGAGGAACAAAGCAAGAGACATCCTTCTACAATGAATTCAGTTTGGAAGTTGTGGAGAGAATGGGAGAAGGATTCCAACTTCAGATCCCAACAGATCCCAACCATTAGGAACCGGTCCCCATCTCTGCTGAGGTTTTGGGAGTGAAGGTGCCTGACATCCCCCGAGGGGCAGCAGATCGGGGCCCTCTGGCTGTTCGTCGGAAGGATGCACTGTGGGAGCTTTGGATACCACCCGATCCTAACAGGGGCAGCCACAGGAAGTCCTTGACTTACGGCCATAATTCAGCCCCAAATTTATGTGGCTAAGCGAGACATTTGTTGTGAATTTTGCCCCATTTTACAACCTCTTACTGTGCTGTTCACTTAGCAACGTGGTTGTTAAGTGATCTGGCTTCCCCCACTGACTCGGCTTCTCCGAAGGTCGCAAAAGGGGATCACGTGAGCCCCGGGATGCTGCAACCGTTATAAATGTGAGTCAGCTGACAAGTGTCTCAATTTTGATCATGTGACCGTGGGGTAGCTGTGACCGTCCTAAGCATAAAAACAGTCCTAAGTCTTTTTTTTTTTAAAGTGCAGTTGTCCCTTCAAACGGTCACTAGACGAACTGTTGTAAGTTGAGGACTGCCTAGAAGGGGAGGCAGACTTGGGAGATATTTGGGGGCTAGTTTTGTGGGCTGGGGTGGGGGCAATTAGACTGGGAATTAGCAGCCGCGAGGCCTGATGGAGGGGAAAGCAAAGTCCTACCTCTCTCCTTCGGATTCGGCCAGGTGAGCAGCTGGTGACTGGACAGCGTAGAGAACAGGGTGTCTGAAGATCCCGACATGTAATCGTCTGTGGTGAAGAACTCTTCCAGTTCCATGGGGCTCTCTTTCCTGAAGAAGCCATCATCCTGGGGGGGAGGGGGGGAGAAGGACAGGAAAAGGTGAAGCAGAGAAACTTGGGATCCTGCAGGATTCTTCAGACGAGAAAATGCATATAGCTCTGAAACTGATGTTATTCCTTTAAGACAGGGGTGTCCAACCTTGGCCATTTTAAGACTTGTGGACTTCAACTGCCAGAATTCCCCTGCCAGCATTGGATTATTGTGCTCATTGTAGTAGACTTCACCCCCACCCCGCTTCTTCTCTTCTATAAAATTTCCAACTTCAGAAGTGCTCAGTTGGAGCAGATCCTCTATTCAATCAATCAAACATATAATCTGGATTTGTTTCAGTCATTCATTTGTTGGAAAAACTTAAGGAGGTCTCTCCTGAACTGACAAAAAAAAAACCCAATAATCAAAATAATGTTTACCTGGACCAAACTGGACAGGTCTTCATCTTTGTGCTTTTGTAACTGGGGAACAAAGAGGAAGGAAATTGAAATAATTGAAAGCAAAACTGAAATAGGAAGGAAGGAAGGAAGGAAGGAAGGAAGGAAGGAAGGAAGGAAGGAAGGAAGGAAGGAAGGAAGGGCAGACAATTTTCCAACTTGGAGCAGAATTTGAGTCACCCACTTTATGGGATCCAAATCAGTTTAACACGTGGTTAGAAACACAGCCGATACCCCAAATTTATGAAGACAAGATACAAAAGAAGACCAGCCATTATTATGCCTTAAAGACACTCCCCAAAATATTATCTCATTATCTCTGCTGTTTGACTAAGCTGCCTGATTTGAGCCTGGCCTATTTGCTTGACAAGAGAATCATCTCAGTTATTGGGGCCTCTAACTGGGAATTCTGCAATCTGAATTGCAGCAGAAAGGGGAGAGTTGGAACATGCTATGTTAGAAGGTTAAGTTGTGTTGTCATAAGCCAGTTGCCGTTGGACCCACACAGTTAAGTTTACTAACTCTGTCCAGCTCCTTGACAAGCTGAGCTCAGGAGGCAACTCCCTGGCAAAATGGAATTATTTTTACCCAAAATATCAGCCATTAAAAAAAAAAGACATACTCTTTTCTTGAAGTAAGTTCGCCACTTGTGATACTCTCGGATGACTATGTCAATCCGCCGCCTCCAATATTTCTCATTCGTTCGACTACTACCCTAAAAGGAAATGAAATGTGATAGGAACAGGAGAGATCAAAGGAATTTCAGACAAGCCAACTCAACTCAACTCAACCCAACCCAACCCAACCCAACCCAACCCAACTCTTTACCAGCGTAAGTTGGAAATCCAAGGTCACTATTACCGTCCATGGATGTCTCCCCACAAACCCCTCCAGGAAGTTCCAAATAGCACAGTCTCAGGAAGGAATCAGCTAAAGGCCAGGAAGCTGATCTACAAGAAAGGGGAGCTGGGACAAGTGGCTTCAATGCACCCACCTGGTCTACCTCAGGAACATCCACAGAACCATCCAGGGGGGTCACAAAATTGCACACGGGGTTCTTCCTCTTCTCTAGATCTGAAAGAGAGCAAGAGGCTTTGCCAGATGGGTTCCTGATGTGCATGTTTGATGTTTCCAACTTCAGACGTTGTCTTTTAGATTATTTAATGATGCATGCCTCTCCTAGTCATTGTGCTTTCCTACGAATCCTTCACAGGATTCTGACAATAGGTTAAAATCCAGTTCCTTTAGGGAATATTAAGGGGTGATACTTTGCCACACCTCCCCTTTTCTGTTTGCAAAAAACAGATTTAAAAATTCCCTTCTCTTGCAGGAGAGATCTTGTGAAGAAGCAAATTATAGCTGTTTTGAAATAACTGGTCCTAACTGAGATGTGAATTTCTCTTTTTAAGAGCTCTTTGGGGACAATGTTTGTGTGTTACTCACACTGAATGTACCAAGCCCTCCAGATGGCATTGTTGAGTCGGATTTTGTCTCGACACAATAACTTCAACCCTTTGAAGTTCTTCCACTTGGGGGAAACCAAGGTCCCACTGTAACAAAGCAGAGCAGATTTGCATGAAGACGAAGACAAATCACCAGCTCTGGAGTCTGCCGTGCCTTTCCTAAACCTTTGGAAGGAATCGCAAGGGTTTTTTTTTTTCCGTGCCAGTTCCCAGCTTTGGAGCATCCCAAAATGGTTAACTTTTAGAATTTGTCACACTTTCTTCAACGGGAACCATCGGGAGTTTCCGGGAAGGTATTCTAAAGGCTGGGCCAGTTCTAAGGAGGGAGGGGGAAAAAAAATGTGTTTATGGTTTGGAAACGAAGAGAACCTGCAGCTTCCACCAAGAAAAAAGAACTGTGCTACTGGGTTGTTTAAAGTAGACAGCAATTATTTTCAGAAGGATTGGTTTGAGCCAAACTGGAAGTGTTTCTCACCTGAAGAGGTGTGAACTTCAACTCCCAGAATTCCCCAGCCAGCATGCTGGCTAGAAATCTACCCATGTTGGCTAGAAAATTCTGGGAGCTGAAGTCCACCCCTCTTCAAGTTGCTGAGGGCGAGAAACACTGTTCCAGATCCTGAAAAATCAGGAAGGTACTTCTCTTTCCAAGCTTTCATCCACCAGGTAGGCTGGAAAAGCAACCCCCAAGATTCTCCAGGTAAAATGACCAAAGGAATTCCGAGCTAAAGTTCCACAAGATGGGAACCTGCATGTTTGGGAAACACTGCAACGTCCCTTCTCCCTCTACCTAACAGACCTCTTCAATTCCCACTTTTAATTCAACGCTCCTGATTTCTCTGGCCGTCTCTGAGTTGACCAGCTTCCCCAACCGATGCTAGCTAACCCCACCCCACTGCTCTCTTCTGGGTTCTGCTCCATCCATCGCCCGCCTGCTCCTCTCTTTGATGACATTATTCCTGAAATAATCCTGTAAGGGCCCACAGCCGTGAGGGACTTAAGTCTAGACAGGACAGCCGTGACAGCTGCCTCCCCTTCTGTTCCATCACTGGGGAAAAAATCTCCTTTGAAGCTTTCCGGGCGGAATAGCCAAGGGCCTTGATGCCAGCCAGGGGTGCTCAACCCTCGCCAGGCTTTGGAAAGCAATAAGCAATCATAAAGAAACCTCATGCATGCAGGCGCCAGTTTTTACTTCAAAGGCTGCAGCTCCTTCATTTTCCCTCTGGACTGTAAACAGCAGTTGCTAGAAATCTTTCCCAGGGTCAAGGCCAAAACCAAAAGCAGTGTATGGTCTCCATTCCCAAAATAAACAATATATTTTTGGCTCCTATTCACAGTTCCTCCTAAGGATAATGTGTGTGATGCATATGTGGTATAGGTTAGAGAAATCAATTTTCTCTTACAGGGAAGCACACGTGTTAATTCCGCTCTCCTTAAGTCAAGACTAACAACCTTTCTTCAAGCAAACGTTCATTCAATAAAAGGTGAAAGGGACCTTGGAGGTCTTCTAGTCCAACCCCCCTCTACGCGGAGTTCCTGAGAAACTGAGTTGGCTCGAGCTGAACCATATCCTGGGCAAGATTTAACAGCAAGAGACAAATCATTAAGCCTTTTGGGGACCTTATAAATGTCCACCTCTGTGCCAACATTTAGGATAGGTGGCAATTCTGGGTTGATTCCACATTTCAAGATGGTCTGTGTGCAGCTCTTCAAAACAATCATGAATCCAATATTTCATGGGGGGCATCTCCAACTGGAGGAAACGGAGCTGGACAAGGCCCCCAACTTCAAGACAGAGCGGTTTCTGACATGCAACAGGTGGAGGAACCTGAAACCTGCTTCTGTCAACTGCATCATATTCTCTAAACAACCCAAGGGACTATAAATACATCAAAGGCAAGTGAGGATCTGGTTCAAATGGTCTGGAACAGAAGCAGCTCACCTCTCATACACTGAGAGACACGGCAGAAAAACCTCTGCAAAGTGTTTCTCGGTTGACCAAGAGGCCAATATGGTGGCAATTAATGGAGAGAGGATTTTGCTGCTTCCTTCGCCATCTTTGCCCAGACCGTAAACAAAAACCTTTAATGCAGAGATGGACAACTATGGGCCCTTTACGACCTGTGGACTTCAACTCCCAGAATTCATGAGATGGGAATTTTGGGAGCTGAAGTTGACAGATTGTGCTGTAACCGATTTTAATCTGTTAAATTAATTAACAGATCTCATCTGTTCCACTACTTTTTATTATTGGTATCATTATTATGATTATTACTTTACTATTATTATTATATCTTTGCTATGTTGCATGTACACTGAGTGGTTATGCACCGGAGACAAATTCCTTGTGCCTAATCATATTGGCCAATAAAAGTACTCTTTCTCTCTCTCTCTCTCTCTCTTTCTCCCTCTCCCTCTATCTATCTGAGTTGGGAGGGACCTTAGAGGTCTTCTAGTCCAACCCCTGCCCAAGAAGGAGACCCTATACCATTCTGGACAAATGATTGTCCAATCTGTTAATTTCTCCTCCAGCAATGGATCTCTGCTGAAAGCTACACTTGTATCTGGCGGCGAAGGGACAGTGGCTGACCCACCCCATCAAGCTTCTGCTCTAGGACAAAATCCAGATTTCTGGCTGGCCCTTATCAGGAGAAGACAAGCTGGAGTGGTTTACAAGGAAGTCAGGCTGGCCCAACCAGTGCCAGAGAAATGTCCCAACTGGAGGCGGTTTTGCCTCTCAGGGACAGCGTCAAGCGATGAGATGGTCGAGCAGCCTCCACTTAGCACTCTGCAGTGGCTGCCTTATCAAGTGGCACTTTGTTATCCTATAATGCAGCGAGTGTCCGGTGAGAGGTGCGTCCAGGGAAGGGCTCCCCTGCAAAGGGACACAACACAAGCTCTTGACAAGCACGACAAAATGAGCAACATCTTCTTCTGAACGAAGGGCACATCACTGAATTAAAGAGGGCATTTCGCCCCGGCGTACTTATTTTCCGAGCACGGCTTTTCCAATGCCAAAAAAGACAGACTGGGTGTGGAAATGAAAAAGAGAGGATGCTTCGGGAAAAATCTGCCATCGAGAGCAAAGCAGACAGAGCGCAGAGATTTTGTTTTGACCCACAAAGGAAGGTGACAGACCCCTTCCACACAAGAGGGACGAGAAGCTCTCCAAAAAATCCAAGTGAGCCAAGTGAAATAGGGAGAAGGAAGGAAGGGGGGGGGAAATGATTTGACATTGAATTCTAGCCCAAATGCCAAGATGTTTCCCCACGTGGGAAGCCGTAAAAGCACCTGAACTCTTTCACGCTTCGTTTATTTGCACCAAGAATAAAACAATCTCACGAACCCTCAGCCTGTTTGTTTAGGTGTGGCATGAAACCTACTTTTAGCACACCCAGAACTACTTTCTTCCACACTCTCAAAGAAGCTAAAGCAGCTCCGTTTGCAGGCAGGGAGGCATTTCCCAAGCACCGTTTTAAGACCGTTTGAACCCTGCAGGGTTCCTAGATTTAAACTTAAGCCTGCTTGCAGTTCTCCTACCTGAATATCACAGCCAAGATTCAAGCATCGGAAAGAAGTTGGCTATCGTGCTCAGGAAGAGCAACATTCTTCTCTTTCTTCTGTTAGGAAGAAAAAGGCAGCTCTTCCCAAGGGGAAACCACAACACAGGCAGTCCTCGACTTACTTTGGACGGTCACAGTTCATTTAGTGACCGTCCAAAGTTACAACGGCACTAAGAAAAGTGACTTACGATCGTTTTTCACGCTTACGACCATTGCAGCAGTCCCAGGATCACATGATCAAGATTCAGACGCTTGGCAACTGGCATGTACTTACGACAGTTTCGGTGTCCCGGGATCACATGATCCCCTTTGGCGACCTTCCGACAAGCAAAGCTAACAGGGAAGCCAGATTCACTTAACAACCATGTTACTCGTTTAACAACTGCAGTGATTCCCGTAACAACGGTGGGAAGAAAGGTAGTTAAATGGGGCAAAAATCACTCAACAAATGTCTTGCTTAACCACATAAATCTTGGGCTCAATTGGGGCCGTAACTTGACAACCTGTAATTCATCCTTACTCCGTTTCAGGACACGACAAGAAATTCCAAGATTACTTTTTTCCCTCCCCCCCCCAAATGTTTCCTTGACTTGTATGTAAATTTAGCCACTGCGGTTAATAAACCAAGCACCATTTGTGTCTGTAATTGCAAGAGCACTCATGGCCCAAAGCATCTATTTCACACCTGGGTTTAGGGAAAGTGTTCTTTTTTCACTACTAGTCTCATAAGGGGCTGCTCCTTCTTGTCTAGCTGAGAAAAGAGCAGTGGTACAAGGGAAATTAGTCTGACTCCTGTTCTAGTAGGAATCAGCTACAGAGCAACAAGGGTGCCTCATATTTCACAACAGGCCAAAACTCTTTCTATAAACAGGAAATGAAGTGGGCCACAAAGAGCTTCCACTGAGAAGTAAATTAGTAACACAAAACAAAACTCAGGAATAGCACAGGTCACACCTCACAGTCCCTGCATTGTTCCTCCAGGAAAGCGTTCACACATTATCTCCTGGAAGATCTCACTCTCCCGCAGCACAGCTCTCCCATGGAGAGAGGAAGAGGGAGGGAAAGAGTGGGAGAAGGAAGGAGGGGGAGGGAAGGAGAGGGAGAGGAAGAGAGAGAAAGAAAGGGGGAGAGAGAAGGAGAGGGAGAGGGAAGGAAAGGGAGAAAGAGTGGGAGAGAGAGGAGAGAGGGAGAGAAAGAGGGAGAGAGGAGGGTAGGGAGAGGGAGAGAAAGAGAGAAAGAGAAAGGGAGAGAGAAAAAAAGAGGAGAGAAATCTGTAGAAATAGGTGACATCCAGATAAGACTAGAACTTCTAGAAGTGACAAAAATTAAATATATGAAAATATAAGCAGGCAGAAGGCGAATAAGCCATCTAGAATTGCTTCTAGGAGAGATGGACAACATATAAATTTAATGTAAAGAATAATAATAATCACATCCCATATTGCATTTTTCATATGTGCTGAACCGTCCCAACCTCTGCACCTGCGGTGATTCACACGCCAGAGAGGGACAACTTTCCACTTCCCTGTAATAACCATTTTTCCAAGGCACTTAAAATGAGGAAACTCCAGCTACATCTGAGTCATAAAACGGACTCTCCTATCAGCAGGAAAACAGACCAGTTTGGGAATGTGCTTTAGCACACGGGAGCAAACAGCAAATTTCAGCTGATAAGGCAGCTTTTCAGGAAGACAGTTCCATCCAGGGAAACCACTTCTTACCAGAATACAAGTATTCCTCAACTTGGAAGTTGAGGACTATCTGTAAACATAAGGTCCGGGACAAGGAACCCAATCCAATAGCAGAACTGGGCAAGCATTATTTTTATCCAGGGAAAACATTCCCTGTAGATCAGTTGACGAAACTCCAAAAATATATTTATAGTAGGAAAAAAACAGACCACCAAACAGTATCGACTTTGCAAAATTGCAGTTTGCTGTAATTTTTGCTAACAGTTACAATATATTGTTTGGTCTTACCAGCCACAGGAGGACTGGCTTCGAGTCAGATCCAGGAAGCTTATTCCTCCGCATATACTTTCACCCTATTTCCTCACCATTATTCAAAAAAGTAAACACTCTGCAAACAAATTGCTGAAGCATAAACATTTCTTGCAACCAGGCAAGCACAGTGCTCCTTGGAATAAGTTCCACATTATAAATACGCTTTTCAAGTTCGTTCCGTGAAGACCTTAGGTTGATTGCACTTCCTAATATGGGATCAGCTTCAAACCAGAGCAGAATACTGTACATACAGCTGTTACTGGGTGAAACTAGACACAACTTCAGGATAGTTACAACCCCAGAGTGGGTTTTTTTTTTTCAAAAAAAGAGACTTCATTTGTAATCTTTACATTGCATTTACAGGTATGGTTAAAACATTTTTAGTGCATACAAATGCTTTGCTTGGATTTACTGTACTTGTGAACGTGAACTAAATGTAAACATGTCCTTAACTCCCGGCTAGGCAGGCAACATCCAACTCCTCAAGCAGGAGGAACAGAAACCACAGAAATTAGAAAGCAACAAAACCCAGAAATGTTAAAAACGAACAAAGGAAGGAAAAAAACCCACAAGGTGCCAGATTCAAGTCCTGTTCTTTCTTTCAGAAATACAAATAGTCCTCACGACTGTGGCAACTATCCACAATTACGACAGACCCCGCCCCAGAGCGACTGATGACCCAGTTCCAGCCTTCTGACAGCTGCAGAGACCCCTGAGGTCACTTGACCACATTTTGGGCACTTGCAAATCGGCTCACCTTTGCAGTCAGTTGCAGCCTTCCACAATCACCGAATCATGGGGGGGGGGGAAGACCCCTGCCCCTCAAAGGGTCTTTTTTCTTGATTTATCTGTGGGTCCCTCTCCTCCAAGGAGCCCCAATATTCCCAGCTAGCATCGTTGCTATAGCCCAGCAGCTGCCCCCTCGCCCCCCCTGGCCTTCTGACCTCTGGGCCTTTTGCACCCCCTTTTACACCAGGTCCCCTCCTGAGACCCTCCCCCCGGCCCCTCCCTCCTCAGCCCCCCCTGCTCCAAAGCCCCTCACCCCCCTCCCCAGCCTCTCCCCACGCCCCCCCCCCGCCCACCTGTAGGCCAGGCTCATGCACTCGAAGAGCTTGGTCAGCGAGGCGTCGATGCTGAGGCGGCCGTCGCGGGCCCCGCCGGCGCCCCCCTCGGCCGCCGCTTCCCTGCGGGCCCAGCCGCCGAAGCGGTACGTCTGGCAGGTCTGCTCGTTGACCGTGTCGAAGTCGTAGCCCTTCTTGGGCGGGTGCTCGCTGTGCGGCGACGACACCATGAAGTGGCCCGAGTGGATGATCTGGCCCGAGGACGAGGAGCCGGCGCCGGACCCGCCAGACCCCGCCGGGCCCCCGGCCGCCGCCGCCCCGCCCGCCGCCTCGTCCTCCTCGCTGCCGCCCGACGACGACGACGACGAGGACGGCCGGGCCGCCGCCACGGGCCGCCGCCGCCGGGGAAGAGGGGCCGCCGGCCCGGCCCGGAGAGACACGCCGGAGGCCATCGCCGTCCGCCGCCGCCGCCCCGGCCCTCGCGGGTGGGCGGGGCCTGGCCGGGAACACCCCCGCGGGCCACGCCCCGCGGTCGGACTTCCTCGCATGCGGGGCGAGGGCTTCCCCTCTGGCTCCGCCCACTCGCCCTTGCCACGCATAGACACGCGCGCTGGGATGAAAGGGAGAGACATGCAGACAGAAACACAGAGACACCCAACTACACACGCAGAGGCAAGAGAGATACAGACACACACAAGCACGCACAGACACACAAGAGAAAGAGACACAACGACACCCGCAGCCAGGGTCGCACAAGGGATCCAGATCGGGCTCTCCAGAATCCCCTGCTGGGCCCACACTTGGAGGCGAAGCCCCCCCCCCCAAAGGCCAGTCCAGGGGCCAAGCTCAGCCTCCCCCCCCTGGGCGGATAAAGGACCCCAAAGCCCACGTCAACCTCTCTGGAGCCCAGCTGGGAGTGAGTCCTGGGGAGGGGGTTGCAGAGCTGAAGCTTCACTCTGGGGGATCTTTAGCTCTGAAGGCCCCCCCTCCCCAAACTCAGCCGGTGTCTATGGAGGGGAAGCAGCGGTTTGCAAAACATGCTCCTGGGGTGCCCAAGACTCTTTCAGGGCCTCCGCAAGGTCAAAAAACAGAAATCTTTAAACATTTCTCAACCTTTATTTCTCACGCAGTATGTACTGATAGAACCCAGATCAAAACTCTTGGGGGTCCTCCCTCATTCTCAAGAACGTAAAGGGGTCCTTGGATCAAAGAGGGGGAGAACTGCTGGTCTAAAATTTTCTACAGGATGGTTTCCCCCACCTGCCCCTGGATGGGCTCCCCCCCTTGCCTCAAGCCCCCCTGTGCAAAAGGGGATCCTGACTAGGTTTCCAGACAAGCCCTCGTGCAGCCCCCCCCCACTTCAAAAGTTCTATAAATTTAAGAGCAAACAGAGTGAGATATTTTATATAAAACTATATTTTGGCTGAACAGTCACTCTGTGAGCGATGGGCGGCTTCTAAATTTCACAAATAAAATAATTTACGATATTCAAGGGCAAAAATTTATCGGCCAGGCCACCAGATAGATGATCCTAGATAATGCTAAGAAAACGTTGGCCCACGGGACACTCCATCACCAAAAAGGACCGGGCCTTTTCAAGCTCGACATGGAACTGAACCCAGCAATGATTGTAATGAAAAGCGTCACAAGCTGCAGTGTCGCAATTTTAATTTTAATTTTTTTTCTAAATGAAACCATTGTACATTGTACAAACCATAGCTACTGATGGAATAAATAAGTGGAAAAATTATACTGCTGTACAACACACACAAAATCATTGAAGGTGGGGAAAAAAAACCAATTAGGTGTTTTCTTTACAAAAAAAAACATCAACAAAAAAAGAAAAAAAAGATAAAACCCACAAAATTCTTTACACCTCGCTAGCAGGCCTTTAGATACTGTATAAAGAACATTTCAAAACATATCCATGTTTCAGGGTGAAGAAGGCTAGCCCCTCACAGTTCCCATCTCCCACCCACCCATCAAGCCACTAATTGTTATGCTGCCTCATTAATTGGTGTTCTTAAAAGCGCCCGCACTTTTTTGGAATGTTTAACTCTTTCCCCAAGCATTTGAATTTCAGAAATGAACGGTTCGGCTATAAAAAAAATCTGCCTTTTCATATAGCTTCCATCTCAATCAAAGTCAGTTAATTACCTTGCTAGCTTATGTCTACTTGCTTGGAGGGCCAAATAACCCAACTGTAGATTAGGAAGCACTTCTGAACTCTTGTACTATTTCTGACTAATGTTGGATACGGCCCATCACTGCTAGGGCTGCACAATTCCCTTCCCCGCAGGCCTGGTGAATGACTCTTATTAATTCACACGAGAATTTCCAGTCACTGTGATGCAAAATTTAAATTCTCCTCCCCCCTTAGGATCTGCAATCAAACCAGTTGCTGAACCCGAGTCCCAGTAAAGCCAGACCCAAACTGGATCTGGGACCAGATCTGAAGAGATGGAGACACCTCCCCCCCCACACACACACATCCTGAACAGCTGGTTCTCAACCCTAAACTTTCCAACAGTTTAAAGTGTAACAAGCTTGCACGACCAAAGGGCCTATCCATGTTATTAGGCACTTCGAAAAAAGACACAAAGCGCAATCTAGACACCATTGTACAATTCTGCATATCTGCTCTGTATGATTCCACACACACACACACCCCACCTGTTCAAATGGTGCACACAGACATTAACAGGAATTTGTACAACTCAGTTGTCTCAGCTCTGCCCAGCTGCCTGCGTTGGAGATGAAGATTCCAATCATCAATTAAGGACTATGAGGATGCTGGTTTTTGCTGGTTTTTCTGAGCCATGGAAGGACAAAATGACCGCTACTCTTCAAAGTTAACTCCTGAGCATTTTTCCCGCTGCAGAATTCATCTAAAGTTCATGGAAAATCAGCCACATAGGCCACAGGAGAGATTAAGAAGCCAGCTTTATCACTAAACTTATCACGTCAGTAATGCCAATAGATCTTTTCTACCAAATGAAACAGTTGAGGTATTTTAGTGCTATATATATATATATATATATATATATATACATACATACTTTATCAGTTTAAGTACAGGATTCAGCTTTGAACTTAAAAAAAAACTTTAAAAAAGAAGCCTATTTATTTCCTTGGAAACTTTGTAAAAAAAACCATAAAAGCACAACCACAAAAACTGAACCTTCTATAGACAATTGGACAGGGTGGTTTTAGAGCCATGGACCGTTTGAGTGATCAATTAAAAGCTACATAATCACGATTTTTTTAAACTTCAAAAAATATATTTGTCTATTTCATAGATCAGCCAACATGTCCCCCCAAGAAAACCCCACAAACCCTGGTTAAAGATGGATGTCATGTCCATACTAACCAATCATTGCCATGTCTGAAGCAGATACACCAATGAGAGGAAAAAAAAAATATCACTTTAGCATTTAATTCTGTATATTGTGCAAATACGTCTCTTTCTGTGAATTCTGTGAATGTGATCCAAGCACAAAGAGACCTTCTAAGGAGCACACTGCTGTCATGAATAATTTTCAAGAAAATTTAATTTTGATGAGATGTAAATATTTATTTCAACACAAAAATGAGAAGATCTTCTCAAATTTAAATGCAGGCCTCTTCTTGCAGTTAACGCCTCTATAAACATTTGATGGATGGTCAGAATTGACACCTTCACTTCACCCAACCATTTTTTTCATAATTAATTGCAAATGCAACACAGCAGTCAAAACTAAAGCCATTTTCACTGTTGGAGAAATCAGAAATATGTATTTTTTAAACAAGCAATTATTAAGGGAAGTGTCTGGATTGGAAGCTTTTTTTTTAAAGGCCACCTACTAATTCCATAGCAAACTAGGCGTAACTGTTTTATAGTTGCTGTGACAAAATGCATTTGTTCTCCTTTGCTGTCTTCTGCTTTTTATAAGCATTTCTCCTACAGAGAATATTCCCACCTACTCAAAGGAGCTGTAGGAGCTTATCCAGTCCTTAAGTGCACAAAAAATGAGCGTAATCTAGCAAGTCCAACCGCAACATAGCCCCACTGGAAAATGACAAAGTGCAAATCTGTTGCGACTGAAGCTGTGTTGATTTCACTAAATTTTGCCCCCAGCAACTGGCATAAAAGCACCCCAAATGTGTAAGTCACTCTGCCCTTTGCAGCTTCTATTAAATCAACTTCTGTGGCCAAGTCAAGCGTGCACGGGACACAGCTGTCTGAACGAGAGATTCCAAAAATCACGAAGCTGTATTTACAGGCAAATCTTGAAACAAAGGAGTCTCAAGTACACAAATGTTGGACAACAGTCAACATCTCATGAAAGAACAAAACGGTAAAAATCCAGTTGAATCTTTAAAAATGATTGGAGAATAGATCTATTCAAACTTTACACCGGCCATTCAGCGTGCATCCATTTGTAACGAAGCCACAAGAAAGCTCAAAGACGGATTTCCAGCTTCAAGTACTTAAAACGCATAATTGCTTTTGTAACCAGATAAACCCTAATTTAAGTGAACGTCAGAAACCAATCAATCAATTTTAAGAAGGCTATGTGGGGCAGCCTAAAAGATGCATTATTCCGCTATGAAAGTCTGTAAAGCAAGGAGGTTTGGGGGGCACACAAGGCAGTGCAGGAGAGGTTTACTTATTTAAGAAAATTTATACTTGAACACGGTGCATTTCAAAAAGGAAGCGAGCCCTGGAGGTACAGGAAAATCAAGCGTGGATCCGCCCGCCCTCCAATTGTGAAAATGGCTTCTTAATTTCTCTCATGTTATCTCTTATCAGGACAGTAAGCACCAGAGTATTTTTTTTAAAAAAAACAACAACAACGGAACATATTTTATATGGCATTGTACTAACAGGCTACTTTGCAAAAGAGAAGTTGCAGAATTAGCCCTGTTTTGTTTGTTTGTTTGTTTTTCGTTTTGGGACACAAGGCACAAAGAAAGAAAAAAAAAAACAAAACAAGAAAGAGACATCACACCAGAACAGTGAACTTCACATGTGAAGAGAATACCTGACCTGTACCATTCTTAAATATCTTATAATGTTAAATAGAGAATGGGGAAAAAAAAAAATACATCAGCAGCATAATTGTAATTCTGAAATTAGAAACAGTGCGTAGACCCCTCCTGAGTGTTTCCTCTAACCATTTCAGAGACAGTAACTTAAATGCTCAACAGTTTTGCTTCACAGGAACAAAAAAAAAAAAAAAAAAAAAAAGTTTTCAGTGTCTGAAGGGATTAAACGTTTGCTTGGTTTTCCTTGGGTTTTCGCCTGGTAGCTTGGAAAGTTTATAGGAGTTTTCTCCTGGTCCAAGAGAAGATGCTTATGTACGGTTGTTCGATCATTTAGCCCATTGATGTACCTTTACATAAAAACCGGCCATGGAAAATCTAAAGTTTATATTTCATCCATGTTTTCTTGAGAGGGAGCCTCTACTTTCATCTTTTTAGGAGGTGGCACTCCTTCAGAGTCCTTCATGCAGGGATAAAGGGAGAAAGAGAGGGGGGGGGGAGAATTAGCGTTAGCAATGAATAAAATCAACCCGTTATTCTTTTTGTATTTGAGGATAAAGAAGTAGATAACACCACTATTAAAGGAGACTCTTCAGTCCGACTCTTCAGTTAATTGTATAATTTTCCAAATCGCAGGATTTATTTCTGTGCAACATTACCCCGGAAGGTCATTGTGCGTGGCTATTTATGTGGCTCTTTTCTACATCACGATGAGTATTTAAAGAAATCTTTGACAATTCTCCAAAGTATATCAAAAGGACACCCTTGAAGCTTACACTCCATGCGGGCTATAAACAATCCAAAGGGTTAGACATTTATTGTGCTACAGAATATGCTGGCACCATATTAAAGATTTGGAAGAAAAAAAAATACTTCATTCCTATCCGTAACCCAATCTTCATGTTTTCTTATTAGAATTTTAAAATGAAGAAAACTGGCAGCACTGGCTTATCAAAATTGGTCCTCTTCCAGATGACTAATCTTTCCAGTTTTTTAACACTCAGTTTTAGGAAATGGAGCATGCTCTAATCCAGTGTTTCTCAACCTTGGCTACTTTAAGATGGGTGGACTCCCAGCTCCCAGAATTCCTCAGCCAGCAGATTGTTCTTCAACCTGATAGCTAAGGAATTGTCAGAGGGGCAACAAATACTCGCGCTCAGTCGGTGGGTCAAGAAAGCCAGATTTTATTTCAGGCAGCTGACTAGCTAAGTGGTTGTCTCAGGCTTCCATGAATTTTAAAGTTTAACTTTAAAGCAAGAGATGCAGAAAAGCACGATAAAAGCAAGGAGGGATCTTTTTCCCATTACCTGAGAGTTTTTAGATGTCTCTGTGGTTGTGTCGTTTTCCGCTGAAGGCTCTGTTTCAACTTTCTCCGAACTATTGATGGAATTCTCCATCGAAGACTGTGAATTCTGTTCATCAGATGCATCTGGGGGGAAAAATGACAAGAAAACAGCTCTCAAAAATCATCCGACCGTATGTTGCTTTCAATTTGCTTCTATCACCATATTAAAGAGAAATTAAAGAGAAGCTGGTTGAGTTTTATTGCCACTGGAGTTCTGAAGACAGGCGCTTTTGCTTTGTTCTTGAAGATTGTACATACTTATTCTAGGAAAATTTCTTTTCTACAGGAAAGCAAGGGAGAAAAAAAAATTGCCAATGGCGAGCACTGAGCACTTTAAAAAGAGATTTTAATTTTAAAAACTTGAAACTGAAAGGCTGAAACTGTACTTTTCATCTAATTATACAAATGGATAAAAAAAAGCAGAACTATATAGAATTCATTAACTCAGCAGCTGACTAGGATACTTTTGAGTCACCACTAGAGGGAAGCATAGTATTTTAGGCAATGCAGAAGATAACCAATGTGATTTAAAACCCTTTGGAAATATTTGGACAGTGTTTGTGGGACACAGATAATTTATGGGGAGAGGGAGAGATGCAAGGTGTGAATGCATCTCCTTTTCAAGCCTTCACAAGCTTGAAAGTGGGGGCTGTTTTTAAACAGTAGAGAGTTAACACCAAGAGGTGATCATCTACAAAACATGGAAGCGCTTGTACCATACATCCCGTCTACCATCTCTGTGCCGGGAAACAGTCCCAGGAAGCCCATTGTTACCTTCTGACCCAGCTTCTTCTTTTGCATCCGTCGGAGTATCGTCCGACTTTGAGCCAGGACCATCTACCTGCCCTGTCGAGTTCTGCTCGGGCAAGGGACTCGAGTTGCTGCTGTTCTCCTGCTTTATAGGGGAAGCATCAGCTATAGAACTCTGGTTGCTATTGTCATCTGCAAACAAAAGAGATTGGCTTGGTGAAACAGGCTGAAGATCAGCACTCACACAATCCGGGGGATGAGAGTTCGACCCCACGCTTGCCAAAATAAACATCTGGTTGAGCGCCACACGAATCTGCATTTCACAAATTCACTTAACTAAAGCAGAAACGCAGTGCCAGTTCAGACATCCAGTACCCAGAGTGCTTGGTTACAGAAGCTGAAGTCCAACAGGTTGGCCTAATGAGAAAATTGTCCAGGGCACAACTGCTGACATCACAGTATCCACTCAGGCACTTGCTGAACGATGCTAAGAAAAGCTACCACTTCACCCATTTATCCTCTCAGAATGGGAAAATTACAGATTCAACTGAGGGTAACCATGGCAACATGTAATGACTCACTTTAAATGTTAAACACGTGCTTCTGGAGAGAAAAAAAATCTTAATTTTTCAGGTTCAACTTTATCAGGCTGAGGCTTCCAAGGGACGCAGCTACCCCGTGTTTCAAAACCTCTTCTTAGAATAGATGAGAATTTGGAAAACTTTATTTAAAAGGCCACAAAATTTGAGGTATATTTTTTATGAATTAGATAAACAGCCTTTTGGATTACAGCACTATGGAAAAATAAAGTGCCACAATTCTCAGCAGGAGACTTGTTAGCCTGAATGGCGCCTTTTTATTCCGCACTTGTCAATTGTTACTCTTCAAAGCTAAATCTAAAATTGCTCCTAAGGAAGACTTAGCGTTCCCCATGCTGGCTGGCATCAGCAGTCCCCCTCCTCCCGTGGCCCCACTCACCGTGCATATCCATCATCCCAGGAGACGAACTGTTTTCTGGGGTCGTCACCTCAGAACCACACTTTTCATCTTTGCCTTTTTTCTTGTTCTTGGCTTTCTGGGAGAAAGGAGAATAAGATGGTAAGTTTGTGTGTGGCTAGCTTGAAAGTTAGGCTTTCCCAGTGAAGTCTGAATCTCAAAATTGCCACTCTTGTGCTGATCCCTTGTTCTAAGCCACTTTGTTGCTGGGTAGTTTGTCTGTCTTTTTAAATTTGATTGGAAACAGAAAGGTGGAACCTTTTTTTAAAGGAATATTGTCTATGATCATTACACAGCTTCAAAAAGTCTACTTATGTTTTGGCTTCTTCTTTCTACATGTTCGTGACATTAGCATGTTTTTATACATGGCAATACAATCCAAAAGACGGGCTTTGGTCTGAATTTGTGTTAAATCTGGTCTACTGTTACCAATTTTCAATACTACTTATTCATATCCATACTAGTTGCGATAGTAACTGGGTCAATAAGGAACCACAAAGCTTGTTGGGTGCGTAAGGGCTGGGTTCTGTCCCCCCCCCCCCAGCACCATTACAAAAGATAAAGCAGCAGAGAAAGACAATAGCATCCGTTGTGTGAAAAAAACATGCATGAAAAAGGATGCGGCACTTTCAATTAGAAGGTGACGTAACTGGTCTCCTAGGAGAAAGTGCCAGCTGCACCACTCTGCTCTCAATACACCGAGCCTGCTGAGCGAAAGAAAACCCAGATGATCGGAAGGGAGCCTCGCACAGAAATAAGAGCGTGAGGGTCGGGTCGGGCAATACAATCAAAATCAGAGGCAGATGGCAAAAGGACAGCCCCAGGCCGCAGAAGGCCCTGACTTAATATTGACGATGTCTGTTTTGAGTGGCACTGCTGCAGGCCAGATGGGTGGAAATACAACAGCTGCGCCTAGGTGCAGAGTAACAGCTACGGTTCTAAGGTAGCTACAAAGACAGGCGGTGTGGACCTCTTTTATATGATGCAATCAGCAACTCCTAAGAGGCTGAGGGTGAGCTGAAAAGTGTGGCTTCCCACAAAGAGGGAGGAAATCTTTTCATAAGACCTTTGCTATCAAGAAAACTGAGACATAAGACAAAGGTTTTAGGAAAGGACACTTAACATTCAATATAATGTCATTTATGCTGCCAAGAGAGTCCTTTTCTCTAAACTTTCAAATGAATGGGGTACCATGAAATACTTACATCATCTGTTTTGGGCTCTGTTATTGGCACCCATTTGTAAATCCTAAGGGATGTGTCACCAACTGTCACCCATTTCTTCTCCCTAGAAAGAGGCAAAATTATAAATATTTAGTCACATGTATGGTCTCAAAGCCCCTGTGCAAAACCCAGGCAACAAAGAGAAGGCATACAATAAGCCTAACTTCTACAGTGGGAGGCAAACAGGACATAAAGCAGAAGGAATTTAAATTTCAAATTCATATAGTAAGGATAGGGAGTCTTTGATTTATGACCCCACCAGACCAGAATTTCCATTGCTAAGCAAGGTAGTCGTTAAGCAAGTCTTGCCAATTTCACTACCTTTTTTTGCAGTTGTTAAGCAAACCACGGTAGTTGTCAGATGAATCCCCTTTATTTATTCACTGATACATTCATTTTTCTCCACTATCCCCAGTTCTTTATACATTTTTTTGCTGTTTAAATCTGCCAGTTACATCTCTTTTTAAATTACCTTTCTCTTTCCTTACTATTTGGTTTTGTCAAAGATCTATAAATGAGACTCAAGGACATTTCTTTGGTCCAAAAAAATGAAGGGAGCAACAAAAAGTGAATCAGGGACTTCTGAGTCTACAGCAGTACCGTTGAAATAGTAATTCAGGGATTAGAGGTGCATTAATGCAAGTAGATCTGCTTTATAAAAACCATTTTCTCTGAATATCTGGCACAAGGTGAATCATGGTAAACATCTCTTATGCAAACATGTTAACCAGACAATGCTAAGAATTTCTAATTTCCTGGATCAGACTACCACTCACATCAATATTATTTAATCAGATACTAAGTATGGCCTTTTAATAGGATTTAAATACACAGCTTCCCCAGTACAGAGTTGGGTTTGCAGGTGAAATAAAGGTATATTATCACTTACATGCTTCAAAATATACCCCATCAGCATCTATGCTGGGTTAAAATAAATATTTGCAAGACAGAACTTTACATTCCCATTTCACTATATGCTTAAGCAGATAAATCTAATAAAGGGGGAAAGAACCATCTGGTAAACAGAAGGCTGTACAGCACCACCCTGCCCCCCCCCCAAACCTGGCTCCAAAAATGCACACTGATCCAGCAGAAATCTGTACAGAATGCCTTCCAAGATAAAAGGATTCAAAACCTTCATCTAACCAAGCCACAAGCAAACACCCCAACAAGCCCCATGGAGATGACATTGTAAATCTATAGGACTCAATCAGAGGTTGAGTCTTTAACTGGTGTTTCTTTAACTAGTGTTAAAGAAACCATTTTGCTGAAAGCCTTCTTAATTCTCACAACAGCAGAAACTCGAGAAAGAAAGCAACATGTCTGCTCTCAACTGCTGACCTAAAGCAAACCCAGCAAGCCATTCAACATTACAAAGAATCATTGGCTGCTGAGTCTTCTGGGTATCCAAATTTGCCAGCATTCACTATGTTTTCCAGTCACCATGGAAGAACATTAACACATTCAATCACTTCACTTTTTGGGTCTTCAGAAATTCCCTAGATCACCACTGTTAACTTGTAAAGTCCTGGCTTAAATATTTCATGCTTCTGGGCTATACATACAAAGCAACGCTTGCATCATCTTTGACTGAGATGATTCCAAACAAAATCATGTCATCATGACCAGCCCATAGTTCATTTTAATTTCCCCTGTTGATGGAATAATGTGTTAGGTATTACACAAATCGCCTATAACTTAATGGAAGAGGACAAAATAAGCATAAGGGTTTTCTTCTTTAAACTGGATTTCTGCATTACATAGGATACACATTGTAGTGTTTTACACATCACTGTAAAATGCACTGTTTATTTCTCTGCTGTACATTATCTAACTTGCAGGAATGAGAGAAATGGTTGTTAGTGGCTAAAAGTGGCTTTTTTGTTATTTATCAGAAATGAAGCCAAACTGTCTATTTTTAAATTATCTGTTTTTATCAGGAATATTCAATCACATATTTTATTTCAAAATGCACTATAGATGAGTATTTAAAGTAAGCATCTAAAATGAATTTCTAGAAGGTCTGTTCAATAAGAGTTTAAAGAATGATCTTGATACACCATAAGTAACAAAACCACATGCTTTGTCAATCAGCGTATAGAAGGATACTGGCAAAAAAAAAAAAAATACATGAGAAAATTTATGGTTTGTTGGTTCCCAAGTTTTCAGATAAGTGAACTGTTGCCAGCTATAAAAATTTCCCATGAATGCTGTCTGTTATACAGTATTGTGTCTCAAAATCACTGCCTTTAACTTTTCCCCTGAGAATGACTGGAATTATTAAACAATAATCTTATTTTGGATCTGTAAAGCCCAGGCCCTGGAGCTATGAAACGTCTTGGATTGCCAAACTCTAGCTATACTAATTAGGAAGTCCCAAGGATTCCCCCCCCACCAAAGGAACATACACACAATCCCAAACTATTTTATTTTGCCACCCAGTTGATCAAAATAATTGAAGGGGGAACAAGAGCTACCCATAAATTCATCACTCCACCTGTAATTGTAAAAAAAATATTTTTCTAATTATTACAGATGGAAAATTCACCACCTACAAAAAAATAGACTCAAGCACTCGACACTTTTAACTGCACCTAAATACAGCTTTGATCTAAGCAGTTCTGAACCTACCATACAGCCCCTCACGAATTGTACACATTGACTTATATTACTCTTATAGAAATGTCAAAGCACACATAAATCAAGTGGATGAAAGCCCCACCACAGGAAACACTTAAAATTCACCATGTCCAGTAAGAAAACAAAGTGATGCCATATCAAAGTTGTTCACAATTTTGTGTTTGAATTTCTGTGTTACCTGAAGGATGGGTTTCTTCGGTTCTGAATTAATCATATTTTGTATTGCCTGGAATACTTGGTACAAGTTGGCTTCTATTGTGCTACTTAACACAATGACACTTATCTATAGCCAGCTTTAACTTTCAACATTCAATGGTGAAGTTTTAATGTCATGCCAAAATTTCCACTTAAAAAATACCGAAATCGGAACACTGATGTTCTCATCAATTCACCATTATACATTTACGAGCAGATAATTGGTCTTTTGTCCCCCAAGAGAACAAGCTGAACAGTTTTGTTAACTTATGAGGAAGAAATAAGCCCAATGTCCCTGCACAGAGAGACAAATTACTGGCATGAACCACTTTTTCAAATGTCAGGAACATCAACAATCTCCTTTTGAAGGATTGAGCTACTGTAATAGGATCACCTGCTCACAGTTACTATAGCAACTGAAAACACTAGTCAAAAGTTTTCCAGTTTTGTTTGTTAAGCAGTTAAGAAAGATTGGTATTTTCTTCTTCCCTTTATCATGGGAATCAAGTACCATGCAAAACCAGCAAAGCATCAAGCACTGTCAATTCTCTTCTAAATGAACTCATTGACTTTCTGTTTTTCAGCATCTTTAAGTTTCTAGTATGAAATTGCTGTGTGGGAGGGGGGAAAGCACCTTGATTGCTTGCACAACACAAGACTGCTCTCTCAGTTAAATTATATTTTTTTAAAAAACTAATCAATTGTTCTGTAAGAGAAAGTGTTTCTCTTAAAATCTGCTTGTTTTTAACAATCACCTACAAAAATTGTGATTTAAGAACTGGAATCAATTGTGGAAGGGCATAATGCAACTCAATGAAATTGTTTAAATTTTTCTTGAAGAACATTTTAAGATGTCATCTGATCCAAAGATACCAAGCTGCACAATGATTGCTTATTGTGTCTGAATAACCATTTCACTGTTATGTTTAATTATGCCATAGAAAACTCCACAATAAAAGTCATACCACATTTCTCAAAAGAATACAATCATTACATGCTGCAAACATTCAATAAAACAGGATGGATTTACCAAGGTTACAAAAATCTAATTATATCAAATTCAAATAGCAATAATGCACCTCTTTCTGGTTTTGTTCAGAATTTAAATCAATAGAACAATACAAACAAGCAGTTTTGACTTGAGGCATAAATTTAAAAGAACAAAGCACTTCTCAAAAGAATATTGTATCATAATACTTTGGACATTTTAAAGAACATCCTACTAATAACTATACAAAAAAATGGAACAGGACAGATCAGAGAAACGCACCCTGAAGATAGTAGGACAACTCAGTAGAGAAGTCGCACCTTAGCGACAAAGTATGTCTTGTCTGGTGGAAACCCCATATTCACTATTCAGCATAGGCAGCAGAAGATCCCAATAATACCTCCCCCAAAACAACTGAAGAGTGGGGATCCGGGTGCTTTCTAGTTGTTGTTTTGCGGACATTTCATGACCCAACTAGGGAACATCACCAGTGCAGGAGAGAGCAAAGTGATGTTCTCTCGCACTGATGATGTTCCCTAGTTGGACAATGGAACGTCTGCAAGAAAACCACCCAGCTCAGGGAGCTCCCAGGACCCCCACGAGTCAACCCTGAGCTACAAATCTTCTCTCCCACTGGGACAGCTGACTATCCTTCAGATGCCCACCGTGCTCGGGGTAGGAGGGCCATCCCACTGCTGTCCAGCACCTTCAGGAAGGACCCAAGAGGCAAAGATACCGGACTGGCATCTCAAGCCAGCCTCGGACCGCCGCTGAGCCCCCAGCTGGGCAGGAGAGAGGGCCAAGAGGAGGGCAGGGAGGGAGGGAGGGGAGGGGCAGGGACCCCCACCAGAGGGAAGCCACGCGGACTCGTGGCCGGGTGGAGGGGGGCGCAGGCCACGAGGGGGGCCGGCTCAGAAAGGGGCCAGGAGCCCGGGAGGAGCCGAGGAGAGAAACCTCCACCCCCAAATGGAGGAGGAACCCCGACTTCCAAAGCGGGGAGAAGACAGGAAAAGAGGTCCCGGACTTCCACTCCCATCAGCCCCCGCAGCCGGCCAAGGCCCGATGGGAGTTGTAGTCCAGAGCCTCGGCTCGCCGCTCCCGAGGCCCACAAGAGCCGCTGCGAGGGAGGGGCGGGGGGGGCAAAGCCGGGGCGGGGTCTCGAAGGGGAGAGGGGTGTCTCCGAGGGTGGGGGTCCCCGCCTCCCCCCGAGCCCCCTCCTCACCATTTGCGCACTTTCTCGATGGCCGCCATCACCCGCTTGATATCATCCTTGGCGCGGCTGCGGGTCTCGGCCCGCACCGACCGGCCCGACATGCTGCTGAGGTGGCGGCGGAGGGACTCGGACTGAGGCGCCGGCGCCGTTCGGAAGCTGGGGGCGAGGAAGGGCAGCGGCAGCAGCCGGAGGAGGAGGAGAGGGAGGCCCGGCCTGGCTGGCGGCGGCGGCGCCCGGACGCACAATGAAGCCTCCCGGCCGGCTCCGCCCCGCCTCGAAGGAGGGAAGAAAGGCCCGAGGCCGCCAGGGAGGCCAGCCGAGGCGGTGGGCGGGAGAGGCGGGCGGAGCTCACTGCGCAGGCGCGGGGCACGCCGCGCAAGCGCAGATCCCCGCCCGGCTCGCACTGGTGGGGGCGGAGGAGGGGAGGGGCCGGCGTGTTCCCGCCCTTTTCTGTCCGCGCGGTCGGCGCCGCTCATCCTCGAGGCGTCGAATGAAGGAGCGGAGTGGAGCATGGGCTTCTTGGTCCCTCTGCGTGGTTGTTCTCCTGAGCCTTTTCCTTGGCCACGGTCTTTCTTCAAAAGGAGATATAAGTTTAACAAATAAAAGTAAAATAAAAATAATAAAATAAATAAAATAAAAACCTGGGCTCTTTAATTTATATAAAAGATATAAAATGGGTGGACTTCAACTCCCAGAATTCCCCAGCCAGCCATGGATTCTAGGGCTAAGGCAGGTGGTTGTTAAGTGAAATCCTGCCTGAATTTACAACCTTGTTTTGCCCTGGTCGGTAAATGAAACACTGCAGCTGTTCAATGATCCATGCACATCTGGCTTCCCCCTTCTTGGAAGCCTGCAGGGAAGGTTGCAAATGGCAATCCCATGATCCTCGGACACTGGATGCTGAGCGTCCAGATTTTGACCCGTGGGGATGCCCTGTTGGTTGTAACTGAGGATGGGTCACAAGCCACTTTTTTCAGCATCACTGTAACTTTGAACGGTCACTAAAGGAATGATTGCAAGTTGAGGACCAGCTGTCAAAAGATCTGGAATCCTGCTTCTGCACGTCTCACTTTGGATGAGGGATGAGGACTTTCCCAGCTTTATACATACGGAGTCTACAACTGACTTTTTTTTTAAAAAAAAAAACACCCCCACATCTTTATTTTCCATCACATTGAAACTAATCATTTCTGAACATTTGTTTTTCAAAAATAGTTAAGTTGTAAATCTGGGGACAGAAGATGACCCAAGGCAAAAAAGACCAAGAGTGTAAATCATGAATTCTTCATGGACAAGAAACTGCCATTCGTGGCCTCGTCGGAAGTTCGCATCTCCGTCGCCACGTCCGTCGGTTCTGGCATCGGTAAACCCAGGATGTCCTTCGTGAAGTAAGCTGCCGTCACTTCCTCGGGGATTTCTTCCTGAATTATGTCTTCTGAACCTGGGAAAGAGAATGGATGCTAGGACTTGGTGCAAGGAATCTACAAGATCACTTTATCCACAAGCTACACTGAACTGATTTTTGCCCTTTAATTGCAATGCAGCTCTTTTCATGTTCCTGCCGTTTTTTCCCTAGGATGGGAGACCACTAAGCGATCCCAGGGCTCTAAGTTGAGTTAGAAATTAGACAAAGAATCCCAAAGAAAACAGTAGCAAACCATTATTTAACGGTCCCAAGAAAATGGGATACTTTCATCAGAGGGGGTTGCAGTTCAGCACCTGTGGGATCATAGCTGCCGACCTCCACACGTCCCCCCTCGGGGTTGAAGCCCAGAAGTGTGGTGAGATACTCTGCCAACTCTTCTTCGGTAAAATGCTCTCCTGCTCAAGGAAAACGAGAAAGCACACAGTCACCTAACCCGAGCAGAACCACAGCATACCACCAATTTTCAAAGGTTTTGCATGCTCAACGCTCACACCTTTGTGTTGCAGCAACAATAGCAGGTCATCTCGGTTGATGGCGGCTTCATGGTCCTCGTTCTCGTAGCCCAACACTTCGAAGGCCTGCTGAATTTCCCTCGAGGCCAGCCCAAACGCAGGCCGATGGTTCACGTAGAGTTTGATGAAGTCCCCTAAATTAATATGGGTGACTTGCTTCCCAGTATCCAGAAACTCACTAAATTTGACTTCATTCAGCATGTCTTCAATCTAAAAAGAGATCCCGCCTCCATCAGATCTGAGAAAGCTTTCAAAACCTGGCCTAACCCTAACCCTATTCTTAGGCTATGTATCTCTTTTTGTATTGTTTTATTCCTTTTAATGTTGTAAGCCAACCAAGTTCAGCTCCTGGTGAGATGGGTGGCAAATAAATTTAATCAATCAATAAAAATAAAGTTTTCTTCAGGAGTTATCTTTTCCTGATGCATCAGGTTTCGTCTGGGATTGGCTTTTATTGTTTTAACATTAGGCAGTTGGGCAGCCTCTCAATCAGGGCTGTCCAATCTTAGCAACTTGAAGTCCGCAGGTCTTGGACACCCCCAGTCTAATCAAATAAATAAACAAACAAACACAAATGATTTTCAATCGTGTTGCCGCAGGAATGCTTTGACAAGCAGAAAGAAAAGTGTCTTCTTCAGTCATCTCTGAAACCCAGTTTGCAGAATAGTATCATTTTCCTCTTCCTCTGATTTACAAAGCTGGCCAGACTGAAAAACCATGATTCCCACAAGTTCCAAACTGTGATTGGAAACATCCTTCCAAAGAAGGATTGAGGAACAAGGGTTGAGGAAGAAATCACTGGGTTTCGGAAGTCAGATGAGGTGCTTAAGGACCCTCCCCACCCGCCCCCTCCCCTGAAAACCCACTGACCTGATCCTCCGAAGGGTAAAACCCCATTGCACGCATCAGAAAGGAGACCTGATCCAAGGGGATGTGTGTAGACACCTTCCTGGGTTCCATGGTGTCGATGCCCTGGTGGACCAGCTGAGCGTAGTAAAAATAGTCTTCCAGCTCCTGAACGTGCACAAAGCATCTTGAGTGTGCAAGAACAACATTCAATACAGGTAAGACCTTGACTTACGGCCACAACTGAGTCCAATCTTCTGTTGCTAAGTGAGACAGTTAAGTGACTTTTGCCTCATTTCACAACTTTTGTTGCCACAGTCGCTAAGCGAATCACTGCAAGGGTTAAGTTAGAAAGACGGTTGTTAAGCCAATCTGGCTTCTCCTCCTTGACTTTGCTTGTAAGAAGGTCGCAAAAGGGGATCACGTGATCCCGGGACACTGCGACCGTCATAAATATGAGTCGGTTGCCAAGTGTCTTACTTTTGATCACGTGACCGTGAGGATATTGCAACAGTCATGTGAAAAGCAATTTTAAGTCACTTTTTTCGATGCCGTTATAATTACAAACGGTCACTAAATGAATGGTTTGTAAGTCAAGGACTCCCTGTAATGAAAGATTTGGCTTGGTGTCTGTCTCTATAAACCTTTAGTGGCCCTTTTCCCCTCTGAAAGGGTTTTATTTTATGAACCCCACTATTTTATGGCTGCTGTTGTGCTGGGATGTATTTTGTGGCATTACCAGAATCCCAAACTGAGCAGATTTACCTTGAAAAATGCACCATCTCTGCCACCTTCCAACAGGTTGTAAAATGGGATCAGGTCTTTGCCACCCAGGAAAACAGCAGCATCCAGAGCACTGAAAGAGGAGACAAGGCAGGGGGTCCCTGATGAGAAGACCCTGCAGAGAAGCTCTTGGTTCCTCACCTGCCTCCCCTCTACCAGAAGGAAATAAAAACTCCCCATCTTGGAGGAACTTAACAAACTTAACCTCTAGCTTCATCTTTCTCTACCTTGAAGATGGGTGGACTTCCACTCCCAGAATTCCCCAGTGTTGTTTTGCCTCCTGAGGCCACCAAAGCTTTTCCTCAAAGGAACCGTCACTTACTCAAGATTCACGTCCCACTTCATCACTGTCGAGTCGCTGCCCCCCGCCGTGAAGAGGTAGCGTCCGTTGTAGGAACAGGTGAGGTCGGCCACACCTGCAGGGTGGCAAATGAAAGCTGAAGACTTGTGTGGATTCCCATCGACGGGCAAGATCTGCAGGCCAACCTAGAGAAGAAGATGGAGAGGAGAACCAATTTCTCCCCAGGCCCGCTTGGAGGAATTTGAAGATACAAAGGGAAGGTACCTTCCCATCACCTCCGCTACCTTATCTTTTGTGATGTAGGCCAGGTACCGCTTCTGAGGATCCTGGTCCTCATTCAACGGAAGGATGGCAAACTTCTCAAGAGGGGAACCATAGGTGGGTCCCAAAGCGGTCTTCCTAAAAGAAGGACGTCGTGAAAAAGCCTAAGAGCCCAACCAGCTCATACCAAGAGCAGATCCTTCTCCCATTGGCTCTGTTGCCTTTGAAGAAGTCCACCCCCCACAAGGGTTTTCCCCACCTAGCTACCTGCACAACTTGGTGGTCACATTATAAAGCTTCATTTTGTAGTGATTGTTGGCCGTGAGGAAAAAGTACTCCGTTGTAATTGGGGGATACCAAGCGATATACTTGGGGACTGCGCTCTGCTCAATACGGTCTCGTCGGATTACCACCAACTCATCTTTGACGCTATTCGCCAAGTCGTATTCCACCTGAAAGCCAAGTGAAAGCCAGCAATCACACCAACTACTGTGAGACGTAGCAGAGTGAATCGCTGGGTCTAATTGTTGGTTAGGCAAGTGGACCATCGTTGACCCAACTGAGTTGACCCACGTGTTAAGCCAAGTCACTTGTACCATTCAACTCAAAAGGCTACCAAGTCTTCCTGTTGAGGTTGAGACTTCGTGGCCATAACTCGCTACAGATCCAGAAGCATCTTGATTCCCATCTTGTTCTCTGAAACCCACCTTCCTCCTCTGACTCCAGGCCAACCTGCTTTGTTCTGAATGAACAACTACTTAGGTTTGTTGGTCCTGAAACTTTTCCAGAGGGAGTCTCCAATCAGGTGGCCCATTTTCACCAGATGTGCCCAGCCACTGGACTTACCAAGAGCCGGTCTTCTCCGAGACTTAAAAGTCGTGGCTCACTACTATCTAGGTGCACCCCAAAAAGAAGGGTGCGAATCGGCTTGTAGTGGGAGTGGAGTGCAGCCAGGCGACCCCAGACTTTCTTTTCCTCTACGTCAATTTTTTTGTAAAGGTTCAACGACAAATTTTCATCCTAAAAGACAAGAAAAATCAACTGGGAAGGAAAACCACTATTGTGGAAGTTGACGTTCATACATTTTCAAGTTGCCAATTTTGAGAAACGCTCTTCTGTGGAGAGCTGCGAGGAACAATGAGCTTGTAGCCAGAACAAGGGGTGGCCCGTAGGATATAGCAGTGGGATGGGTCCAGGAGGAAGGGGGTCACTACTTACAGCAGTGGCGAGATATTCAGAATTGTGGGAGAAGCTCATGATGGTGATGGGTCCTTTTGAGAATTGGAAAGGTTCTGGATGGTCGTTTTCCAACGATATGGCATCAAGGATATAAAGACCCCCATTCAGAAAGCCGGCAGCTAGCAAAGAACCTAAGATGCACATCAAAAAAGCAGTTGGTCCAACTCCGGTTAAGGTTCTGGAGATTATATGAACTGTTTGTTCGTAAGCCATGCTTGTCCTCCTAAACCTAATCCTTCTATGATGTTTCTCCAAAACGTCTCCTAACCACTTTAATTATTGGTGTCCACCCTTAGGGTGGTCTAGTAGACACCACCATTACTGATCACTCAGGGAGGACAGACCCATGAAAGCCCTGTCCTGAGGTGGAAATCCATCAGGGATCAAAGCTACAGACAGGAAGCTTCTATTTAAAGGTACCAACGCTCCTCAAAGGACCCTGCAGCATTTTAGTAGTCAGCAGGAGACAGGTTTGGGCTGCAATGAGTTTTAAGCTTAAAAAAAATCCTAACTATCAATTTTGCAATTACGATTGGTGGCTAACATTACCAACATCGGATGCAACAATGGGTAGCAACTTTTACAGATTATCTGGGGCAGTTCTTGACTGTAAGAAATAATTAATTAGATAAGAGTTGGAAGAAAAATCAGTGCAACCGCAGTCTTTGCAGCGGTCCACAGAGAGGCTTCTGATAGGACAAGCAAACCATTCAAGCACAACCCACAAAGTTGCTGTGTAGTCTAATAACAGCTTTCTGCAGCTTTCTGAGGCCAGCTCAACCAGACCCAGCAAATAATTCTTCAGACAAGTATTGTGATTGTTTAGGATTCTCTTCCTCAGACAGAAAATTGAGCCCGGGGAGAGGAGCTACTTCCAGCTACCCAAAAATATGAGAAGGACCGATGACTACCATCATGATTGTAACAGAGGCTGCTGATGCTTTCGCCCTTAAAAATTCGGCTGACGAGGTATTTGTTCAGGAGGTAGCTCCAGACTTTCAAAAGGCCACAGTAGCTGCCCTTGGCCAGGAGAGGTTTGCAGGGGTGGCAGATGACGGCGTGGACAGCGTCCTTCGGTTCCTCCAGGCACTTGGTGACTTGAGTTCCCTCCGTCTTGACGTGAATCACCACGGCATCCACAGTCGCAAGGATGAAATTCCTGCCTCGGGGAGCAAACGGTTGCAAACTTAAAGAAAAGTCCATCCTTCCCCCCCAAATCTGCCCAGCTTGCAGAAGGCACTCCATTCCTTCAACCCCCATCATGCCCAACAGAATAATAATAATAAAAAAAACTCTACGGGCCACCAAGATCCGCTCACCTAACAATGAAGGGTTGGCCAGATAAAGTGCACGACTCGGGGTACTTGGTGACGTCTTCAGGGGAGGGGGGTTTCTTGGAGAAGGAGAAAGACTGGATGGGTCCCAGTTTAAACTGGCTGTACCAGTGCACCAGCTGCAGGTCCCCATCGTAGAATTTAACGTGGCCTCTGATGTCACAAGTGACAAATAACCTGGGAATAAGCATTGGCGGTAGAGATCAAAGGATAGACAGACAGATAACATTTATTGTCATTTTTTTTACTGTGGCCACAATGGCATACATTAAAAATGAAATTTAGTTGCTTGCTCTCAAAATATACACCTGCATAACATACTATATACAACTTATGTATAGTCAGGTTTTTTTTCCTTTCCAGCCCACCAGGTTCTCGAGGTGGGCTTCCCTTAAAGAAGTGCCTGTTTGGAGGCTGGAATTTGAAAATAAAATAAAAATTCAGTTTTCTGAATTGCATTGAATTGCAGGGTTTTTACTGGAAAAGCTGCAGCAAAATACAGGATGGGTTCAAAGTGGGCTGTTCAGCTTAGCTGCAGCACCCTCTGCTGGCCGAAATTGGAAATTCTTCCTCAAGAGGCTTTTAATTGTACGATGGTTTTCCCTGGTTACCCCAATTTACGACTATAATTGAGCCTGCAATTTCAGTGTCAGTCGAGACCCGCTTACTCGTCCATGATGGCCAGGACGGTGATGGCGTCTTTTTGTAGGTGCACCAGCTTGATGGCTTTCATGTTGTACACTCGGTCACACGTAGCTTGCAAGGGTGTGCAAACGGTGTCCCAGATCACCAGCTTCCCCTCCGAGGTGCAAGACAACGCTTGGGAAGTGCGGAAATGGAAACGGGATTGGCTGAAGAGTCCCACCGCCTTGTTGAAAGTCTTCAGGAGGACCACCAATCCAGTTTGGGAAGAAAAGATCAGGAATCAGGGCCCAAAACATCGAAAACTGCGATCTGCAACTTCTATCAGGTTTATTCCATTCCTAGCCTTCTATTCATGCATAGGCAACACTTCATATTCACACACACACACCAGTAACATCCCTGTGAAGTAGATGAGGTTCATAAAGGTTGCCTGGCCAAAAATCACCAAGAGCTGAGGAGAGTCGAGAAGCTGGGAGCCCGTTTGGAGTCCACCACCTTAACGACTCCATCCCACTGGCCTCTTACGTATTTAATCTCTTAACTGTCAGACAATTGGTGTCCAGTGGATACCTGTCAAATATTTTCATTTTCTGATTTAGGGGTCTACCTTTCAGAAAATCTAAGTTGGAAACCAGCCTGTGGAATCATCTTAATGAAGAAGGAGGTCTTGGCTTCCAGAGGTCTTTAAACCCCCTTTACACATTTGCTCCCCTCGTCAATGGGATCCTGCACAGACCACCACCCATTATAAGCATTTCAGAGTCTCCAGTATTTTGGGGGGGAGGGGACACTGACTTACTTTGTCTGTCAAGAGAGGAGCGTGGTAGAGCAGATTGCTCTCCTCCTAGGAGAAATAGAAAGAAAAGAGGGTTAAGTCTCTCAGTGAAGGGTGTCCTAACTTGGCAACTTTTAAGACTTGTGGACTTCAACTTCCAGAATTCCCCATGCTGGCTGGGGAATCCTGGAAGTTGAAGTCCACAAGGTTGCCAAGGTTGAGAACCACTGCTCTAAAGGTTTACTCACCTGAGAAGCCACCTCCTGCTGCTCCTGTGTGGAAGACACAGGAACATCCTCCCAAGACCTCATCCTTCAAAGTCTACTTTGAACCAGACCGTCAAGAACTTCTAACTGTAGACCCTGCTCACTGGGAATTTTAGGAGGTGTCATTCCTCTCTCCCTTTCCCCCCCCCCCCCGTCCTCCCTAGAGGACGCAAGTTTTAAGAAGTTCTTGAAATCACTCATGTTAAAGTAAGACCCTCAAAGAGAGCAGGGTGTTGTGGGGTGTCTCACTTACTTCCCACAAGTAGAAGATAACTTGGCTGTTGCTGTTGCTCACCAGCTCCTTCGGCGTTTGGAGACTGAACTCAATGTAATTCTGGAAGAAAGACGCGATCGTTGCTGAGCACCCCCATCAAAGCTGCATTTCATACTTGAACACCAGGCCTGGCCCGGTTTTGCTTCCCAATTCTGGCTGAAGGTAAAACTTGGTGGCACCAAACCGTGGCTTCACCCAGCAGGGCAAAAAAAGGGGCTTTGAAGCTCTTCATTGCTGCAACCAGTTATTCTTACTTTGCTTTTTAGTTCCTGCCAGAATAAAGCTGGAAAAAGCTTGGGAGAAGGAGCAGAGAGGCTAGCAGGGGGCTGTTTTTCTCCCCTGGCAATATCTCGTGGGTCAGCTAGAAGATGCACTGAGTCAGGTCCGTAAATGTAGCATTTTACCATTGGCTGTACAGTTTGTGGGATGTATCCCTGAACATTTGGGAAGTGAAAACTGTGGCTGTGTTGGAATTTCAGAAGGAGAAAAAAAATTACGCAACTTTGCTGAGCATGAAGCAAATGCTGATGTGTGAAAGAATATTTTAGAGCAAAAACTCCAGCTGTTAATGAATAGCTTATCCTCCTTCCTCTGCTCCACAAACTCATAATTTATGCCCTGCAGAGTTCTTTTGCCAAATTTTCACACGGGATAAAAATAAATAATAATTGCTGCGTCTCACGTCAGCAATCAGGAGGTCTAACCTGGAATCCAAATTGAGGCAAGATTTCCACACTGCAGACTGGCTTGGTGTCCAGCGTGGTCCACTTCCAAACTGAAATTTTCTGAGATAAAGAAGAAAATGGTGGATGGTTGGTGGGTGGCAAAGACCCTAACCCTAAACTAAAAGGAGGTCGGTGTTCCTATCCACAGGTTACGAGCTGAGCCTTGCCTCACAACTGCTCTCCCTCCAACGTTTAAGAAACTCTAGGAAGTGCTTCCTTTACCTGCACCTCTTCGGCTCCAACGGTAGCCAGGAACTTGGAGTCGTGAGAAAGGGTGATGGCGCTGACTCCTCCTTTGGGGTGACTGTCGAAGATGGTGTGGACTGGAATCCTGAAGAACGAGAGGTCTGCAGCTGTTTGGGGACCTGTGGCTGAGTGGATTTTGTGGGTGCCAACTTAAGCGTCTGAACCGGGAGGAGGACTCAGTAGAGCTACTGGACTAGGTCTGGAGACCTCTAGATATTTACATTGTCCTTATATACCTGAACATGATTAGTTGAACACTGATGATGTAACCTAGTTGGGTCATGAAAGGTCTACAAGCCAACCACCAAGCTCAGAGAGCACAAAGGACCCAACAGTCCTCCTCTTCCTCCTCCTCCTCCCCTTCTTCCAGTCCTCAAACTCCTCTCCCTTCTACCACTAATGATATTATCTAGTTGGGTAATGGGACATCTACAAGAAAACAACCAAGCTCAGAGAGCACCAGGAACTCTACAGTATAATCCTGAGCTGCAATTATTCTCTTCTATTGGAACCATTAATTGAACTGGGCAGCCAAGAAACCAGCCATCGGTAGCTAGCTTTGGACCAGCAAATGTCTTTGAAGGTGAAGCCTATTATTTCATTCACTTTTTAACAAGTTAAACTGAGATGGATCTTGTCCTCCAAATCTTACTTGCTGGTTCTACACTGGAGAGGGGCTCCAAACCTGGCAACTTTAAGACTTGTGGACCTCAACTCCCAGAATTCCTCATGCTGGCTGAGGACTTCTGGAAGTTGAAGCCCACAAGTCTTAAAGTTGCCAAGTTTGGAGAGCCCTGTTCTACCGCAAGGAATAAGGTTTCCTTTTCAGCTTGGCAACTGCTTGGAAAAACGCCTTTCAATTCCTGCTCTAATGGTCACTGCATTTGACCAACATTTTGTTGGGTGCTGCAAGGAGACAACTCAACTCAGAAGATCAAGAGGTACCATGACTTGCTATCAAGTACAGGGGAAGCTCATCCTGCAGTCGCTAGAACCTTACGCGGAGTAACTGTCCCAGATGATCACCAGGCTGTCAGGACCTCGATCAGCCGTGGCAACCCACCGCCGGTCGTTGCTGACACAGATGCAGGAGATGCAACTGGAATGTCCCTAAGAAATACGGGAGGTCTCAGGAGAAGCAGATACCCTTGTCAGGAGGTCTGCTGTTTCCTATAAGAAAGATGATTCCTAAGGCTCAGAGAACTCGGTCTTACCTGCAGGAGATACTGTTGATTCTTCAAGATGTCATGGATGACGGCAGTGTGAGCAGAGACGTACAACAGCACCTGTTGATCTTCATCCAGAAGGTTGAAAACAGGCAGTTGGCTGTTGTAGCCAAAGACCCACGACAAGCTCTGGAAGAATTGTCCAAGTCAGATTATTTCTCAAGACATTCCTAAGGATCATCCAGACTAGCCCAATCAGAAGGCCCACCCAACTAAAAATCACAAGACGGATTGTACGGGAATCCAGATGTTGGAAGGCATCAACTGCCGTCTGTTCGCTGTCCTTCACCCGGACTCACCAGAGGGTGATCGGAGAGTGGCTGAGTCTTCTCCTCAAACAACATCCCTGGGAAGGCCGATAACACAATTGAATCTTCCTCCTGGAATGGAGTCGCACTGCTGGCAGTGGTTTGGGTCCTGGACGTCTCACTCTCTTTTTGGGAGGTCCCCATCCCTGTCTCTAGACTGGTAATTTCACTATCGCTTGGTGGTTCTTGGCTTCTGAGGGACATCTTGGACTTCTCACTCCCCAAGACAGGAGTTGTTGAACCCGTCCTGCTGGTGGACCTCGTTTTTGAGGGTTCTAGGGAGATGCTTTTAGCAGATTCCTGCTCCACAAGCCCTGGACCACCTTCTTCTGCTCTGGCCTCGGAGAGTTTTTCAGTGCTCGCTGGACCTCTTTCATCATCCCTGGTGCCAAGGCTCTTGCCATCCTCTCTGCCAGCTTCAAAGAGATTGTCTCCTACAAGAATCTCTGAAGTTGGGGAGGTTTCTACTGACTGCCTCTGCTCTTTGAGCTCTTCATCTTCAGGCGTTGGGGTCCTGATTTCATGTCCCTAAACAGCAAAAGAGAACGTGTGGCCGAGCCTGAAAGTTGCATTCCTGCTTTCTCCTGTTTTGCCTGCTTTTCAATCTTTACCTGGATTATTCCATTCTGTGCTTCCGAATATACAAAATTCAGAGGCCTTTTTGGAATGACTGGGACATTCCCAGCCTTACTATGCAACAGGATGAGCTGACTGCATCCAGGGACAAATTATTACAAATATTTATTTACTAATGTTATTTTAATTCATAAGAATTCATCTTTAAATAATTAACAATATTATTTACTAATATTCTTGAAATTTCAATTAGTCTGGGTTAGGGTTAGCCATGCTGGCTGGGAATTCTGAGAGTTGAAATCCGCCCATCTTCAAGTGGCCAGGCTTGAGAAACATGGTTTTAAGGAGATGCCAGTCAATGGCAAGAGAAGTTTGGTGGGTGGGGGGGTTGATGATATGGTCAATATTGTCCATTTGCAGCATCTTTTGCCACTGACCGTAGTTACTGGAACTCCTCGAATTAGTATTCCTCAACGTTAAGCCACTTGAAAATGATTGGACTTCAACTCCCAGAATCCCCAGCTTCCTAGCCTGGCTTCCGACTTACACTTGAGGGTACCACAATCAGAGGACCGATTTTCGGCAAAGAAATGTGATTTTCCGCCCAAGGGAGGTCAGCTTCTTCCTCCTCTGAGCCGAGTGCATCGGTCTCCTCAGGAAGAGTTTCTGGATCTTCCAGGCGCTCCTTTGAGGTCTTCGTCGGATATTCCCACTGGTGGCTGTTCTTCTCCTCCTCCTTCTTGTCTTCCTCCATCGTCTCCTGCAAATATTTGTAGGGTTGAGAGAAAGTTGGAATGGCGCTAGCTGGATAATGACGGTTCCCTTCCCCAAAGGTTTGGGATCATTCCAAATTGAGGGACAATAGCCACGTTTGGGCTGAGAAACGTGTCCAGAGTGCCCATAAAGGACTTCTGGGTTTCATCTTGAAGTCTGGCAGAGTCCATGCCAGTTTCCAGGCATTCTAGGAAGTTCTGCCCAATGGCATTACCGGCTTCCTCATCCTCAAGGAATTGCCAGAGGGAGCATAATTGCCCAGGTTTCCTCACCAGCTGACAATCTCAGATCCTGGCTTCCTCATGTAGAATAACAGAACAACAGAATAAGAGTTGGAAGGGACCTTGGAGGTCTTCTAGTCCAACCCCCAGCACAACAGGGAAACCCTATACTATTCCAGACAAAACCCTATACCATTCTCTTCTTAAAATCCTCCAGTGAGGAGCACCCACCATGCCTGAGGGTTGAAGTCCAACCTCAACAATTATCCAGGAAGTTAAGCCACGATGTGTCCATACAGGTTCCTTCAACCACAATTCAGAAGTGGGTCACCATGACCTTCCTCCAGGATTTTCAGATTTCCATTTCCACCTATACCCCATCATCTCCTAGTGGCCTTCTTTTCAAGGTTTGACCAGCTCTGGTCTTCCTTAGCCACAATTAAACGAGCCAAGGTCTACTTTCACTCCGCCAAAATAAAACAAGACCGACAAAATTGCCCAACCAACAGAAACTTTTTTTTTTCTTTTTTGAGGAAAGAAACAAGTCTCTGCAGAAATCTTAACCCAGAAATTCCTCCTCAATCATTGCCATTCATCCCTCCCCCTCTTTGGGACAAAACCAACTATAGTTCCAATTTTCTTCTTCTTTTTCTGGCTTAGACAATTCCAAAAAACAATGATTTAAATCTTCCTGAGATTCAGCGTTGCCAATTTTCCCCCTTTCCCAAAGAGCCTGTCCTCACCTGCCCGCCTTCTCAACTTACCTGCCGGCTCCAACTCCAGCAGCGACTGTTTGCATCCCATTCCGGTTGTCACAGCAACCGCCAGCCGCCTGCAAACAACTCCAGACTGAGTTGCACGCTTGGCAAGCAGTGCAAAGCTTTGCTTCCCTGAATTTTGAAGGATTCAAAACCTCTGTTAGGCAGGCTAGCACAATTTCCTTTCTTGTCTAACCAGACACCCCTTTTCACCCCCCCAAAAAAACCCCTCTAAACCAGGTGTGGGGTTGATTTTGCTGTCTGTTAGATTTATTCCAGGCTGCCTGATTTAATGTTCTTGGCTCCTTTTTTTTAGGTTTTCTCTACCTACCACCCAGAGCCCACTGGAGTTGGGCAGCCAATAAATTTCAGGAAATAAATAGAAATAATCCATCTTGCAACTGAGAAAGGGCGCTTTGAGGTTTTTGCAAAACTCTGTTGGAGGATGGTGGAACCGACTACCTTTGGGTGAAAGAAAAAACTCTGGCTGGCTTTCTTTCTATTTGGGAAACACTCTCGGATTATTTTTTTCTTGAAAGAAGTGAAATGTTGATCTTGGGTTATAATTTATTTTAATTCAAAACGGTATTGATTCTTAGGTTTTTATTTGTGCCAAAGAGGCTATTTGTCTGTAGGTTTTTTCCCTTTGTTTTTTTTTCCTGCGCTCCCAATTTCGCTTTTTCTGTACCACTTTTTTTTCTTTTCATTTTTTTTCCTTGCCTTTCGTAGGTTATACTTTTCTGAAATTTAATAAAGTTTTATATAAAGTAAGTCGGATGAATGGAGGAAAAAAACACCTTCTGATTTCCCAAAATTCCCAGCTTGACTGTGGGATGCAGGATTCCTGATGGGTCTCCAGCACTTCAAAAGATTTAAAAAAAAACGAGGAAAGGGTGCAGTTGATAAAAGTTGAGCTGATTTTTCAATCTGTGATCAAGAAAAAGAGCAGCGATGTGGAGTTTCTCTCAGTTTTCCTGATTTGACTTTTTCTTTTTGTGCCTGACCTACAGTATTAGGCAGCTACCATTTAGTACATACGCTAGAATAATGTTCTGTAGAAGTATTTGAATAATAAAGGCCGATTCACATCTCTCGTATTAAAAAGCATTTGAAACACCTAAATTGTAACAAGGTTTGGGAGAAAAAAAAAATCAAGCTGTAAATCCAGAACGCTTTGTTGCAGATCTTCATTTTATAGTATTTATTTTCAAGCTTGTGTTGCTAATAACTGCACTGATTGCCTTTAAAAAAGACTCAGGATGACTTTTATCCTAAGTGACAATACAAAACACATCAGGTAAGGTTTTAGCGCATTTCACAGAAACGATCAAGGACGAAAAAGAAAAAAAAATAACACCGGGAGAATGGCATAAATCTTTTATTGTCCAGTTCCTGGACCAAACAGGGAAGAATCCAAAGGAAGACCACAAAACTAAGTTGCTCAAGTCCACCATGAGTTGAGCAACTTGTCCTTACACCCAAGTTAAAACGTACTGAATACCTTTTGGGAATCAGGGGGAAAAAATTCAAATGGCATCTGCAGGAAACACCGTAAAAGCCCCAAATTCCAAATTCATTTTAGCCATTTCAGCTTCTTCGGAGAGATGCTAACATCAAAATGACATATCACCCAAAAAACACGAGTTGGATCATCCGTCGAAGTCATCTTTGCAAAGGAACAATATTACAACTGGAGATCGGGAGGAAAAAGAGAAAAAGCAAATTAAACTTTCGGCAAGCACCAGATAGTATTAGCACCCTGACCTTTGCTCCTCAGAGAAGCAAGAGAATTTACACAAATACAGACAGAGGAAGGCACAATTCTAGGGTTGTTTTTGACCAACAGAACTTTAAATAGATCAAATATGCTCAAAGTTTGGCAATACCTACAAAAAAAGAATGGTTGGTGAAGATGATGGAACTTGCAGAGATGGCTAAATTAACTTCTTTGATAAAAGGAAAAAAAACAGTACCTACATTTATGGTTGGCTGGAAACTCCTTTACAGACTTTTTGATGAAATAGAAAAAAATGCACTTATGATTTGTAGTTTTGAGGGATAAATAGATGGATTAATTAAATGGATAATAGAAAAAGAACGAGCTTTCTTTTGTCATCCAAATAAGAAATTATTTTGTAATTGTACTTATATTTGCTGCAAAGAAAATCGGAAGCATCTTTTATTTTTTTATTCTTTGTAACTTTTTGGCTTTTTTCATTCTCTTTTTCTCTCTTTTCTGCCTTTACTTGTTATTCTGTTGTGTTACTTTTATTCTCTTGGTAAAACTTTGAATAAAAATCTATATACAAAAAACTTTAAACAGATCAAGATGGAAATCTTGGGATTTCTCTATCTTCACAAAATCCTGTCTGAGCATCACAATTTTTATGTTTCTTTTTCTGGGATTATTAATATTGGAGATCGAAGAGAGCTAAGGATACCAGAGGTCAGCTACTGTTTCTTCGGAGCATTTCATTCTCGTCATTTCAGTCAGGGAAGCATCTTTTCCTGAACCTAAAGTTTGGGAATATTTACCCCAGAAGTCCTTTCCCACTCCAGCGCTTTGGGGTCAGCCCCAGATGGGTTGTTTCCCCTCTTCGAATCACAGTCACCCTTAAGGGTTTCTGGGGGAGAGAAACAAACAAACAAAAAATAAAATCAAAAAATTTCTCCCATTCAGTTTGGTTTATGTAGCTAATGCGGGGGGGGGGGAGGAGAAAGCAGAAGAGCTACAATGTGAAGTGTCCAGATAAGCCCCTCCCAAACTCTTCCCAGACCCGCAAAGAAAGCAAGCCGCTCACGTCCTCACTGTGCTGAACCACGGTTGCAATGTTCTGCAACGATTGGAAATTCTGGCTGTTAACCGAGCCAAACTCGGCGATCTCGTCGCCCACTTGTAAACCCTGCAGAAAGAAGCAAAAATGATCCCTTGTCTCGTGTAGAGTTGGGCCAATTGCTGTTTTTTAGACCAGCCCACCTTGTAAGGCTTTGGTTATGTTGATAAAAGGAGGAGGCGGAGCAAAGTCTAACTCCTTACCGAAAGGCAGGATGGAACAATGCAGAATAAAGAAATAAAGGAAATAAAGGAAATAAAGGAAGCTCCCACCCACTGGGCTCCAGAGCAAGAGAGCCGGTACTTGCCGCGAAGTTGGCTGGGGATCCGGGACTGACGGCGTTCACTCGGGCGAAGGGCTGGGGCAAGGCCTGGCTTTGGGCTTCGGCACGAGCCTCGGCCTCATCCTGGTCACGCTTCTCTTTCTCCCGGGCGTGCAGCTGATGCAGGCCCTCTTCCACCTGCTTCATCAGGGCTTGGTGGTCGTTCTGCAGACCTGAAAGCGGAATGGCGCAAATCATCACCAATACTTGCTGGTTATCTGCCGCCCAAATTCTGATCACGTGAAGCTGCAATGGTTGTAAGTATGAGGACCAATCTTAAATCACCTTTTTTCCCAGTGCCGTTGCAACTTTGAAGAGTTGCTAAAGAAATGAATTTAAGCCGAGGGTTTCCTGCACGCAAAAGAAGCCAATGGATGTATGCAGAATGAATTAAATATTTAAATAAGGAGACAGGGCTTTAAACCTGCTGAAAATTAAGGACTTGGCTGCTTACAGATGATGTTGTGTCTCGCAGTCCGGACTTGGTAGATGTCCACATCTGCCCGAGGGTAGCCGTCAGCATCTACGAGTGGCTCACTCATTCCAACCCCTTTTTGCTGCAAATAAGAAAATCAAAGTATCCCTTTTCAGATTTTTTTTTGGTGCAAATTACATATGAATTCACTGCTCTATGGGAAGCCCTCATCTGTTCCACGCTGGCTACCCAAACAAACCAAACTTGGCTGGGATGGTAAAAGATGCCATGCTGCAAATTACGGTTAACAAACCAGCTTCATCCTGTATGTTCAACAAGTACCAACAAACCACCTATATTTTGGCTAGATAGATCAACTTAGACGTAACAGGTTATGGTGCCACAACTTGAAATCACACTTTAGGCTCAGAAGATATGAAAATTGGACAAAAACTTATTTCAAAAGCTCCTGCCAACGTTTTAAACCACAGAAGGCTACAAAGAGCAGCTTCAAAAAAAAAAAAAAAATTAAAAAGGCTTTTGCAATAACTCAGCTCTGAAAAGGAGTCCTATGCACTTCCTGTGTTTCTTAGCAAAATGTTTCACTTTTTCTCATCCAGAGGACCCTCTCCTCCTCCTCCTCATACGTCTCCCGCCCCCAGTTTTGCTTCTGGTGCAGAAGCTGAGAGTTCAGATCCAACCCTTTTAATTCCGGGGTCCTTCCCTGTTTTGTATGCCTGCAATGTTTCCCCAGTCTATCTCAACCTTGACAGCTTGAAGATGGGTGGACTTCAACTCCCAGAATCCCAAGCTTCCTGGCCTGGCTTCCTACTTACACTTGAGGGCAGCCCTGGGGAATTCTGGGAGTTGAAGCCCACCCTGGTTTTAAGCACTTGCTTGCAAGCAAAGGAGCTTGCAAAGCAATGCATTTAATGCAATGCAAATATCTGCCTTTGCAGCCCCCCCCCCGCCTAGGCTGGAAAGGACCTCCTGCAAAAAAGGATGATGGGAGCTGTAGTCCTTTAAGGCCTCCAGCTGGTTTCCCCCCAGCCCAGCCCCCCAACTCAGCCTGTCCTGCCACTCACATCCTGCAGGACTTCATAATAGGCCTTGATCTGGGCCTCAATTTCGTCCTTCTTCTTCAGCAGTTGCTGCAGGTCGCTGACCGTCACCGGCGGCTCCTGCAGAGACATTTTCCGAGCAAAAACGCCACAAACGCTCCAGGCTGGGAGGCCAGTGGCAGAAACTACGGGTCGCGACGGGAGGCCAAAGAGCGCGGATTGAGAAGTCCGTAACAAGGAGGCGGGGCGAAGCAAGGAGGCGAGGGGGCGTGGCCGGCTGGGCGGCGCTTGGGATTCGTCCATTTAAAGGGAGCGAAGCTGGTTGAGTTGCCTTTGCGCGTCTGAATGGGCCGATTCTTGTTTGTTTC